TTGGAAAATTCCAAGAAAATTGCCAATTTGCCGCCGTGAAGTAAAGTTGATTTAACGGGGAATAAAATTGGGTTTTGTTATCAGCATCAGCAGGAAGGCCGTTCTTCTTTCTTTTTACTTTTTGGGAAAGGAGTCAAATGATCTGAGGACTGAAGGCTCTGCGAACTGATAAACATTTTTGACTTTATCTTGCGACCAGCATGACTATAAGTCTTGTAAGTTGTAGGGGAAAATTCTGTTGATTTTCACTGGTATGGATATCGGTACCAGTGTAGGTTCATAATGCCTAGAGCGTATTTCAGAGACAAAGTTGAAAAACGCGAATACAACAAAGAAGATTTAACCCTTCTTCCTCAGTCAAAAAGGTGAGATTCTCGTGAACGTTAAGAGAAATTAACCGATGAAAAGATGCAACTTGTCTTTGACTTTTATGTTTATAAAGGCAGGCACTGCGTACACCACCATCTTTTCCTAAAAAAAAATTTGTAAAAGTGGTCAGAAATTGCCTCAGATCGCACCACAGAGCATCTAGAATCCAAAAATTCAAACCGCACGCCGTAATTTTTTGGACTCACTTTTTGGAGGACCAATTTTGGAGTGAATACATAGAAGACTAAACATATGGTGGCTAATGAAGTTCGGAAAAAGCACCCCAAAATATCCTCTGTTTCACCCGTCACAAAAACAACAGGTGGGACGGCATAATTTAGTTAACCCACCCAAGTTAACCCACAAGTTAACCCACCCACCGCCACCACCTTGTATCGGAACCGGAACTTCCTAAATGCGTATTTTACATATTGAAAAACCTAACAAATACACTCTGGGCAGCTCAATTATGTAACTACACTGGTATCCATACCAATGTAAATCAACAGAAATATTCTCAATCAAAAATGTTCGCAGAGCCTTCGGTCCTCGGATTATTTTGACTCCTAGCCCAAAAAGTACAAAAGAATGAGCAACAGTCCTGCTGATGATTATAACAAAACCCAAAACCCAATTTTTTTCATTTTTTCCCCTTTAAATAGTACTTCACGGCGGCAAATTGGCAAATTTTCTTGCAATTTTCCAACAATAAAAATTATTCCCTGAACTTAGCCTGCACATATCGGTCCATCCTTGCTATGTTCTCAGCTATAAATCACTTCTCAAAAAAGAAAAACATGCCCAATCTGACAAAATTAATTGATCATGGTGGCTGCCCCCCCCCCCCCCCAAAAAAATCCCCTCCATCCGACTTGAGTGACTTCGTGTATGATTACGCCCCCTCGGCCTCCAAATAAACGCAAAAGTTGCACGTGTACAGTCTATGTAGCGCGGCCACGCTGCAGCGATAGGTTGTTGTATACCAGTCCATGTAGACTGGTACCCCGCTTTAAGTAATTGTGGGGTTTACATTCGACGCGGGGCTTACAGTAATTTTGGGGTTTACATTCGTCGCGGGACTAATACAGTAATTTCGGGGTATACATTCGTCGCGGCCGGGACTTACAGTAATATTGGGGTAATACATTCGACGCGGGACTTACAGTAATTTTGGGGTTTACATTCGTCGCGGGGCTTACAGTAATTTTACATTCGTCGCGGGGCTTGCAGTAATTTTGGGGTTTACATTCGACGCGGGACTTACAGTAATTTTGGGGTTTACATTCGACGCGGGACTCACAGTAATTTTGGGGTACATTCGACGCGGGACTTACAGTAATTTTGGGGTTTACATTCGTCGCGATACTTACAGTAATTTTGGGGTATACATTCTTCGCGGGGCTTGCAGTAATGTTGGGTTTAGTTTAATTTGTGTTTTATTGTACATTTAACACGAATATTTTATTTGTTATGTTTATTTTTTACGTTTCAATTTTGTTTTGTTGTCCTACATTTTCATTGTTAATTGTACGTTATTGTTTAAGTTTGCATTTTATTTTATTTTATTTTTGCTTAACTTTAATTTTGTGATTGTCTTTTTTGCCCTAATGGCCGCCCATAAAAATAGACATAATGTTAGGAGTGTGCGAACGGAGGTGGATTCCCTATTATCGCGGTGTGCGGGAATTGTTTTTGTGATAATGATCTCAACTTTTTTATTCATAGTTAATATTTGACCAAACATCCCCTGAATAAAGTCTGATATTTTCCCTGTAACGTTCAAGTTGATTAAAGACTATATGTCTGCAGGATGATTTCTTAAGACCCTGCCCTTCCCCCGAAAGGAGAACACAAATCACTGAGGCAAGTCTACTGAGTGGCGATTGGGGGCGCCATTCACTTTACACGGTGTGCCGTTTTATTTTGGTTAACGCGCTGTGCTTATTTTGATCCCGTAAAAGTTTTTTATGATTTCGCGGTGCAAACATCGTCCTTCGACTTCATTTTACATTTGCAGCTGAAGAATGGGAACCTGACAATTGAACTTTCATGGACAGAGCACCATTACAGATTTATGTTAAAATATAGACGGTACCTTTAGCAGACATGGTGAGCGGGAAAATTTGCAAGTTTTGGAAAACGTTTATTAAAAATCGTTAAAAGTCCCAAAAGACACAACATTTTTTAATCGTCCTTTTTGTACAACTCGGCAAAAAGTCCTTAAATGACTGGTGAACTGGATAAAAATCGCCACTTGAAGGAGTTTTGGCATCGAAAAAAGAGAAATTTCCCATGCCGCGATCATAGGGATGCCGCGATATAGGGAGTCCGACTATACTATCAAGTATCAGACTATGTAGCCAGGGCTAGGCTAGGCTAGAGGGCCGCCGCTACTTGCATTTGCTCTATGATGTACATGTAAACATGGGTGGCATGGGTGGCTTGTGCGTAAAGCGCTCGCCTCTCACCAAGGTGACCACGGTTCAAATCCTGGCCGCGGATCGCATGTGAGTAGAGTTGTGCGTTGGTTCTCTCCTGTGCCACGTGGGTTTTTCTCCGGGCCCTCCGGTTTTCCTCCCTCCGGAAAAATCAAACACTTTTCGATCTCAGGCTGTGCTCCGTGGTCATATAAAGGTCATATATGGGTCAGTAACTAACACCGCGTTCCCACTTGATTTGGAAAAAGGCGGATCAAGATCCGGCATTTTGGTGTGATCGTTATCTTACCGCAACGAAACCGCAAGTCGCGTTCCCACTTATGCTTGATCCACCTTTTCGTACGGAAATGTTGGGTCCGAAAGGTCACTGAGTTCGGAATTACGCGCGCTCTGTGGGAGTGCCATTGTTGCATGGTTGCATGCTAGGCCAGGATGGGTCAGTTTTCAAACAGCACTATCAGAATTCACAGACAAAAAATACGCGAATTCACCAACATAAATCACGGATCCGTAGAGGATCCGTGCGTGCATAAATTAAAAGGTGAAATCCAACAGAGCCGCTCACGTGTGACATCACGGCAGAAACCAATGCATCGATAAGGGATTCCCTGGTTCTGAAGCTTCTCATTGGTTAGAAACGGTCACATGATGTACTACGACATCATTTTCCAATTTTCTATAATCAATACTTCAGATTTGTCACCCCCGTACGTACCGCGTTATCGGCACTATTCCCATCGCATACTCGTAAGCTTTTCAATGATTCTGTGCCGAAGTGAAGTCTTTTGGTGAGTGCGGACTCAGAGTCATTTATGGATGAAAAAATAAGTAAAATTTCAGGAATGAAAAAGGTTTAGTAATGGACGAACACGCAACAAAAATAAGGCCTATAGTGTAGTTTTAGGATACCACGTGCGCTTTTGCATGCGCGGTGCTAGCCCGTAGTTCAGCGGTTGTTTATTGTGCATGTTGTAAACGCTGGAAATGTCCACATGAGCTACACGCCTGAAAACGTGTTTCTTCGTTCATGAGACCGCAACATTTTCGCGCCACTCGTGCACCGGGCGGATGTTAACAGGTCAAATTGCCGGATCAGATCCACCTTTTGCGTTCCCATCTGATCGTGATCCTGCAATTGCCGGATCTGATCCACCAATTGGGGGATCTGTATCCTGGTCCAGAGGTGGATCAGAAAAGGTGGATCTGATCCTGATCCACCTTATAACGGTTAGCGTTCCCACTACACACAATTGCCGGATCTGATCCACCAATTGGGGGATCTGATCCGGCAATTTGGCAAAAGGTGGATCAGATCCCCCAATTGGTGGATCAAGTGGGAACGGGGTCTCATAACTGACAGACAGATTTCCGGTGTTTTATAGAGTTATTATATTTACATGTGTCTGTATGCTATCAGTTTTTTTAACGTATGATATGTTTTTTTTAGAGTTGTAATGGTCATTTTTAATCATAAGTGTTTTTAGACTGAACATCAGGAAAGCAAATTTCATGTATCTTTATTGATTGCATGACGAATAAAATTATCTATCTATCTATCTATCTATGTGGCCGGCAGCCATAGGCGCCTTTACGTGCCAGCGGCCCGACCACGTTGTAGCCGTTCTTCCCAATTCAGCATACCAGCTGCGAGTAAGGATGATTAGCCTCCCAAATTATTATTATTATTATTATTATTATTATTATTATTATAAACAAGGAGAAAGTGTTTACGAAGTACCCAAATTCCAGTCATTACGCAATCAATTATAAAGTTAGCCCTATAATCAGGGCTGTTAACTTAGTGGCTCTCTTCACGGGTCGTCGCTAATCAACCCAGTACAATGGCATGCTATGTGATGAGACTGCGCCATAGAGTTGTATAATAAAGAACTGCGCCCGAAATATTTACATTTTTGTAACTCACAAAATAGAGAATACATGGAATACTTACACAGGTTTATTTGTTCTCCCGAATTATCAAGTACGTTCCCTTGAAGCCTACTTCTTTGTAGGAAGTCCTCAGCTGAGGTATCCATGGTGATATTCACTAATTAACCGTGTCATTTCAGATCAGACCAGGGATCAGACTACGTAGGCCTACGGTTTCGTCTGCTCGGATTTACTTTATTAAATAAGTAAAGTCCGGAATTTCCAATTTCCGCGCAGTTTCCTTGTATACCGCCCTCTCTAGTGGCAGGTTGTGAATGACGCCGCTTTGCGCTCGACGCGACCCAGAATCGGGGATTCGGTAACCAACAATGTATAGGCGTTTACCATTTTAATACTGCTTACTGGATGCTGTAATCGATAACTGAAGTAATTTTTGTATTCAGGTAAAGTTTGTTGTAGACCGATGATATTTTCTTATAATTGGTTGAAGTGTGGTCCTCTCGTGAAATCAAAAAGAAGAGTTCAGCTACTGACAAAAAGTGACATATTAGTCAAGTCCACGTAATCCCAGGCATCATGTCTAGAGTGTGACAGTAACAAAGTTATTGTAAGTAACATGTCATTTTGTGTTGCCTACAATTTAATACAAAATTAATAGTAGACCTACAAATAATTACAACTAGTATAGCCTACAAGAAGACATTGTTCAACATGTTCAAGGACATGACCACCATACCATTGCCAAATTTGATTGTCGGACCCTTTCACTTAGTATTCAGAAACATGTCAGAAATACGCGATCCCATTTCTACGCTCACAATAAATGTTCGTATCAGAACGCCTGCACATGGCAGGCATTACCTGTACAGATTTATGGAGGATCGAGGATAACTTCAACTGATCATGTTCTTGATCATATATCTCCATCATGGAGATACAGTCTCAAGTATCGATATTAAAGAATTAACCTTATAATGAATGAATAAAGTGTCCTCTTCGAATATAATGAATAAATTAAAATGCTTGGATTGCTAGAATTCATGGTATTTGTGTCATTAGCCCCACTACTGCTGTGGCGAGGATCTTGCTGCACTATAGCCTCGCTAGCTGACTATAGTGTGGCCCAGATATTACTGCACTGTCAGTGTCAAAACAAGGATAGTACAGTAGGATACAGCACAGCAATATCCGGGCCACACTAGTAATGGGATTAATTGTGTCATATGTCAACTCTGCTCGCAGGTTGCATGGAGTGTTGCTTCATTCCTGTAAAGTCTGCAGGAGTAGTTTGTTAGGCCCACCAGTGATGTGAGATATACAACGAGATTTTTAATAAAGTGAGAATGTCATCAACTATGACAGTCACAGAAACGGATGTCAGGTAAGATCACACTCTCTTTATATGTACATGCATACGTCTTGTGCAATGCGTGAAATACAAAGAATACCAATAGTATGCAAATAATGAATGTTTTATGAGTGCAATGGTAACTTCTATTTACTGTGAAATGGAACTTCTACATTTGTGGTGCAGCCGTGCCATGCGTGTTGGGACGAATAATTCAATGACACAACACGAGACATGATCAACGACCCACCAAGCAGGTGACGGGGATTTATTCAGGCATTGTATTGTATCATCTAAACAAATCCATATTTTGCTATCTTGTGTAATGATGGATCAATATGCATATAAACAAATAGTTTAATTACATTGGCCTAGATGCAACATACTTGAAATGGCATTTCCAAATGTACTATAAGATGTGTAGTTGCACTCACCCCAGGATTGGAAGCACACGATTAATTTTAACATCTGCAGTTTCAACTGATTGTCAAGGACCAAATAAAAACAATTATCTTTGTTTTTTAGTGCGGTTGAAGGCTCGCCAAGGCACAGTCAACACATGGATGAAACAGAAACAGTAGTATTCAACGACTGCAAAACTGGCCTTGGTTAGTACATACTATTGTCAGTATTAAGTTGTTTAACACAAGCTTAAATTTCAGTTGCTTGTTATAAGATTGCAAGCTTGTCAAATGAAGTGGAGCGAAGATGCTAGAGCACTTATTAGAACTTCAGGAGTTCATACTGATAAAATAAATGTCTGGGTCAATAGGAATCAAGATCATAGGAGGAAGGAGTGAGCAAGAAGGAGGCAGGGATTACGGAATCTTTATTCGGAGAGTCATTCCTGGAGGACTAGCAGAACAAAGTGGTGAGTTGGCCTGCTAAGTTGGCTTGAATGCTTTTCAAATTCATTTATTTGTATTGATTGGAACAGCTGTAACTTATATTTTCTGTAATTGTTTCTGTCAAACAAATCTGGGATATCAATGAAATTATTAAATTGTTTGTATTTACCAGGTCGTTTGAAGGAGGGTGACCAGATACTCAGTGTAAACAGTGCAAGTTTACTGCGGGTTACCAATGATGAGTGAGTACATTTCAAGATCTTAGAAACCTATGTACAGTTGTGATGGTTACTCTTTATGAAAGGCGATAGGTCAATTTGTGGCATCAAGTGGCATCAAAACAATTCTTCAAGTGTTATTTCTTTTGTTACATTTGTTTAATAAAAGTACAAGTTTAAATATGAATCAATAATTTGCCTTTTCAGAGCTGTACAGCATCTTCGCAGTGCCTCAGCTACCAATCAAGTTACAATGGTTGTCACAAGAAATATGTCTGCAGCGTGAGTTCTGGAATTAATTTCTTGTTGTGATTTCCAGTAGTCTCCAACCCTCACAATGTTTATCAACTCTAGTAATTAAAGTGAGTTTGAACATACTACACTGTTGGAATCGTAGCACAGGGCATTGACGTCCCCAACGGAAAATGGTGTTGTTGCCAGTCTGTTCTGAAATTGACATTGTGGTGAAACTGTTCAAGTTTCTTCATATGAATTATACCACCGCTATATCTTCCTTTTCAAAACCCACATGCTCACTGATTTATATGCAAGATTAAAATTTCTTTATAGAAACATGTTTTTCTTGTGTTTTATTTCAGGCATCGATTTTCATTACTTCTTGAAAGCCAACTTGCCAACACAAGGAATACTTTCAACTTAGACACTCAGTCCGTCTCATCTGACCAGGGTTCAGACATACATGAGCAAGGTGAGGATATAGGAATGCACAGGTTATGCACAGATTTTAGAAGTTTTTGCATCAGAAGAAAAGCTAGCGTAGCCAATCGAGCAAAAGATTTGTTCAGAGATCAAAGAAAGACTTGTCTGTTTGATCTTTCATTCCTTTTTTTATTTCTTTGTTTCTCATTAAGGTTCAAAACCCTGGTCCTCACTTCAGAGAGAGAGAATCTCGACTCAGTCCCCATCACCTAGTCTAGACTCTTCATCCTCAGTACAGGATGAGCTACATGTAGGTCCAGGCTCAGCCAATCAAAGGTCAGTAGAGAGAATCTCAACTCAGTCCCCGTCACCTAGTCTAGACTCTTCATCCTCAGTACAGGATGAGCTACATGTAGGTCCAGGCTCAGCCAATCAAAGGTCAGTAGAGAGAATCTCAACTCAGTCCCTGTCACCTAGTCTAGACTCTTCATCCTCAGTACAGGATGAGCTACGTGTAGGTCCAGGCTCAGCCAATCAAAGGTCAGTAGAGAGAATCTCGACTCAGTCCCCATCACCTAGTCTAGACTCTTCATCCTCGGTACAGGATGAGCTATGTGTAGGTCCAGGCTCAGCCAATCAAAGGTCAGTAGAGAGAATCTCAACTCAGTCCCCATCACCTAGTCTAGACTCTTCATCCTCAGTACAGGATGAGCTATGTGTAGGTCCAGGCTCAGCCAATCAAAGGTCAGTAGAGAGAATCTCGACTCGGTCCCCATCACCTAGTCTAGACTCTTCATCCTCGGTACAGGATGAGCTATGTGTAGGTCCAGGCTCAGCCAATCAAAGGTCAGTAGAGAGAATCTCGACTCAGTCCCCATCACCTAGTCTAGACTCTTCATCCTCAGTACAGGATGAGCTACATGTAGGTCCAGGCTCAGCCAATCAAAGGTCAGTAGAGAGAATCTCAACTCAGTCCCCATCACCTAGTCTAGACTCTTCATCCTCAGTACAGGATGAGCTACATGTAGGTCCAGGCTCAGCCAATCAAAGGTCAGTAGAGAGAATCTCAACTCAGTCCCCATCACCTAGTCTAGACTCTTCATCCTCAGTACAGGTTGAGCTACATGTAGGTCCAGGCTCAGCCAATCAAAGGTCAGTAGAGAGAATCTCAACTCAGTCCCCATCACCTAGTCTAGACTCTTCATCCTCAGTACAGGATGAGCTACATGTAGGTCCAGGCTCAGCCAATCAAAGGTCAGTTGAGAGAATCTCAACTCAGTCCCCATCACCTAGTCTAGACTCTCCATCCTCAGTACAGGATGAGCTACATGTAGGTCCAGGCTCAGCCAATCAAAGGTCAGTAGAGAGAATCTCAACTCAGTCCCCATCACCTAGTCTAGACTCTTCATCCTCAGTACAGGATGAGCTACATGTAGGTCCAGCCTCAGCCAATCAAAGGTCAGTAGAGAGAATCTCAACTCAGTCCCCATCACCTAGTCTAGACTCTTCATCCTCAGTACAGGATGAGCTACATGTAGGTCCAGGCTCGGCCAGTCAAAGGTCAGTAGAGAGAATCTCAACTCAGTCCCCATCACCTAGTCTAGACTATTCATCCTCGGTACAGGATGAGCTACATATAGGTCCAGGCTCAGCCAATCAAAAGTCAGTGGTTAGTAGGGGTGTCTGCAATCAATTTGTGGTCTTGTATCAGTTGTGAAAAGCCATCATGGAAACCCTTTTATTGTAATTAAACACCTGTTTGTTCCTTCAGGAAGCTTGATGTGCGTGAGATTATCTTAAACAAGCTGAGTGGTCTAGGATTGAGTATATCTGGAGGTGTTGATCGACACGATGGACCAGGGATATACATCCAAGGCATCCAGCAAGATGGAGATTGTGCAAGAGTAAGGTTTTTAGAATTGATAGTTGTTGATGTCATAGTTATAAATACATTTGTAGTGTATGTTTACTGTGCATTTCTATATTGTTATATAACACTAAGTTTCATTGTATGCAACCTGTTTTTAGGATGGCCGTTTGAGAGTTGGTGATCAGCTAGTATCTGTCAATGGAGACCAGTTGTCGGGGACTACCAATGAAGTTGCCGTGGAGATATTGACTAGAGCATCATGCAGGTAACATATCCAAATCATCCAAAAAGTGTTAGTGAGTGGAACATACCAGATTGTACTGATTTGTGTTTGACCTGGAAGTTTGCTTATTGGGGTAAGGAAATGTTCCTATGGTCTAGAGAACATCTTGTCGAAAGGAACCAAAACTCAATAATTGCTTCTCATGTCCCTGGTTGCCAGGCTGAATATCACAATATCATTGATAAACAGCAAATATTATACAAGTTTGAATTAACATTGGAACAACTTATATGACATAAAGCCATCTTGGAAATTCACATTTGCTAATTTGTGTGTGTCATTGAAAGACTTCAAACCTGATAAAGCTGCATGATATTCTCTGTTTAATTCCTACAGGACTGATGTAGATACTCTACGTATCAACTACATTCCAGTAGTATCCGCCCACTCCTACAGACAGCCCAATAACCACACCCCTAGTTCATCCTACCCATCACCATCTAACACCAACCAATCACCATCCCCACATCACCGGTATTCATCACATCCTACTTCACCCTTACAACCATCACACACTGGTCACCAGCATCCACAGGGATCAGCCGATGTATCACAGCGTGTTGCTGGGGGTTTGCTGTCCCCTGAGGGAGAGGTATCACAGTCAACTGCAGGGGGAGAGGCACTTCCTCAAAGGCTAGGCCAGCCAGTGTCTCCACCATTGTATGAGCAAGCTACAATCAACGGCTTCCCATTGTCAGGTATGTGTGCTTCTTGAAATGGAGAACAATTGAGTCTTGCGTTTTCCTCTTTCTATCTTGAAGCCTATAATCTTGGAACTTTGTTTGTTGCATTCATCAATTGGTCAATTTCTCCCTAAAGACAATGAAAACCTTGAAGCTTCATACCCCGAAGTGTTATTCATCATTGAAATTCTCCAGAATCATTGTACATCAAATAGTCACTCAAAACCTCATTTCTCATTATTTTCATGTTTGGAGTATTCTTCAATCAATTTGGTTGCTTGATGTTGATTAAATTTGGCAGCTGTCATTTTATCATTGCATTGTGTTGTCATCTCATCCATTATTTCTTACCTCATGTCTTGTCTGTCTCGTCTCATGTCTTCTCATCTAGCTCTTCGCCAGCAAGCTCCATCCAATATTGCCATGCCACTACATCTACAGAGACATTTACACATTCAGCCAGCGTCATCCTCAACTCCACAGGCAAATAATGCCAACGGTAAATCAAGTGCTTCATCATTGTAATCAATCATCTTTGTGTCTCTGGCTGATGTTTTTTATACAGAATAAGAATAGATTTCATTTCCATTTATTATACTAAATTAAGTAAAATTTCATTTTCATTTTTGAACATTTAGATTAGTTACTGATTGAAAGCCATCTTCTTTTTATCAAATACATGACTGTTTGTTATGTACTTCTGTTTTGATATGTATTCCTTCAACAGGTCATCTGAACAGATTTCCTGTACCACACAGCACTCACCTAGAACCATCACCAGTCTTACCAACCAACAGTATTACCATGGCAACGCATCATCCTAACAACTTATCCTCAGCTGTATCTCCCTCAGCCACACCCACAATTGATACATGGACCGTCAAGCCTTCCCTGTCTCTGAGCAACTCTCGTAGGAGACGGTTGTCTCTTGATCCACATGTCCGACTAAGGATTGATAAACTACAAGTGGTGAGTCTTTGTCAGATTCACTTTCATGAGCTTTTCTCTGCTTAGGATCATCTTGGCTCCAATGTTTGCATTTCTTAAAATCTGATACAATACAACATGTTATGGCTTTTGGTGAAGTGAGGTCGGTAAGGGTCACAGAAGAGGATGCTGCCAAAAGACGTTTTTCTTTTGTCGTTAAAAAAGTGAAACCACAAGTTTATCTCCAGTAATATTTTAGTAGTAAGTCAATTTTTACAAGTCGGCACTAAAATTTGTCATATTAGAGTTTGACATGTTTGAGTCAAAAGTATAACAAACTGCTCTGATATAATCTGACATCCTTAGGCTTTGAAGTATCTTGGGATTGAACCCACAGAAGAGGAGAATGCTGAGCTGAGATGCAGGTTGCAGGTGGATCAGTCAGGCATGGTACCTTATGGAGGTATGACTAACTCGTTAATAAGTACAGTATACCCACAATGTCATTGGGTATTCAGGAATATCTATAGGTCTAGACATGAAGAGTTTTGTAGTCCAGTCCATCACAAGTCCTCACAAGTCCCTCATAAGTCAGTCACAAGTCCATCATAAGTCAGTCACAAGTCCATCATAAGTCAGTCACAAGTCCATCATAAGTCAGTCACACGTCCATCATAAGTCAATCACAAGTCCATCACAAGTCCTCACAAGTCCCTCATAAGTCAGTCACAAGTCCATCATAAGTCAGTCACAAGTCCATCATAAGTCAGTCACAAGTCCATCATAAGTCAGTCACAAGTCCCTCATAAGTCAGTCACAAGTCCATCATAAGTCAGTCACACGTCCATCATAAGTCAATCACAAGTTCATCACAAGTCCTCACAAGTCCCTCATAAGTCAGTCACAAGTCCATCATAAGTCAGTCACAAGTCCATCATAAGTCAGTCACAAGTCCTTCTGAATGATAAATTGGTCAAGATGTTTGCCACCACACAGCTGTAACACGATGCATTATGAAGCTAATTAAATTTACTGGTTTTTTTTTATTTGTCCTATCTCCAGAGTTTGTTGCTGTTTCCAGACAGATCTTCAAGATGCAACTTGATGACAGTCGGTTAGGAGCAGGCTCATTGACCTTTGCAGCTCAAGACGTCACTGATTTTGCCGAACCACCTCCTTTCCATCAGCAGGTATGATTGCCTCTATTTCCATGAATCAGATGATTTCTTCAATTTCTTTCAATAAGCCTGTTCAGTATGAAGTAGTCCAGGTCAAACGTCATTCGGGATAAAATCGCGAACTCCCATTCTGCTCGTAATTATCACACGAGTGTCATGGGCCCTTCTCTCTGCGTATTCATGCGCCTTCGATGAGCGTTCGATTGTCCCGAGTTACCTGTGAGTGACCCATATTCCGAACAGTCTTCAGATAACTGTAAAACGAATTTGTAAATGCTTTTTTGGCCGTTCAGTTTCACGTCTGGTATGGTAAGTTGGACCTTTGGTTTGTTAAAGAATTCAAGGGGACCTGATCCAGTTTTAATTTGAGAAACCAGTAACATCCGCTATATTATATTCATTGTGTTTTGTGTATATTCTCTCTAGCAAGATGTTCCAAGCTCAGTACCAGTCAGTGAGCTAGACAGAGTCAGACAAGAAAGAGATGAAGCACTCAGAGAAGTAGAAAGGTTAAAGGTAATGCATTATTTAGCCTGGAATATTTAAAGGTACAGTAGATCATTTGCAGCTATCCAAAAAGATACCGACAAAATTATTGGTGAAAATCTTACTTGATTTAAAGATAGTAATGGCAGTAAACTCCCTGTGAAATTATTCTTTTCTGGCATGCTGTCATTTTGAAGAAAAAAATAAAAGAGGGCCATTTCCAAAGATGTGTCAAGTGACGCATTTTTGGACATTTCCGCTAGTAGGTGGTTTGTAATTTGGCGATATCCGTGGATGGGAGCACACAAGCATTGCTATTTTTCGTTGGTTCAGTGCGTGACGTCGCATAGCTGCAATAGGCTGACTGAGAACTTGTCTCGGATGCCAATTTCAGGCACAATTCAAAACATGACTTGGCACCTTTTGAATTGAAATTGAGATCCTGGAATACTGTTTCTCGAAATGTACAGCATTCACAGAGCTAAAACTTCAACAGGTTAGTTGTTAAGCACCCGTCTTTAGATTTTGAGCACGTTTGTTGCTTCAAACGAAAATGCACAAATGATCCACCCTACCTTAAATGCACATAATTTTGTAAGTGAAAATAGGAAGTGTCTCAAAATTTTGAATATTCCTTCAGAAACATGACGTATCCTTGTTTGGGAAACAATTATGTGTTCAGATATGTTACTAGTCAGAATGGGCTTTTGTCAAAGCACCAGACAGTATTCCAACTGTCTAATGGTCCAAGATTTCAGAGTTCTGAGACTTCTGAGTTGTGAGGCACATTCTGATAGCAAGAAGGAAATGCATGTATCAATCAAGAAAATCTGTCTACTTATCTCAGGTGCAACTTCAAGAGAAGGATCGATCCTTTAACATTGCTGAGGAAGAATTACTTCGAGTACGCAAGGTTGGTCAACTTTTAAAGAAATAAAGACAGGTTATTTAGGATACTTTTAATGGTATAGAAACGCTAGTGGGAAAGAAAAGCTTATCAGTCATTCGTTCTGCTAGTTTGATGAATCATCTACCTTAATTCTCTTATCAGGAATCACTGATGAAAGTAATTTATAAGAGTTGTACAATGGAGAGTTGCTTCTTTCTTATCAAAACAAACCAAATTAAAAGGTTGTTACAAGCTAGATTGAACCAGTCCGATCATTTAGCAATCAAGCAATCAGTCTATCAATCAATTTGATTTGAATTGTTTATCTTGTAGGAAGCTCAAGGAGCCATTCATGAGAGTCGAGCATTGAAGAGTCGCGTCCATCTTGCTGAAGCAGCTCAGAGAGAAGCTCGTAATATTGAGATTGATTATGAAGAAGTTGTCCACATGTTAGAAGCTGAGGTTGCTAAACTTCAGAAGAAGACATGCAAGACACCTCCTCCAAATAAGGTAGACGCTCACAGACATGATGTCTTCTTATGCCTACTTCCCTTTTACTACAATAGTGCATTAAAAAGGCAGCTGTACTGAAGTTCTCTAAATGGTTGTCATTTTCCAACTTCTTAAAGATTTTTCCTTCTGTATTACAATTTAACTTTGATCGTTTTTTTCTTTTCATTTGCAGGTCAGTTCAGCAGATATTGAGGAACTTCAAAAGAGGATAGCTGTCATGAGTTGTGAGCTGAGGAAAGCTGAGATTAGCAAGAAGACATATGAGGTAGCTACAGAGAAACTATTGCAGTTTGCTGAGGTGAGCAATAATTTAGAAGTTATCATAGAAATTCAACACTGGTGTTGACTGGTTTGACTACCGCCTGTCACAAAGCAGAAGGTAGTCAAAAATCAGCCAACACCGAGGGACTAAACATTTTGCACTACTTGCAAAAACTAAAGTATGTTGTATTTGTTTTAATTAAGGTAAGTTAAAGGTGTTTAATAAGAAAAGCTGCTATCATCCAGAAGTTTTATCCCCATCTTGTGATTTCATAGTGACAATCATCTTTTTTTCTACTTTATCTCCAGCTTGTCCATGAGTGCATCAGTAACGGTCCCAATGCCATCACCATAAGTAACACAAAGGGTCGTGGTGAGAGTGCCAGACGGGGTGATACAGGCTTCATACCTTCAGGGTATCTAGCTAAACACAACATACAAGGCCCATTAAATCTTGGGAGTGAAGCCAAGGAAACAGTCAAAGCAGTCAAGAAAATGCTAGAGGTGGAACGTAAGTACTAAGTTACTTCCTTCATGCAAGTCATCCTTAATTCATACTGTCATCAATAAGTTCAATCTGATTATAGTATTTTATAAGACAATGTCAATTGAAATTAAATGTTATTGAATCAAAAATACCACCACAAGTTGTAAAAACAATGCATCAGTATTTCCATTGTGATAAAGCAGTAATCTAATATCAAAATCTGTTTCTTTTCCATTTTTGTTTTTAATACTCACCTTATTTCTCAAATGAAGTTGCATAATGCTTTTGGTAAGTTACGTTCAAATTGTCGCTTAATTACTTTATTTATTTTTTCAGCCTTGCCTTACGGATGGGAAGAGGCGTACACAGCAGATGGCATGAAATATTATCTCCAGTAAGTTATCCACTCATGTTGTTGTATTCATATTCATTCAAGACTACATACATGTTCAAGAAGTAAAGCGAAAAATGCCACAAATTTCTGAACGTTCATTTGAAAATTTGTTTTAACTCCATGCCATGCACATGTGCGAACAAGTTCACGTGTGATGTGTGACCTTTACTGTCTCTAGTGAATATATCACTTAGTTTCATCTGCATGGAGTTCATACTCAACCAGATGATTAAGGACGCTGCCATAGAGTGATTGACCATCCATTCTTGTCGTCTTGCACTGATTAGAAGACCTGCTGTCTGTATGTCTTCCTCATGTGTTCTAATTGGGATACCATGATATTGAACAGAGCTCAGATATAATTATTCTTTTGTGTAATACCGTTGGGTAATACCTCTTATGAAACATATTTTTTTTTAAATACACTCCTTACAAAACGTTTCATAGGAAAAAATCCTAAAAAGCAGACCAACCAATGATGAGGTACTTTTACTTCGCATAGGTCACCCCCCCCCCCCCCCCCCCCCCCCCAATTAATGGAATGGGAAGGTTGTAGAAGGTTGTGGGGGGTACCAAATTTCCAACTATCGAATATTACTTTTATATAAATATTTTATGTATTCAGATTTCTGACGTCTGTACTCAACTCATGCACAGTTTAGTTAGTGACTTTTGATTGATGAAAATAACATTAAATAAAGGCTTTGCACGGTATCGTCATAAGACCTAAAAGTTTAGCTGATATCTTGATCATTAGTTTCATAATTTAAATTCTTTTTATTTCCTTGTCAGTCATGTTAGCCAGGGAACGACGTGGATTCATCCTGTATCTAGCATCAATCATCTGCCCTCCATAGATGAGAATGGCAGAGATGTACCAGAGACCAGGACGTAATAAGAATTACGAGGGTTTACAGTGTTACAGCAAATAACCCGATAGTCCGATACAATGTTTCACAATAACAGTTGAACAATCGTGACAAGGCTTTCCTGGATATCTTGTTTTAAAATGAAGATATTATAATATCAGATTTTTTTAATTTTCAAGACGATATGTAAATGTTTTTTTATGTGAAAAAATGAAAAGAAATTAACAATGAGCCTGAACTACTTTCCAGATATTCTGGCATATATAAAGTTATTGGTTCTTATTTTGTTCCTTTTGTTTCATTTTGTATGGTTTGTTGGGGTGTTTGTTCGTTTGTTTGTTGAGTTGTTTGTTGTTTGTTGTTTTTTTGGTGTGTGTTTATTATATTCATTTCATTCTTCTTTATTTAAATTGACTTTCAGTAACTCTATGAGTTATCTTTGATGCATTCTCGAGAAAAATTTGATACTGTAAATAAAAAGGGCATCTGGCTATTGTAACGTTTTTTCCCCTCCAAAATATGTAAATTATACATGTGTGTATATGTTTTTGTATAACGTTAAAATAATTCAGTCACGTACTTGAAAGAATTATTTCATAAATTCATGGAGACTCAGTTTATGAGCAGTATGACTTTATTTTGTTATGTCTGTATTCCAAATTTTGTGAATTACCATTGTAATAAATAATTGATTGTGATAAGATAAGTTTAATTTCTTCACTGGCTTTGGTCTGTTTTATTGGTTCTGTCGAACGCTGAAAGGACCTTTGAATAAATAATGAGATTTAGCTCCAATCTTTTATTATTCGTCTGATTAACTTGCCTTCATTCAACCAAACATGTTATGAAAAATGTATTCATTATTTCCTTTAATTTAGTGGACTTTTTGTCCACATACCGTTTAACTTATTATTGTTGTCGAGTCTTATTTTTCTTCACAAGAAAAAGATAATAAATTTGTGAACAGCTATGGATTTGTGTGATACTCCAAGTGATTACTTATTTTGAATTATTGTACATTTAATATAAAGAGCGCCTTTAGCATGTGGAGGCGTTTCTTCTATGGACCTTATAACAGATAGCAAAAATTGTCACTTTACAAAGCACTATGGGTAATCGAGTTGGCAATGAAAAATACGCACAGTACATACAGCTGTTCGGCCCGGCCGGCTGCGAAGCTAGCTCGCGTCACAAGCCAGGAGCCATAGTTAAGGTACGAACTTGTTATTATTAATTAAGCCTTGGGATTGCTACGCGTTGGCCAATAATGGGGAAAACATCAACAGGATAACATTCTTCCCGAGAAGTTCATTGTAATTTTCCAACTTTTTGTACACATGTGTACATAATGACATAGAGCTAGGACCCGTATCCTGCCTTGTCCATTACATTAGAACTATTTTGTGCAACATAGGCCTACTTGTATAGTCAGATAGTCGTGTTCCCTAACGTGGCGCACTTCGACGTTTCACTCGACTTTCCTCATGCAGTGTTGCCAAACCTCTTCATTGTAAAACTTGAAATTGCTTCAGTCAAATACTGGTACCTTAATAATACATGCTGTTTAAAATTTGTGAACAATTTCAGTGTCATGAAATTAAGTCCGAAATTCAAAACAGTGGCGTCCGGAAATTGGGCACAAATTCAGCTGAGTGTTCCCTAACGTGGCGCACTTGAACAAATCTCAGAAAATCCCACATTAACATTTAAGAATTTCTTTAAAATTGATAAATTCTGATAAATCATTATAACCTACACTTACATACCCAGCTACAAGTTTGTGGAGAAATTATTTTTCTTATTTTTGGGCGCATTTTAAAAGAGTTCATTGTGCACTTAAAAAAAAAATAGGAAAATCATGCCCAAATAGAATTTCATTGGAACTTTGTAGCGGGTACGTAAACTCAAGATTTATGAGCAGGAATGTTTATAGAGCTTGATGAAATTTCACTAATTGTGAAATTTGAGGTAAAAATGTTGCTCTAGCAAGGCACCGGAGGTGCAAAATCAAAGTGCGCCACATTAGGGGCCGCGCCACGTTAGGGTACATCAACAATACGTGGTCCACAGATAGCAATATAGATGGTCATTTTAAGGAAAAGTGTTAAGAATTTTGAAATTTTAATATGCATGCAGCTTTAAATTTTGGAGGTAACTTTATCATGTTTTTTTGTTTTCCGGTAGGCTTTTATTGTGTCTCCTGATGTGCTGCTTGTCGACATGTCCTGTACAGTCTGGCTGCACCTTTATTCTCAACCATCTGCAGCTAGTGTAACATGCACGGCACTTCATGACCTCAACTGAATAGTGTGCACATCAAGTTTTCCTCAGTAATCAGCATTTTCTCTCCAAGTGAGATTGTGATATCAATCATGCATTGTGCAGCAGCATCCTGTGTGAACAATTCAAAATACAGGGATAGGTAAGGATTGTTGATTTTGACCAACTTACTAAACCCTATAAAGTGAACTCTCATTATTCATGTAGCAAACTTAAACAGCGAAATTACAAACAGGACCTTCATAAAAGAACGCTGCAAAATAAAATAATTTAATGAGACTCGGGATCTCAGATTTTGCATTTTCTCTTTATAACAGGATTTTGCCCTGATAAAGAGTGCCCTTTACCAGCGGCGTAACTAGGGTCATACTTCCGAGGGGGCACCCGGGGGTGCACACATTTTCAAGGGGGGCACTGAATATATCTATTTTATATAGTCTGTATAATTTTATATAATTTTATCCCTTATATAATTCTTCAGGTTGATTGTTATGCCACATGTAATTGAACTACAGTTCCATAAGGCACATGCAGAGGACTACACTAAATGGGAAAAGAAGCTTGACAAGACGGATTACAGGGTGTCACAGTATACAAGAATTTGCAGTAATCACTTCAAGTAAGTCCTTCCTTTTTAATACATGTACTTGTTGAAAACTGTGCGGTATTCTTTGTTAGTTTCAGTTTCATTCATTTTGCATCATACTTAGTTCATGTGATGCGACAATGTTCACAAACTGTATATTCTCATGATTCTATTGCGATAGGTCAATTGTAAGTTATCATATTCTTGTATTTGTATATTTTCTGATGATTTGCATACAGTGGCGTCGCCAAGGGGGGGGGGGCCAGGGGGGGGGGGCACGTGCCCCCCCCTGGAAAACTTAGTGCCCCCCCGAGTGCCCCCCCATCAAATGCTGGTGCCCCCTATCCTCTGCAAAATTCTGCGCGTTGTTAAAATCATTACCTCAAAAATAGCAATTTCTTGAGATATCTTCAGATCGAATTTAGCATCAAATGTGGCACCATTTTGCATCTAGCCCATCCTCCGTATGCGAAAATTTTCCAAAGGGGAGGGGGGCACCCCCTCCCCTTAGACCCCTCCCCCAGGACGGCGATCCGTATCCACCTAAGTGCCCCCCATCAAATGCTGATGCCCCCCCAGTGCCCCCCCCCCCCCCAGACTGAAAAGTCTGGTGATGCCACTGTTTGCATATGACATGTTTGTGCATGGAAGAACAATTTTGATTATCTGAAATGTCATAGCATGGCTGTTCTGCATGCATCTCCCACCGTAGTGTCTGTAAAAATCCAGAATAGTTGCAAGAATGAGTGTTGTTTTAATACTTGTCTCAGGTTATGAATTTGTGCATATTTTAAGCTTATAGATTTGTGCGCAAACATGGATGCTATCAGCAGCGTTTGCTCTTTGTTAGGAGTTAGATCTCTAGTAATGTAATTAAGCTCTGTGACTGTTTCACCTTTCTTCCCTAATAAAATACTTTTAACATTTCACATCACAGGTATGGTAAGCCATTAGCAGGGAGTTCTGTTCCTACACTGTACATGCGTTCCTACCCGGACTGGGCATTGTCAAGAAAACAGGCAGCTAAGGAAGTTGCAGCAGTAGAAAATGGACTGATTTGTCATGCATTGGTGCATGTGTGTAAGTATCTGGACCCACAGACAACAACTAGACTTGCGGAGCAGCTGAGAGTACAACCTGGAAAGAACAGTGACTGTATTTTCCAAAAATTGCTGTCCATGTCTAGTACTGAGGCTAGACAGTTATTACAGCAAGTTGCACCAATTGTGCCGGGAGGAAAATGTTTAGAGGCCCTCCATATTTATAGATATGGAGCCTTGTGTGAAGGGACCGGTTGGTTATCGGCTCAGTTTCAGCCCACTAAAGTTGACTCTGTCTGCGCTAATAAAAGGAAAGACTGTAATCCTTATTCAATACCTGCCTTCCATTCATATGCCAAACCTGAAACATTCAAACAGTCCACAGAGATGGTTCATTGTGGACACCAGTGTAATAGAAAAGAGGGTGTAGCTTGGAGGAAGCACAACAATAAAAAACAAAGATTAACAGCAGTGGAATGTAAAGAAGAAGTACTTTATGAAAATTACTTCCATGGAGATTCAACTCTTAGGGAAACACAAAATATCCAGCTAAGTGAAAAAATCACTGAATCTGAAAGTGCATTGAAGTGCACACAGCAGATCATGAAAGGACCAAAAGTGTCCATCGAGTCAATAAAGCATTCTGATGAACTTATTCAGCTTCATACCGGGTTGCCGTCATATCAGTACTTCAAGTGGATTTATAAAGAAGTTGACAAGGCATCAGAAAATATGAAATATTGGCATGGTAATGGATCAGAAAAGGCCAAAAAATATATAGAAACCAACCAGAAAAAGCCTGGACCAAGTCGAGTGGTGTCTAAAGAAAATGAACTCCTGATAACTTTAATGAAGTTAAGACTTAACATGATGGAGGAGTACCTGGCATACCTTTTAATGTTAAGCAGCCCACAGTCTCCTCCATATTATCCACATGGATTCCGTTGTTGAGCCATGAACTGTCTGGATTGATTTACTGGCCTGAAGTGGAGGAAATCAAACTTTGCTATCCAGATTGTTTTAAGAGATGGCCAGGCATTAGAGCACTATTAGATTGTTTTGAAATCCCAACCCAGAAACCATCGCATGTAGAGGCAAATACACAAGTATTTTCATCGTATAAGAATCGGGCCACCACCAAATTCTGCCTTGCTTGTACACCAGGAGGATCTATCTCCTTCATATCACCCCCAGCAGGTGGAAACATGTCGGACAAGGAGATTGTCATTGCATGCAACCTTCCCCAAAAATTCTCCCCTGGTGATAAGTGTATGGTTGACAAAGGTTTCCTTATCAAAGGGGAGTTGTTGGAGTATGGTGTTGAACTTATCCATCCACCTTTTGTACATAAAGGCCAGCCTTTCACTGAGGAAAAGAATAGATTGAGCAAGCAAATTGCACATGCTCGAATTCACATTGAGCGCGTCATTGGTAGGTTACGTGACTACAAGTACTTGTCAAGTGAAATACCAGTGTCTCAACTGGATTTGATAGGTCCTGCAGCTAGGGTATGTTGTGCTCTTACCAACCTTAAAAGTTCTGTTGTTGGAAAGAGTTAGTGGTGAACAAAAAATGCTACATTTTAATAAAATGTTCACCCATTAGTTAATGTTTATGATGATGTGAATGTTGTTTAATACAGCTGTGCATCAGTGTGCAAAAACTACACAGCTTATGTTTTTGTTGGGGGATGTTTGTTCATTTTGATCAAACAAAACTAAGATGATGATTGCGATGATAATTTAAAAAAAACAGATATTAAAATGAACCAGGCCTGACTTTTTAACCAGAGGTTATCAGTTTTCATTTGAATGAAGTACTCAAAAAAAGTATGCACAATGAGAGTTATCATTCAATATGAGAGTTTGTTCTGCGTCTGTATAATTTAATACATTTATTTACATGAACCGTTTCACTGGTAATTCCTGACCCTCTCAGTGAGATAGCAACTGTGGCATACATTGTAAACATGGTAAATGAAGTTTTTACCAATGGCATTATTGATGCTTTTTTCTTAATAGTTGTTCTCATACAAACTGATTATACAATGTTTACCAGAGGATTTAAAATATTTAACAAACTTGAATTTGCAATAAATATGGTAAATTTTAGTTTAATGAATAATGAACCCGGTGAGTAGATGTATGTAGATGTATATACATGTATATATATGAAAAATATATATATGTGCAATTAATGCCCTTTAGTTTATTTTAATTAATAAATTATTAAATACATATACAACTGTAGAATAAGAAATCCAATGGATTAGTCCCTTTGGAGACATATCTGTCATTATATTAGTTCTGTTTGAAAAAGTTTTACATATACCTTCCAGCATTCTTGTTGAAATCCCTGTGCAGTGCTGCACTACACCTTGGAAACCATACCCCATAATTAATTTGTGAAGATTCAAATGACAATATATATACATTGAACTGCAATAAACTGTGAATGTTTCATACAGAAAATCATTTTCCTTATTTTGCACCTTTATTTTACAAGTGTTTGTTATGAAAACAACTTGTTCTGGAAAATCTGTCTTTTTCCTCTCAAAAGTTATATATTTTCCCCCAGTTTGATAGGACTGAATCATTCTACATGTACATGTATATAAGGGTTGAACATGTTATTTTTTGTTCACTCAAAAAGCCAGTGGTGAAGTATCCATTTCTAAACAGAATCCCCCATCAGTTTGTCCACTGTGCAGAATACAATCAAAAGCCCTGTCGATGAATTTAAGATTTAAAAAAAATGGAGGTGGAGTTTTGGGTCAAGGAAATTTGAACAACAATATACAATACTTGCTTTAAGGTTCAGTTTGCATTTCCTTATATTTCAGTGCAATTTTCTTTTCTACAGCTCCAGTTTCAAGCTCAGACAGGACTGCATTGGCCCAGAAACTTGATGCCTTGTGTTTCATTTGATTGATTATTTCATCATTTCTGTAAACACGTTGTATCAACATACTATCTTCTTTTGCTTCAGTCATCAACACAAAGTCACAGTATTTCCTATCTGTGCAGAACAACTGACACTGAACCTGGGCATAGTAATTGTGGGTTGTTCTCAGGCTTACTTTGTCTTCGTCAACTGTGAGGCAGGTTTTCCCTTTGGATGCATATTGTGTTACAGTTAGTGATTTGTCTTTAAAGGGACACTTCACTTCCACAAGTCCTGCTCCACAACACTTGCAGTTTACATAACCATCTGGACTGGCTGCAATAAATGGGTGACTACTGGATATGCAAAGTCCAATCTTTTCCAAGTTGAAATGTCTATGTGTTCTGCGCATCTTCATCAGATATTTAGATTTTGCTACAGCTTCATGTTTTTTACCATAGGTGGTGGCTGGTGATACAAAGTCCTTATAGTAAGACATCACAGTAGCAATGATGCTATGTGTGGAGCCAGTAAGGTTCCCAGATTCATCCACGTGTTTCGTAACAGCCCCCATGTTAGAGGCAGTTATGCGCCCAACTCTGTGTTTGTGCCACATATGTGATTCTGCCTGTTGACATGTTGATTCAGCCAACCACTCTCTACTGCGACCACTACAGGCCATCTCTTTTGTCATAGCTGTGTATGTGGCTGCATCAGTACCTGCACTTTTCTTCACTTCTCTAAAGGCATCTACAACAGATGAAACTCTAATTGGTGAAGATGATGATATATCTTCATCTAATGTGGAATTTAGATGATTGATATCCGGCTTTGATGTCAATGTTGGGTGAACATGCCTTTGATGTGCTGCATATAAGAGCACTGCAGCCTTACCATTTGATATGTCAGCCAAACTATCTAAATCATAATCGCATAGCTTTCTTACTTTCTTGTTTACCACAGCGCGAGGATCAAACATGTCCCTTCGACCCTTCCTATTGTCACACATTGAAGATGACACTTTGGGTGTTTTAATGTCTTTCAGGAATGCCGATGTCTTTAATTTCTGGTTAAGATTGCTGCTGCTTGGCCTGTGCCACTGTTGAAGCTGGCTTGTGCATGACTCACTGGAACCACATTCCACTTGTTGTGTCACAAATGACAATAGCGCTGCAACGTGTTTACACATACCGCTGAGCCTAAATTTGTTAAGAGAAGGGAGATAAAAAAAGAAGAACATAAAAAACAATAAACAACAGAAAACAGATTGTTGCACTTCAGCCTTTCCAAACTACACAAATTACACAATAACAGACCAATTTTGTTCAGAATGATTATTTTTCTTTCTCAATCACCATCTGTTGGTAAATGGTAAACTAATCAGCCCTCCCCTCAAAACCCCCCAAAAATTAACTTGAGTGTGACACCCTACAGCAGAAGCACACTCAGAATTTAAGAACAAATACAGCAGCTCCCTTTTGAATGGGAAATTCAACGTCAATGCCCAGTTTCAGTGATTTCAAGTTTTAGGCTTGTTAATACTTCATTCCAATTTGTGAGCAAAACTAATTTATTACCTTAAGTGTAATGGCAGATTTCACAAATGAAGAACATTTGCGGAGTTTGTGACATTCGCATGGCTTTGCATTTGTGTGAAGTGTGAACTTGTCTTTTTTTATAAAAAAAATACAGTTTGCAACTTCATATGGCCCATTTGTTATGTACGGTCATGAATCTCACCCTGCAATGCAATGACAATCTGCCTGATGTATAACACCTGTATTTTTAAATACAAGGATCCACACCATGTATGGCTGCTCATGAACTCTTGTTTGTGGTACAACCAGTCCTCGAATGTAGCTGAGCCCTGTTGAAAAAATAAGTAAATGACTTGTTAATTCCCTCATTTGTCATTTGCAGATTTAGACACTTTGTAAACATATCACACTTCAAGAATTAGTACACTGTACATTGTATACATGCACATGTACATGTAAATTTTTCCACCACACCATTCATATGTACTCAGTCAATGGTCAAGAGAAACATGTGATAAATACAGTGTACATGTAGAACAGCCCCCAAAAGAAATGTGGTTGCAATCTGCCATTCATTTTGATATTTGTCTCACCTACAATATCACTGATGTGGTGGTGTTCAACTGTGTGCACCCTGCCCCTGGAAACTGCCATGCTCCTTCCTTGACCGAGAGATTTGCTGCCATCTGTACTTATCTCAAGTTCTTTGTTTCCTGATTAGAGGAATTAGGTTTTGCAAATTAGATAGCTTTCTTAATACATGTACATGGTCGTCACGGTGATGGTCTATATGTATACATGTAAAGTAGCCTTAGTTTAGGGCCACGCTACTGGACTCCCTCCATATCAGTAGCCCTATAAACATGTGAAAAAAATCACAGGGGGAAATTTTGAAAACTAGTTTTTTCCCTTAAACTATGCGCCGTGAAATTTCACATACACTCTCACTTACCCATGCCAGGTGATTTCTCACAAAAAGTGCAATATCCTGATTTCTACTTTTCTCTTAACTCAAAATTTCTCTCCAACTTTGGAGCCAAATTTCACGAAAAGTAGAAATGAGGATATTACCCTTTTTGAGAAAGAGCACATACAAGGCATGGCATGGTATATGGTGAATACCCGGTGAAAGTGTATGTGGAATATCAGGGCTCATAGTTCCGGAAGAAGAAATATATTGTTCAAAATTTTCCCCTGTGATTGTGTACACATGTGTTTAGGGCCAAGGATTATGGAGAGAGTCCAGTGCACTAGGCGGCTACTACTACAAGTAGTCCTAGTAACTTGGACCCAAATATCACCTTTTTAATATGGCCGTTTTCCGTGACATTTTTTTGGGGGGGGGGGATAAGTGTGGGAGGTCAGGGGGGTCGATGTGCAGACATTTTGTACCGCGATCCGTAGGGCTTTCACTTGAACTCTACTAGCCTATCACCCGACCATGTCCAAATATTAAAAAGGTGATATTTGGGTCCAAGTTACTTGGAATACTACTACAGTATATAAAGATGGTACATGTACATAATGTACCATTACTATACTGTACATCATGTACATGTTTGTTGCAAAATATACATGACAATTGTCAAAGGCTAACACAGTTACTCATTGGAACTTGATGCACTTTTTACCCAAATTATTATATTAAACATTTTAATAGTAAGCAAATTTAAAAAAAAAAATCATTCCAAACCATTTTTCACACTCCCAGAAATGTAAATTGTAATCATGGTAATCAGGTGATAAATCTCTAAAATCACTAAGTGTCACCGTGAGACTAGACCAGGTCAGACTAAATAATTTTCTTTGTCTTTGAACTTAAAAGACTGTAAACGTTACATCATACATGTGTGAGTGACTTACGTGTCCGGAAATAATGGTTTACTTTTTCTTCTGTAATTGGTGGAAGATTTGCGGATGTACCTTCCCAGCCATCGAGAGTGAGGGGGTGAGGCAACTTAAATTGTTCTCCAAAGCGAAGCTTTCTCTCCCGGCTTTCACGTCTGCTCAGTTCTTCGTTACTGGCCGTGGGCACTATGGGGAGTCCCAACTTCAATGCATAGAACAGCCGCTTTTGCAGACAGTCTTTAGAACCGCTTTTCGGAACGTCCACTTTTGACAGAAATTCCTGCAATGTTTTCACGTCGAACTGCCTGACACATCCCCAAAGTTCTTCATCAGTGACTTCAAGGTTCATGCTGAACAAATTACTCAACTTCTTAAAACGATAAAAATAAAAATGATAATTATGGTTACACTTTCAAACTAGGCGCTCTTTGTACGTACGGGTACGACGCGACGTGACGAAAAAGTATTAACAAATTTCCTTACCAACAATTTTTCCCACTGTCCTTTGCGCGCGCATGCGCAGTGGCAAAATCGAGCTATCTGTTATAAGGCCCATGATGTGTATGTACACGTATGTAGGGCGCCCTCTTTTGGGTTTTCTAACCCCGTTCAAACTTCACGATCGGCTGCTTAAGCTTGCCCCTAGTTAGTGCAAAGCCTGGATATTACCCCTTCGCAACCCTCATTTCCACAAGATAGAGAAAAAGGGTCTTTTTGAAAATTTAAACCAAACGATAATTAAACCGGAAAAAGTCCGTCAATTTTTCAAACGTAAAATTGTATCGGGGCGGCGCTGAATTGACGGAGCAATTTTCCTGCCGAGTGAACAAACTTTTTTTTAAACAAATTCTAAATAAAATATCTTGTATACTCCATCCAAGTTTTATACATTTTGATATTTTATACAATTTCGCTAAAGGATTATTTTCGAAATGGATGGGGGAACATTTTTCAGGTAAACTATGACAGAGTGGCATTTTTCTCGTCCAAACCCGGCAAGAGGAAATAGATGTACATGCAGATGGAAAGCCTTCCTCGGTTTGGGCAAGTTTTTTACCTTTTTCGCCCGAAAAGAATGAAAGAGGCCGGTACTGAAAATTGAGCTCCCTCCCACCCCTCCCACCCCCCCCCCCCCCCCATCACCATCACCGGTCAAACACCCAGGATCGCCCCCCCCCCCCCCCCCCCCCTAAAAATGAACCCCCCAACCCCTTGGACCGCAAGCCGAAGTGAACGGTTTTTTTAGAGAAAGCCCAAAAGTATGTGAAACAATGACCTTCAACTTCACCAAAAAATAAAGTTCGATAAGCCTTGCAGGAAATACATTGTTTGTTATTGTTTGAGAAATTGAGGTCATTTAATCATTGTTCCTTGTTGACATACTCCTTTTTTGTTAGTGACGTCAATTATATTAACTCCGCAATGCATTGAATATACCGCAGTTCAGCTGGTACACTGCATTTCAACACATTTCAAAGAAGAAAGAACAGACACCAGCGAGAATTCTTCGTGTCCGCCATGATGGATTCGACGTTGTAGTTTTGTTTATTTATTGACGATGTTGCGGCGCAAAGTGGTTGATAGAATCCTTATTCCTCGCCATTTTTGAAATTGTCATGTGTCCGTGAGTAAAAATACTTTACTTTATTCATATTGGCGTGACACCCGACGGAGTCAACGGGGTTAAAATCCGTCTGGGACGGATGATCATTGATCCGCTGTGTTGCAGAGGAACCGCCGTGTCACTGTCCCGCAACATTTCACCAGGAACTACGCAATGACACCAAATTTGCGGTCTATTTGTCACGGGGATTTGCACATTGTCTTTGAAATACCAATTATACGACTTTACTTATGTCATCCAGTGGAAGAGAAGGAAACTACTTGTTGATGATACGTCGAAAATAAACAGTTTACCGAGACCATTGTCGTCCATTACTTTGCAAAGTAACAGGGAGTCACTCAAGAGTCAGAGCACTTTGAAGTTGAACTGAACTTTTTGAAGGGGAACGGGCAGACAAAGCTGCCACCATGTCTAGCAATTCCACCAAAAAGAATGACAAGGTAAACATTTAATTGTCAAAAATAAAATCAGTTTGACTAGAGTAGGCCTGTTAATTTTCTTTTTTATTTTACCATAAATTTGTTTATTTTAAAAGTTTAACATGTTTAACAATCACTTTCATGGTCAGATGGTAGGCCTATGTGCCGCTTAACACTACAGTCACTTCGCCCCATGTCACTTCGCCCCTAACCACATCCCCCCATTGTGACTTCGCCCAATCTCCACATCCTCCCGCCGCCACTTTGCCCCATTTCCACTTCGCCCCGCTACCATGCTTGATTGTGTAAACGTCAAAAACAAGAAGCCTCTTCTGACCCCCCTCCCATACAGCCATTAATGATTAATCACATCATCCAATGAAAAAAAAACATAATGATTAGCTTTCTTTAATATATTGTAACTTTAGAACCCTAACCCACCTCACTCCTCCAAAATCCTCCTGGCGGTTTTGGAGGATTCTAGAGGATTGAGGATGAATGGTGATTGAATCAAATGAGGATTCTGGAGGATTGAGGATGAATGGTGATTGAAGCACATGAGGATTTTGGAGGATTGAGGATGAATGGTGATTGAAGCACAAGAGGATTTTGGAGGATTGAGGATGAATGCATTTTGAGGCAGGACTGTCTGATGATTTTGAAGGATTTGGCGTTGGTTATCCTTCATTTAAACACGAGTGCAAAGTTTTGGGATGAGGAGGATTTTGGAGGATTGAGGATGAATGCATTTTGAGGCAGGACAGTCTGACAATTTTGAAAAATTTAGGCGAAGTTGCAAAATTTTGGAAAATTTTGGAGGATTTTGGAGGATTGAGGATGGTTGTAAGCAACAAGGGCCTAGGGGGTTAGGGTTAGTTTTTTACAGATTGCTCTTATAATGTGATATGAATGTAAAACTGTTTCTTTTCACATTTAGGCCTAAGGCAAAATTTAAAAAAAAGTTTAGCGTCCTGCCTTTTTCACACAAAAAAGTAAGCGGGAGGTCTTTTGTTTTGTTGTTTTTTCTTCCAAAATGGCCGCCCAACCTGGCTATTTTTCAAGATGGCCGCTGGTTATTTTTTTAAATGGCCGCCATTGGACTCAGGAAATGACCTACCAGAATTATTTGTGCTAGATGCAACATTCACAGAGGCCAAAATGATGTCACTGTTGAAAATTTATATTTTTTTTTTGGTTAAAAAAAGAAAAAAAGAGGCGGCCTCCAAAAAAGGAAGCAAGCGGGGACGCTGAAATTGTTTTTTATATTATTTGGCCTAAAGATCACAACACAAAAGAGAGAGAAGAAATTGTTGTGAGCTATTAAATAAAAATACCATTAAATCAGTTTAAATCTTTAAAAAATGGAAGATGGACTGATTCGAATTAAATAATCTAGCCATTCTAATAATCGAACAGAAGTTTTTGAAGATCCTTTTGTCACATGTCAGATAGGTCTCGCTTTGAAAGTTCTGAATAATCAGTCTATGTTTTTTCTTCTTTTTTTTTTGGCTCTGCTCATGTGGTCTGCTCATTCCAATTATTGGGAGCCATAAAGCAGTTTAAATCTTTGAAAACAGAAAGCTTGGGCGAAGTGGAAATGGGGCGAAGTGGGTATGGGGCAAAGTGGGGATGGGCGACGGGGCGATGCATCGCCCCATCGCCACTTCAGCCATCCCCACTTTGCCCCATCGCGATGGGGCGAAGTGGGGAAAGGGCGAAGTGGGGATAGAGCGAAGTGGGGATGGGCGAAGTGGAAACGGTGCGGAGTGACTGACAACCTATGCGCGCGCCGATTCAAATTGTTTGATTCTGCATTGATCTTAATAGTACTAGCTACATGTACGTGTGTGAACTTTGTTGTGTACAAGTGGGAATGATACACCTTCGATTCCAAATATAAATCTGATGCCTTTTAATGAGGTCACTTGGTCAATTCCCATTTAACTGTAGTTTGTCATTTAATTGTAAACAGGAAGTAATCCATTGCACTGGAAACACTTGATGAAACCAACAGTGCACCCCCACTGCTGCCCAAGGAGCTCTTAATCTTATGAATTTGTGAAATTTGCATTTGGACCTCATTTTTCAAAAGGTTTCAGATACAAAATGTTCATGACTAAATTTATGTTCATGTATACAGCTTTATACCTGTTCTGGGAATTTTTGACTTTGTCGACATGTTGAAATTGTGTATTAGGCAGGCAGCATGTTAATTACCCCCTGAGGAAAGCAAACAATTTTTCCTTATTTGAAGATTACATGTATGTGTTGACATCAAATCACGTCATTTTCAATGCCCAGCAGATACAGAATTTTTGTCTGGCAAACAGCCAACCGTAATATGCCAACTGTTGCCCATGGCGCATCCTCACTATACACGAACCTCTACATTGTAGGCAACTGGACGACGAAAAAAAAACACAGTAACTGAATTTGCTTCAGAGCTGTGTGGAATGCCCGACTCCCATAGAACCTGAAAGTTCACCCCTGATGGCGCGCTTCCGGAACCCTTGAATAGGAAAATTAGCATGCAAATTTCCAGAATTTTCAAATATTGTTGGTTCATTGATTTCCTAAGAAAATCACCTCCATAGTTTCTAGCATATCAGTTTATGGAAACTTATCGCCTGACATGAAGGAGAAATATCTTGCTGAAAAAAGTGTAACTAAATGTTTTGGCTGCATATGTCATGCGTACAAGGTACACATGTACATGCAGTCTTGGTACAGAAACAAGGTATCCTTTTTGTAACCCCATGAGTATAGAATGACAATACCCTTTCCTTTGTTGTTGTAGCTCTCTTCAGGGACATAAAAGGCAATGTGGCCGTGGTCAATTGTCCAGGTACAGGTCAATCAGTTTAGGGTCAATACTTGAGAGTCAAGTTGCCAGACATCCCAGCCTCATGGCATGAATCATCGTGCATATTGATGTCCATGCCAGAGGGCCAAGGATCCAAACTAAAGGATAAAGCAGTCCATAATGCTTCTATTGTTGGAACCTACCAGAACAGCTTTGTGTCAGAATATCTTTGTGAAGAAGAATTTAATTAGTGGAAGACAATTCTGTTGTGTGATCAAAACCTTCACCCTAACCCTAATCTTGTCAATCATGTCAATTGACAAGGCCCAAAATGTCAGAAGGTTTGCTACATAATCTTGCTGGCATTGTGGAAATGGCTTATTGTAGTACAGTAAAAAAGAAATGGACTAGCAAGCCACCAGTTACAATATACCAAGACTCTGTAAGTTTGTCCAACCATATACAAGTAAAACAATGCCACAGAACTGGTAGTTTTTATTAAATTTGAGAAGTAATTTTGGAGCCCACATTTCAGCTTGGGAAAATAGAGAGATTGTGCTCTTTATATGTAACCCAGAATGCTGTCAAATTTTATTGATTTGTGCAATGTTAGTAAAATCTTTAAAAAGTTACATTATCAATAAATTAATGTGGAATAATAATGAATGGCCAAGATGGGGTTGATTGAGAATTATATTGTACCAGAACACATGGCAACAGAGCATGTGTGCTCAGTGCACATTCTCCCTGCATGAAAGTCCCTCCTCTTCTGTTTGCTATAGTTCATCCTAATTACCCATTTAATTGTCAGGTGAAAAAAAGCTTGTTAATTTAATTAAACAAGCAAATCTACGTGTAGGACTGTAGGTTCTTCTTTACAAATTTACAAAATGTAAACAGCTCTAGACTGGTCAATCAAATTAAAAATTTACAATGTACATGTAACTTTTTGTTTCATCAGTTTTGTTTACATGATGAAGTATACATGTATATTGTATGTGTATTTGGACAAGGAATGCACTGAAAGCTGTCATGTTATTGCCATGTTTGTATGATGACAAGATGGATCCTCTATGTGCATGTAAAAAGTATTATAAATAAATGACTGAAACTGGAATTGTTTATCTGGGCTGTACTATAAACTCTAAATACTATGTTGTACATGTCCATGACGTACTATGAGTATCTTTCAGTTCTATTGTTGAGCACCATTGTTCAGCCAATAGTGATTATTTAGAAGCAATTTGTGATGGGTAGTGTTCTGTTTTTGAAATACTCAGGCTGAAAATGTTCATTGAATCAAACTGTTTTGTTTTCATGGATTTGCCTTTTTCCAGATCATTCTACGATTGATCCACCCTATGAACGGTAACAGCAAGGAGTTTACATTCACACCAAATGATTCAGCTTCTGATGTAGCACAATTTGTATTTGAGAACTGGCCACAAGGTAAAATAACATGCAGACATTTAGTACATGTACATTTGTGTACATTGTGCATTGAACCAGTGTACTGTACATTTGTAGGCAGGGCTTTCACGCTTGATTAAACGTTATGATCAATGTCAAATCCTGTAGGTTTTTTTTATCTGCATTCACATTTGAATTAGGAGCTCCATTTAATTGGTATGAGGAGCCTCCATGTAAGTGAACACTACAATGTGACGCTCATTTCCCCAAGAGAATTAACTGCAAATTTGTATACATATTAGTGTCACATACGTAGTTATGACCTTCACTTGCATGTCTGAACAATTCCAATACTACATTTGTAACGTTTTTGTGAAATTGCTGATTATTCCTTTTATTTAGTTTTATAAATGTCAATATTTTGTTTTAAGAGTGCACCCAAAAGTTAGAAAATAATTATCAGATAAACAGTAGGAATCTTGATGTCCATCTTTGTCATTATATCTCTTTTGTTTTGCCGTGAGTTGTTGACGACACTAAAGGTTCAGCAGGTGCATTTATTTATTCTGCTTCACAGCGCAGACCTAGAACTATTGATTGTACACGCTGCCCTAAGACAGACATATTCGCTTAAAGCACTTCAGCATATCAAAATGATCCCATACAAGCAGTTACTAACCAATTGAAGGCCGAGAATATAAAGAGACAAGAACAAAACTGGAAGGTCATGGTGACTTGGCATGATTGCAAAGGAAGTAGTGAAGAGGAAAATATAACAGTGTAACAAAGTCATGCTTTATGTTTTGAGGTTTGGAAAACTGTTGCGTTCGTCCCTTAAAATTAAAAACATTAAAAAGTCATTTCATTGATCAAACTGTATTGATTTAAGTAAGGTTTCTCCTTAATTAAACAGACAATATACTCTTGTGTTGGACTCATAGACCAGACCATCTAATTTATAATAACTGCAAGTCGTGATTCTGAACATATGTTTATAATATCACGTGCATTTTTGCCGAAGTTTGCTTCCTTGTATCATGGAGGAAGAAATATAAAAACAACCTTGTTTTGTTTTACCACCTCAGTAAATTAGTGCAAACAAAGAAGTGCAAAGCAACTTTTCACCTTGCTAGATACACGTACTATCCCTGATTTTTGTAAAAATGTAAATTGCTGTGCACTTGTTTTTCAATATAAATTGTCTGTACTGCAATCATACCTTTTGTTGTGATTGTATCCATCCATCTCAGCACTTAGTTTGGGAAATTGATAAGATTTTGATATTATTTTTCCTCCAGAGTGGGAAAGTGACCGTGTATCGTCTGCCTCTATTCTTCGTCTCATATACCAAGGCAGATTTATTCATGGAAACGTCACTCTAGGAGGTACGGATTTCTCTGGATTATTTGTCCTCTTTTCATTTTCCCTGTCCCATATTTTCTTTGTTTACATCCTTGGTTATAATGTTATTGACTCCATGCAGTATAAGTGAACCAACGAAACTCATGTCTGGTTCTGGAGGGAAATTTAAAAATGAAATATAATAACAAAGTTTACAAACAGTATTTATGTTCTCACTGGGTTTTTTTTATATTTGAATGGAACATTTGTGCATACTGTTTTTTAAACTTTGAAGTACTGAACCACATGTTATGAAACATTTTCATCCTAATTGAAGATCAGGTTTGAGTATGTACACTTAGCATGTCTTGAATCAAGCAATCCGTTCATTCCTTATTTGTATCATCTTTTTTATATTGTTACTTGACAGCCTTGCAACTTCCAGCAGGCAAGATTACCGTCATGCATCTGATGGCTAGAGAAACCTTACCAGAGCCTAACTCACAAGGTCAGTGCATCATCTCTCACATCCAACCCAGCAAATAAGCCCTATTCCTGTATATTGTAACTTCAGAAATGGTCCTTATGGTTTTTAAATATTATTAAATATATAACAAGACAAAACGACGGTCGTGTTGATGATGAATAAATAAAGTGTACTTTAAACATTCAAAAGCAAATTTCCAAAATTGACATATGTTTTTTGACTTGTTCAAAGTTTGACTTCCCCCTAAAAGAGGAAATATTCCTGGTTGTTATCAGGATAATCATTATGGGTGTTTGTTCTGTCAAGCATGGGAAGTTACATTTTTTTAAAGACCTTAAGACTATATTAACAAGATTTTATTAACCAATCAAACAATTAAAAGAATGCAAAGCAACCAATTCGTTATCTTATTTCTAAAAGGAAAAAGCTCACATTAATAACACATCAGACTCGGCTTTCTGCCAAGCAGATCACATAAAGAATCAGGAAATTCATCTATTCCCAGTTAATTTTATTTGGTGAAGTCCACCCAAGGCAGCAGCGACTTCTATAAATACCTGCTATTGTCAAGCCATTTCAACAAACACTGGAGGGGGGCAGTCTGCCTGAATATGTGATAAGACTGGTTAAATTTGCTCATCTAAATGTCACAGCGTTGACATTTAATTATTACACACACACTCCAACAAAACATGTTTTGTTAGTGTTGGGCTCCTGGGAATCAAAGAATAACATGTCTGTTGGCTACTCTACCAAAACAACCACCCTGCTCCTAAATTGCAAGTTTTTGTTTAAAATTAATACCGTTCATCATGTTACACATAACAGTAAGCAACAAGTCAATCCTAAGTACAGTTATATTTACAACGTATATTGCGAAAGCAATCTTGTTGCACATATTGTACCGGTACCTTGCTCAGCTGCGATGCTGTGAAATATTGAGTGGAAACTAGACTTTGTATTTACATAACTAAATAGTAACATTTAGAGAAAGTTAGAGTAAACATAATTACATGCAGATAAGATCAAATATAAAGGCCACATTGCATGTATGTACGTGTACATGCAGCTCTTTGTTATATGCATGATAATTGATTGGACAGAATGAAGCTAATGTATCATATTTATTGTTGGAATGACAGGTCCATTTAATGGAAAAAACTGTCAACTAAGGTACACAATGATATGTAACTTTCCATGCTCCATAAATTTGGTTAGTTTACTGGCTGGTTTTGCCTGTAATAGTCCCCAGATCTCATTGCGTAGATCAGTGTACATTAAATTGTTCTGTGTACATGTAACATAATAAAGGGCACCTGATGGGTTACCATAGCAACCGTTGCATGACAGTAGGTGGCTTTAAGTTGTGTTAATGGCCATAACACATAATTGGGCTAACGAGATAATATCACAATGTGGTAAAAAGGACAAGGAATAACAGGTCTCTTAAACTTGTTTTTTTGTACCTGTTTAGCCATGTTATTCTAAAGAAATTTATGCATTTCTGGCCATTTCTTTTATTTTTGGCACATGTGTGCATTCATGTACAAGTAGCAATTATGGTAAAAAAAATGGCCATTAGTTTAATTGAAGATACCGTTGTTTTGGCGTGGTAGTCTATCAACACACAACTCTTTGAAGCACCACGGATTCCATAATAGCAATGACTTGTTGAATGAAGCACAAATGTTCACAGATGTTCAACTCCTCTGTACATTTGTGACATGTTTTTGTGAAATCAGACATGTACATGTAACTTGGCATACATTGTACATGTAGATTGTTGAAACCTCCTCATGGATTTTGTTTTATGTTGGCAGGACATACTGTTTCTGCCTGGGGTTTTTATATATTTTTTTGGCACAATCTGTCTTTCAGTTTCAAAATACTTTTAGAGTCATTTTAGAGAGAATGTGAAATCCAGGATTTCACTTCAGGAAAGGATTCAAATTTTAAGGGTTTTTCATGTTAATGTCTTGAAAAAAATCCCAACATTGAGTCATTGACAATTCAGAGATACACTTGAATTTTAATAAAACTATTAAAACTGTGCAGGAAATTTAAGATATTCATTTATTCCTGATTTTGAATCTACGGATAAACATCTCTCTGTCGGGTTTCCAGAGAATGTAACACATTTACTTGTGTGTTATCATAATCTCGGTGTACTAGTAGCTACATGTACATGCTACAAAGTGGTACAGTAGCCATGGCAACCAGCATCCAATTATATCCTATCCCTTAATACGTTCATGTGGGTCAATTTGTGATTAAACAAGCATCTAAAGCACTCTTACTGTCATCGTACCGTGGCATGACATGCGTGTCAAATTTAGAAGTAAATGGCATCCAATTTACACTTTAAATTATACAGCATCCGCGATTAAATATAAGCTGGTAATAGCCCTCTTTTTGAATTAACTATTAGGATTAGTACCTCCATATCCAAGCTTTCCGTTCATTCTAACAACTCTACATCTGCCCAAATCCAGTACTTGATTTTACAGCCTAACCACTGTTACTGACTTTTATGTTCCAATTGACCCATCGCCGTTTGCGAGTTAGCCATGCCCCTTGGACAACCCTATGGAATTTTATACGTTAAGTTTTGTTTGTCTCAGATTTTGCGCATTCTGCATCCATTTGAATATCATGTAAGTAACAATATTCCACAAGCTGTGTGCACGCGATTCTACCGCGATAGGTTAGTTTTGTTTTTAAGAGTGCAAAAAAAGCTTGATTTTGTGGGGTTCAGAAAGCCTACTTACATTCAAAATACCCAGGTAGTCTAATTGAAAGTTTTTGAAAACACACTTGTATAATGAGTGGAGTTGTTAGACACGGAAGGATTTTGTAGATCAGCTCAACCCCCCCCCCCCCCCCAAAAGGACACTTTCAGTAGCTGTTTATCTTCCCCATAATTGTGAAGCTGGTTCTACAAACATATTCAAATTAGACAGTTTTACTGCCACTAATCATTTGTTTGAATTGTGTAATTTTATCATCTTCTCTGAACCACAGGTCAAAGGAATCGAGGCAAGACGGAAGAAAGTAACTGCTGTGTACTTGTGTGATGATGTCCCCCTCACCCCATATTCCTCCATCGTCCTTATTCTCATTTTCTTTCTCGGCTGTCAATCTTCTTCTGAGGGATTCAGAAGGAGTCCTGACCTTTGACCTCTCCTTTAATTGACAAAACATCAGTGATGGTGTCAACAGAGCTATTCCCCTGGTGTCTGACTGTCAGTCTACATGTACATGCTAAGAATCTTCAAGACACCAGCTCACTCTGTCTTCTTATTATAGCTTCCTCAGCTAAGTCATCGATCCTCAACAATCATCACAGTTCCCTCGTCATTGTTATCTTCATTCCATCAAGACTTCAAGGTGGAGTTGGAAATTTCTTATTTTTTTTTTCTTAATTTTTATTTTTTTTATTTTAAGAATTAAAATGAAAATGTATTGGGACCAGAAAAGGGAGATTCTTAATTTGCAATTTCGGCCAGTATACTTGGACTTAACAAGCAGGCACATTTGTGTTATTTGCATATGGTCATGATTGATGGTAGATGACATGAATTGTATGGATTATCACAATGAATGGATCATAAATGACCATAATGAAACAAACATTTTATTTACAAGTTCCAATTAGGGCGATTCACAATGCAGAGCGCCACCAATAGTTTGCCACGGAGAGTTCATTTTTCCCAGTGCATTGTGGGAGATGGTCAACAAATTCGCAGCGCGGGACATTTGAAATTGTTCGTTTTTTTTTTTTCGGTCAGTAGTTTCGTAAGCGTATAATTCGAGTACATGTTTGCCCTTTTCTTTTCTTTGTATCAATATGGTGATTTTTGGTAAGGAGGCAGAACGCTATGCCCCAGTCTATAACAAATAAGCTCAAGTGTCTACTGACACTCATTCTAATGGGCCATATTTTGTCGACCGTAAACTTGAAAAGTTGACTCTCCATGGCAAACTCTTGGTGGCGCACTGCATTGTGAATCACCCAAATTAATCAGTCAAAAATTCATTTTAACGTCCCTTATTATGTTTTCACAGTTTAATGAAAATTGATGATCTCTTTTGTCCCTTAATGTCAATGCAAACCTTGTGTATATTAAATTGGTGAAGATGCAGTTGATTGTGTGTAGGGATTGCCCAGATAGCTAGTCTCTCCTCGAGCATCACACAAGGCTGTTTTAAATGTATATGAATGATGCATATTGTAGTCTTGAACTCAAGAAGATTCTAATGTGTAAATTGTATATAATGCAGAGAATTTCAATGATAAGTCTCCACCAAATGGCTGAGGCCAAACAATCTACATGTATGTTTCTTCAGAATTTGAGCATTGGTCACTGGTATGTCCCTGTTTTAATTGTGTAAGTATGTGGGTTTCTTAAAGAGAAAGATGGTCAGTGTTTGTTACTTGATTTAATTGTGTGGATGTTTGTTGTTGTCTCATGTGTCATCAAATTGTCACCTTCTGAAGAACCATGCTGGTTAATTGTTTGGTCTGATCTGGAACTGCTTCATGCCAGCCAGTATCTCATTGTATGACTGCCACATCTCATCAAATGCAGCTTGACTTGTTGCTGAGAATAAGATGGCAAAGCTTGAAGGTAGGATGCAATGAGATGTTGTCTGAACTGACCGGAACCAGACTATTGGTGTGTGTGGTGTGATGGTTGTTAATGTATTGCACCTCGTGCACAGAATGATGGTATTACTCACTTATTTCAAGAGTGAAATTTTACTCTATCGCTTACTGAAAATAATGACCAGACAGGTTAATGTGAAAATTCCTCACACTAGATTGAATGGGTTTGAAACAGACATCCCGAGTGGAAACTTGAGCGATTTGATTGGATTCATTTCACTCTAATCATTTTGTCTCTACTTTCATCCGAAATAGTGAAGTTTCACTCATTGGGATTATTTGTAAGAGAGTATCGTTATATATAACAAACATATGCATTCTTTTCTTATTATGTATTTGATGTTTATCAGTGACTGTTTCATGTTTCATGCCAAATACTCCTTGGTGGATGTGTTCCTAGAATTGCACATAATAATAGGGAGCTTATTTTGTCACTGTTATACTAACTACCAAAGGAAGAATGTAAAGAAGGAATTTAGCTGAGCTGCTTGACTCGATTGAGATTACAAATTTTGTTTGACTTTACGTTGAATTTTGATGGATGGTGGTAAGTCCGTATGACTAGCTATGGGTGAAGTAGGCAGTTTTTAATAAATGATTTCCTGTACATAATTATAGTAAGACATAAAATACATGACAAAGGCGCTACATGTATATTCACCATAGCATATAGGGTATGTCATTATACATGTACATGTATACATGTCATACAAGCATGACACGTATATATACATGTATGTGCCATACTTGTATGACTACTTGTTCCAATGTTCAACCTTACATTCCCAAAATGTGGAATTTTCTTCCATAGGTATAACAAATTTTGAAAATTCAGCACTAATGTAGCTCTGTTAATACACTTCTCATAAAAAGATCTCTACCTGAATTTGCTGATATGTGTAACTTTAACATGACTACGCATGACTAAGCCCTTAATGTAACAACATGCAGAATCCTTACATTTACCATGGTAACCGATATACTATCCAGTGCCAATGTGGTTATGCCACCCACATTTATGTGTGTGCCTTTGTGCAATGACATGGTAGGTTTGTGAGGATTAAATTGGAAATCCGTACGCCAGGCAAGCATTGGAACAAAATGTGCACAGTAGCATGTCCTTCATGATCAAACATGAATATTGAATAAGCCACACATGAGCATGTACATGTATATGAACTGTGTCCAACCTTTGCCCATTCCACAAACCTGGTCAAGTTGTTGTTAAAAAAAAATTACTGAATCAACATTACAATTCAGGGACATACCATACAATATTTACATGCACATGGATAGTATTAAATGTAAATGTTCACTCCATGTTTCTTATTCAGTAAGCCTGTAATAATGTTTAACATTATTCCTAATCGTAAATGTCATGCACATAATTGAGGCTGGTGTAAGTATCATTGAATATTACTGGTTTAAACGATAATACTTAGAAATATAAAGGATGTGAAACAGTGAAATTTGGTGTGGAGACTATTGAAGTGATTTTAATTTTGGGGAATTGTGTTATGTAATTTGTTCTGTTATGTTCAAAAAAAAAATTTCCTTTGACACAATTGAAATTTTCTGCATGGAAGCAATTGGCAAATTATAGAGTGTATAATTCAGCCTAGCATGCTAATAATGATGCATATTTATCTATTATTCACTAGTTTTATCAGACATGATAACAAAACATTATTGTGATCATTATCACATATTATGCAAATGTCCTTTGTGCAAGGAGTACACTTAAAAATCCCATAAGTGACTCTTGTTATCTTGGAAAACTCTAACCGCTGCTCGTTCTTGTTCATACGGTAATATGTGACTGGATGTTTGAGTGGTGAAGACATCATCCATGCACTTGTAAGCAAATTCCAGTTGACAGGTGACCCCAAGAAAATTGAGTTGTCAATAATCAAGGCATTAGTAGGCCGTTATAGGTTAAGTTCTGTCAGAACAGGACTGTACATAGTAACACTTTGTCTACGAAGCCATTTTCTTGTTCATTAAGAGAACCAAAAATGTCTTGAATTTCTGATAATGACACTGTAAATTTTGTCATTTACAATGTTTCTCTGAGTCCAGTACAGCCACTTTTATCTCCAATTATATTTGTACAACCATTCAAATTATTCAGTGTGTCAAATTAACCAAGTCAAAATGCACTAATAGCAATCTGGGATATTTGGTAGCAATGTGGACATTATCCCCGTTATTTCCCACCTTTTGGAAGTACAATGTACATTTAAGCAAGGCAAAGTTTCATAGGAAATTCTTTTAACTTTTTGCTTCTGATGTTGACATCTACGTGGTTTCATTCAAAACGTTCGTTTAAAGTTTAAAAATGCAAAGCCTTGTCTGCATGTTTTTTTTTTACCTTGGTTTGTATACTGACTTTTTCTGAAAACTATGAGTGTGTGGTATAAACAGACCAAATTGTTACTAAAATTGGGTCAATTGGATATTATCAATAAACAGAAATTAATCTTTCCCCCAAGATTTAATCAATTTCAGACATAGACATATACAGTGTGAACATAATATTTCAAATGTAATTAAGAACCCAAAATATATACATAATATATTCAGATTTTGTGTGTGGAAATGATTGATGGATGAAGTTTGTGTTCTGGTGTGTTGAAATTCCACACTGCACTCTGCTTCTAAAAAGAGCTTAATGATATTTAACAAAAAAAACAAAAATAAAATAAAACCTTGTTCTGCTGCTGTTCCTAAAAATGGCTTTCTGTGATTTAGGGAGAACGAGTTTGAGAAAACCAAACCAAAGTATCTGAAAATTAAAAACAAAATTGGTTTTGAAAAAAGGTGACTGTTACCTAACAAAGTTCAAGAATATTGGGACAAAAATAAACATTGAAGAAGATTTTACGCATTTACATGAGTTTGATTATGAATCCAAACTACTGATGTCCGATATCAGTAATCTGGTTTCAAAACCTTGGGAATGGACAATTTGTCTTGTTTTAGACACTTCGGCCTATTGAAATGTTCTCTATAACTCGATAATTTTGTCAATGACAGTGGAATTCTGAGGGATGGGGTAGGCATTCATATAAGTACATGTAGGGCCACTTATGCACTTTTGACATTTGTTTGTCGTTTTCATGAATATTTTAAGCGAGTCAGTAATCCTGTCATACTATCTGTGTACTCTAAATTGTGGAACACATTTATATGCAATTCTTTCATTAGTGTGGTAGTAAATGGTTTTCATTGCTAAGGTTTTTATTTGGTCAGTTTTATTTTTCAGAGTTTTTTGGTGTTTTTTGTTTTTGTGGCATTCTTTATGATTTTTGTTTAACCTTTTCTCACTTAGGGTATTGCTGTACCCTGTCGTGTTGATACAGGAGTAGTTAATACTTTGTATTTACAGAATATTCAAGAATAATTCCAGAAGCCTTTTACCAGTAATAACCACCAGATCGTAGAGGATTTATCCTGTTGACATTAGAAATGTTATCCATCGAGACTCTTGGCATACTTAAAACATTTATTTGCGAAGATTCGTTTAAGCATGAAGAAAGTAGACTCATTCCACTATACAAAACTTCTGTTACAGATAATTTAGACAAATGTCAGTTGATGTTTCAAAGAGATACATTTTCAGAGTCGGTGTGAATTGTTTGCAAATTCATCATTGACTGTTCCGTTGAAAGAATGTTTTCCAAAGTATAATTCTTTTTTCTGATTGTTATAAGTCAGTTATCTAATATTTAAAGTGTGTGAAAGACATTTTGGAAATGGGAGAATAGATTACTTCTTGTAAGATAGTAATTTCAAAATGGTTGGATTTGTGTAAACGTAAACTTAAAGCTTGTGATTTCTGATTTTGGCAGCAAGATTTACAGCAAATGACATAAATTGGAGAGGAAGATGATCTTAGAACTTCAACTTATTTATGATACTTATGAGTGATTCTGTGTACAGGCTGTGGTATAATTTAAACATCTAATAAGGGATGGATATCAAACATGTAATGGCATTACTTGCATATTAAAATACACAAGTTGGATTATTTTAAACACAGAATTTCATTTGGGATGGGATTAAAATTAGCCTGTGTAGTTCTTTTGTAAGCTGCTCACATGACATCTTTTTTTTTTTAATGTAGTGAAAGGTTTGTCTGCTATGTCAGTGTGTAAATTAAATTCATGTTGGAGGACATTGGTTAATATAATTGCTAATTATTTTCAATTAATTATTTTTTATCCAGAATTGAAAACAAAAAAATTAAACCTGTAGATGTAAGTTTTTGTTTGTAAAACTTTAGTCATGTATATATTTGTCCACTAATTATTTTGTTTGGAATTAAAATAGTGAGAGTTAAATAATGGAACAGCACCGAATTATTGATGTGATTTTCAGTTTTTGTTTCCTACTTTGTTACCTTGTTCTTTTCTTTTGTTGAATGTTTTTTTTTTTATTTCAAAACGAAATTGTTTTGATCAGAAGAAAAGATGTTTTAGGCCAAAAAAAAAACATGTTTAGCGTCCTCCTTTAAAAAAAAAAAAAAAAGGAAGCGGGAGGCCCTTTTTTCCCCTCCAAAATGGCCGCCCATCCGGGTTATTTTTTCAAGATGGCCGCCATTTTTTTTTTAATGGCCGCCATTGCATACCAGGCATTGATCTCCATATACATGTACACAGTCTGAATATGGAGATCAATGATACCAGGTTTACATGGGCCAGATGCAACCTCGTCCCCAGGGTGTCGAGCAGTACGCGCCCTTACTATTGGAAACGATGTTGGAAATAAAGTAAGCACTGGGGACGAGGTTGGGCTAAATGCAACAGACAAAGAGGCCAAAATGATGTCACTTCAAAATGTATCTTTTTTTTTGGTTAAAAAAAAGAAAGAAAGAAGGCGGCCTCCAAAAAGCAAACCGGCATTGGTTTTTTTTGGCCTTATAGTGCATTATGTGATATTCTATTATCATTATTATTTGAGAGAGAGGGGGTTGCGTTACATCTATTATGATTATCTCAAGTGACATCAAAACAAGTGTGAGTGAAAACCACAATTATTTTGATCTTTTACTGATGCCCTTTAAAAAAAAAAAACATGAAAAACCGCAATAATTGAAAGCACACAATAGCCGTCGTCAAGAGATCAGGAAAATGCGCCACTGTTTGTGTGGCGCGCCCTCTATTGAAAGAGAATTAAAATAGACCGCTGGGCAGGTACGGTTTGTTCGCTGTTTGTTTGTACGAGCGAACGGTTTGTTCCGATCGATCCTGTGCGATATTGTTAAGCGCGCCTTTGACAGAAGTGTGCGGGTAAAATGCCCTTGCAAAAAACAGTGAGAAGCCGAAATTTCCATTTAAATGGAACAGGTATTTCTTCCTCCTGACAACGAATGTATTGCTTTTGCTCCATAAAAGTTGACTTTCGGTCGGATTTTTTTTTTTCGCGCAACATTGTATTCCTTTGGTAATTTAATGTTCATTGTTTGACGATTTTTCGTGAAATTCAAGCTCCTTATGCTACCTATCATGACCAACCTCTAGACGAAATTTCAATTCAATACAACAGGTGTTTTCTGAGTTATTGACGCAAATCTTTTTTTTCCAAGAAAGTTGACTTTTATTCGGATTCAGTTTCAGGGCATTTAATTATAATGTTCGACGATTTTACATGAAATTTAATCTCCCTATATGTTACCCAGCATGACCAAGTTTCAAATTAATACAAAAGGTAGTTCTTGAGTTATTGTCGTAACAACGTGTGCGTTATTTTTTTTCAGTCACGCTGGGTTCTTTTCCGTGTTGTTGACAACCATAATATTGTCCTTTCTCTAGTCTATGGTGGTGGTAACCACTATTTGTGTTGCGCGCCCTCTATTTAAAAGAAAATTAAAGTATTGGGAGGGGGAAAGCTGAGGGGAGGGGGTAGGGAAGGACCCCCCTCCCCCGCCTTCAATTGGGAAATCGAACGGGGGAAGGGAGTCAGGACTGGAGTTTCCTGTGTAGGGGCGCTTTGAAAAATGTACGAAAACCCTCAATGTACGCCCCCCAAAAAAATATATATATATTTAAGGAAACATAAGCTTTTTTTAAAAGACAAATTAAATAGATTATAATCAGAGCGATGCCTCTTTCCTCCAGGTCTTGGCCTCTACATCCTCGCACTCACTCATGAACTGTGTTTAAAAAAAAATCCAATATCGAAAATTCGACAGCAAACAGAAAATTACGGGATAGGCATGCTAAAGGCATTATCGTGGAGTTTGAGGGTATGCGAGGTGTGGGTCAACATATCTGCAGCCCTCTTTTGTGTTCTACTTTTATCTACAGGGTGCAACCCTGCAAAAAAAAATCCCATAGACTCTAGTGCTAAATGCGCATACTTCAAAATTCTTTTTAAAATACTCAGAACTCTCACAGGTATTCAAGCTGCACAGAAAAATGATGATCAATGTGTCATCTCTCATTTTCTTTTCATTTTTTGGTGGGTTGACCATTGACTTTTCGAGTTATTCTCACCCAAAGAAGACGACCCCTATTTTCCCCAAAGCGGAAAAGTAGCCATCTTGAAAATCGATCCCTCCACAACATGGCAAAATAACGCCACTTTCGAGCCCAATAGCATCCAAAATGCTCAAAATTGGAAGCCCCAAGTCTGGGCCAGGTTCATTACCATATCTCTTCAATTCCCCAATTGTATGGCTCTCAAAACTCTCTTATATAGAATATTTTGAGGGTATAACTTGTATTCATGAGCTCGGCGGACGGATTTTTGGCCTATTTACAGGCGTGCACCCTTCAGGGCAGAACCTTCGCTCGCAAACAGGGCGGTGGTACCGGGTACGAGCGAACAAGGCTTATCGAGCTAGATTACGTAACCCTTTGATGTTACGACCTGCTGTTAGTGGTGGTAGCGTGTCCTGCAACGTGACTTTAGTGCGGGTAGCATGACACCAGCAAGTTTCTTTCTATCAGTTTTATCAGGAAAAGCTCGCCAATTTCTTTTGAGATTTTCAATTGCGCCGGCTGTTAATTTAAGCTGTCAGACGTTTTCAAAAGGAGCAATTAAAACTTTTGAATTATAATTCGCATGTTGAAGTGCGCACTCGTATTTATCTCTGAATTGATTTTGACCAATAAACTTTACACCAGTCTCTGGTTTTGACGAATTACAATCAGGTAAAAAAACGCCTTTTTGGTCAATTGTATTTCGATTTTTTTTTAAGAGTTGAAATATTTCAAAAAAAGACAGAGAAACCTTGTCAAGTTTAGGAACCTCGTGTAATGTATTTTAACTTGACACTCACTCCATCCGGGCATTTGCAAACATCGAAAAATAAAACTACCAAGTTTTTGCGAAATACCGTAATAGGATGTTGGTAAATGACAGTCTAAAGCATCCTGTAAAATTATGGCACCTGGTATACTGTCATTTTCAAGAAAAGTGGTATTTTTGTATCAATTTCCAACGCTGATCGGCCGATCAGCGTTGGAAACAACTGGCTTTTTTTTCCAAATACTGGCCCCAATTGACCATTGCACTTGTTTGCAATCGATTACAAACCTATGAACGGGTACGAGCCAGCTAGACTGGTTCCCTGACCTTACAATTCCCGAATGTATGTAAACTGCTCTAATTCTTCTTATATGGAGTCAGGGAACCAGACTACAGGAAAATGATCGTTTTTCTTGGTTTTTATAGCATTTTCGAACCAAAAACCTCCAAAAAGTCAGTGTAACTATATTTGCTTTATATTTCCAACCCCCCAATTCCATCCATTTCTGAAAATTACAGCAAAAGCAAATGATGTATATTCCCTTTAAGCGCACTTCATTCATAATGCGAATTCCGTAGACTTGTGCACGTCCTTCATTTATCAATACCTTATGATTACAAGCATTTACTACGTTTTATGAAGAATAAATTGCAATGAGTACTTCACATTATTAATATCTCTCTTGAGTCTATATTCTGGCACAAGCTAGATTACGTGAACGATTGGGGTTAAATTTATATATAGAACGGAAAGGCTGAAATAAAGTGAAATGAATATACTGTAATTGTTATTTTCTGAAAATATGGTTCATCCGACAATAATCTATCTCCTCCCCACCCTAATGGACCGTATCCCGACTCTGTACGGTACGAGACCTCGTACGACATTTCGCCCCCGGCCATTTAGTTCACTTATGTGTTTGTATTTCTCCATGGTTCACTTAACGTCATCATGACGTCACTGACTGCAAAATGATTAAAGGCCTTACCGTTAATTTTGATTAATAATGATTAAAGGCCTTACCGTTAATTTTGCTGAAATTCGGCGGCATCATTTAGCTATTTATTCTTCACTTTTAGTGATTTAGGTATCCCCCCCCCCCCCCCCCGCCAAAAAAACCAAGAATTCCCCGAAAATCATCCCCACATTTCAGAGAGGCGTGGCATTTGCACTTGGGATTTTGGGGTGCATGCAATTCGCAACCGCGGATCCGCGTGATGCATGCAACGCGTACACGTAATGATGGTTGGCGACTTTTGTAGCTAGCCAGCGTTTTTGACATCTGTGTCGTCGATACACTTGTAATTGTATCGTGTGCATGTTGGATACGTAATGCACTGCACTGCTAAACAAGCGCGCAACGTAAATGCGGGATACGTGGATGACCGACCGTAAACCACCGAATCTAGGCCACCAAACAACTACATTTCCCCGGTTGTCCTGGCCATTGTAGCTGTCGTATTCACAAGCCTTTTAGCCCCTATTTTGCCCGTGTCAATAATGGACAACCTTCTGAAGAATTTAGGCGGAGTGACGCTGAAGTCCCTGTTGGAGAATCCGAGTTTGCTACAGGCGCCGACATTACATGTAGGCCTACGTAACACTCATCAGGAAGATCAAGATGAAGATGGCAAAAAACAGCAAGGTATACAACTTAAAACTAAAAGTGGACCCTTTTCAGTATGACTTTTCACATTTCTTCATGTTTTCTCCACCAAACACAAGTTCATCTTACACCTTGTGTTGTTTAATTAATGTGTTTGGTTTAAATACAATCAATTTCTTTTCAATAACTAGCCCCATAAATGTGGCCTATTTACTGGACTGCCTCCGTAAACATAGGCCACACATCCATGTACAAAAACGTGTCGCACTTTGCCAAATTTTGATTTTCACATTTAGGCTTAGTTTGTAGGGTTTTTTTGGCTTTAGAAGCATACTCACCCTCTTTATAGGCTAATCAGAAAGTGCTGCCTTTTTCAGATGTCTAATTTTTGTGAAATTTTATGTTGAAAATTTGATACGCAAACGTGTGCAAATGAATCTGGAAATTTCACGAAAAATAGACATCTGAAAATGTACAGTACACTTCATGTAGATGCACACACCTTGTATTTTATTGTGATATATTTTCCACAGACTCCAGTGCTGTAATGTATTTTAATGAGAATACTTATCATGTTTCCATGGTAACAGGACGGGTGCAGTGACTTGTCGTTGGTCGATTTGTATACATTGCCATTGGCTCTTAGTACATCGTTCACTGTGTGTTTTGGACTACTTGTGCAGTAGATCAAATTGTCATTTGATTCCGGAGCGGACACAGGCAGTCCATTTTCAAGTTGTCGATCTAGTGTCAAATTCTACTGTTTTGAACTGAGTGCTTTGCCAGTGATACAACATGTGGGACCATACACATTTGCCTGTGCATTTAAACCATCGACACTATTTAGTACACAGGAGTAAGTATAGTCCGACAGTGGACGTGTGTTTTTCACTGTATGGTTGTATAAAGCTAGATAGCAATCACATGTAGCATTTTGTGCAGTGAACATTTGTTGAATTGAAACAAAATGTAACAACAAGCCTGTCACAGCTTTGCACAAATCTCATATTGTCTTTCTATTCATTTTTCAGAGATCGACTTTGAGAAGAAGCTGAAGGAAGTTGAGGGTGATTATTTTGCTCAGACAGATTTGGGTGCAGCATTCCTGGGCCCCAATCTGTGGGATAAGACGTATGGAGACGATGACTTCAAACTGGAGTACATGGAATTGGATGAATTTTTGTCTGAGAATGGTTTGCCTGTCAACACAGCCGAGCAGATCTTGAACAATGACCAACAGGATATCAATGAAACACCAGAAAACAACGAGGAAGCGGCCGGTGAACTCCTGAGCTCTCCGGAGAAACCAGGTAATGACCCAGAAAAAAAAAGGTTTTAAGATGATCAATTAAGTCAAGGTTTTTCCGTGGCACTATTAGGAATGTAGTCAATGAGGAAAAGTCTTGCCTCGTCGAAATGTACATTAACACGACAAGAAAAATGATCTTCATTTGTAAGATGGATTCTGTGAATAAGGTGGTTCTGAACTTCTCCATAATTTCTTTTTTGTTAGAATATGAGAATAATAAGAATACAATGTATTTACCATCTTCCTGCAAAATCGTTTGGCCCAAGAATTATTTAAATTTTCAACACATCAAGCATCATGTGAACTTCTTTCACTTCATCAAAATTAAGAATTGTGAAAGCTAGGATCAACACAAACAATATATGGAATCTGTTGATTACTTTCAAGTTCTTTTTTTTTTTTTTTTTATTATTATCAGTTGTTCCAGCAAGCCCTACACCTTCAGATCGAACACCAAGCCCTGTTGATGTGAATGTCAACTATGACCTGTCTCCTACTGACATTGCCTTGTCAACCATCCCTGGTCAACATGAGTATGATCCTCGTACTAGGAGTTTCAGTGAAGAGGAGCTGAAACCACAACCTATGATCAAGAAGTCACGTAAGGTACGATGCAGCTCATACAGGCATTCTGTATCAGAGTATGCCAACCATATATTAGGGAGCGACTCCAGTCAAGCCAGTTAGATATTGTTTGAACATCTTCAACAGTCAACGTACTCACTCCTAACTGTTTCAAACTTCATAGCTTATGTATTATACATGTACAATATAACATTTTTATTTGTTACAAGGAAACTGCATAAAATTTGCATCTATTGCTTCATTCTGAAAATCGTATTATTCAATTTCATCCTCCCAGTACTACATGTAGCTGTAGGCAACTTCTGCAACTTTTTTGTGCCCTTTTTAAAATAGAAATCCTTCAGGTGCATCAGGATTCTGTTGATAATACCATGTATCTTATGTCCACAGATTTACGTTGCCCATGAGGCTAAAGATGACAAATACTGGGACAGAAGAAGAAAGAATAACATCGCCGCCAAGCGATCACGTGATGCACGCCGTATCAAAGAGAATCAGATCAGTATGAGGGCTGCATTCCTTGAGAAGGAAAACAACGCCCTCAGGGATGAACTGTTGGCCATGAAGAAAGAGAACAGCGGCCTCAAGTCTGTGGTTAAATCATATGAACGTAAGCTGGGGATTCAGTGAGTGACTCAGAAATGAGAGTGGGTAATAGAATCCAAACGGGAGTATTACAGGGAAGTAAGGTTACACATTCTCTCTCCCCAGTAGAGAGACACGATGCACCCTGACTACAGACAAGTTTTCTTGTTAATGCATTGTACATTCTTATCTCAGAGAAACAAATACCTGTCCTTAGTAAGAGTGCATCGTGCAAGATATTGGAAACAAGCATCTTATACAAGGTGCTGCGGTGCATATTGCAACCACTGCCAGAAACACTAGGGCAAACCCCTTCCCTTAGCGATAAGTGGTACTGGGTTCTTTAACGTGCATTACACAACACATAACACGGGACCTACGGCTTAACGTCCCATCCGAAGCAAGGGCGGATCCGAGGGGGGGGGGGTGCAACAAGGGCCATTTCCCCCCCCCCCCAAAAAAAAACGAACCCAATTTTTTTGTTATGTTAGTGACGTCGCTATAAAGGCAGGCACTGCGTACACCACCATCTTTTCCTCCCCAAAAAAAAATGGTCAAAGTGGTCAGAAATTGCCTCAGATCGCACCACAGAGCATTTAGAATCCACTTTTTGGGGGACCTAAATTTTTTTTGGCCCCCCCCCCCCCCCCCCAAGGTTGTGTTCTGGATCCGCCCTTGATCCGAAGGACGAAGCAATAATGGTAAAGTGCCTTGCTCAAGAGCACAAGCACCATGTTCTCACGGTCAGGATTCGAACCCATGTATCACAGCACAGGAGTCGAAAACTGTAACCATTTACAGTAATATTAATAAACCATTGGACCACAGCACCCCAGCAAAACATTTCCGCATAACTACATTCACTTCTTGTTTTTGTGAATGAAACTTTCACCATTTTCAGTAGGCAGTTTCAGTTAGTGGATTTTTGTTTTAATTTCGAGACTTTTGTTTAATTGCCTTAATGAATGTATATATTTTAGAATAGAACATGTTCAGTACAATGTAAAGCACAGATATTATTCCAGGAGTGGGAAAATCTATACGAGTTGATTGCTACAAGTAAATATTTGTATCGACACTGATAAATGACAAAACAAATGCGTATCTGCTAATGTACTGCATCCTGAAGTACTTCTTTGCTGATTTAATATGCCTGTATTGCTTGATGTCGTACCATACAATCCCAACCATTTTGAATAATGAAATCACTGTGCATGTAAACTTCGCATTGTAGCTTCACAAACAGATGTGATTGTTTGCCAGCATTGATAAGTGGCCTTTGTTTGATAAAAAAAAATGACCAACTTAAAATGACATTCAGAGCTAGTGAGCCAAGGTATCATAATTTGCAGAATTTAGTTGCTACATGTACTCAGGGAATCAGGTGCAGGCAGGTGGCAGTAGGATACAAGATGCATTCATTAGATCTATCTCTCTCTCACCCCCAGGACAAGATAAAGAATCTACAAATCTTGTTATCCTTGCTTCCTTAGACTAGAGGTTTATTCAAATATTTTCCAGAGCATTTAGATTTTCACTCTCCCTCTGTACTTCGTAAATGTAAAACCTTGTAAATATACCTGGTAAATGTCAAACACGGGTAATTTACTTTAGACAGGTGCCTGCTTTTGTGAGGTACAAATACTACTTACTGAGCAGTATTGGTACCAGATCTAGCCTATTACACTACGCCGCAAGGCAATTCGTTAAACAAGCGTGCTTAGTAAAGAGAATAAACTTAAAAAGCTTAAAATGACATAAATTTTAAGGTTTCTGGTGTGTAATCAGGTCTGTTTGATTAATTTATGAAGATGATATATATAGTTCGTGTAAACATCAATGCCATGACTTGTACTAGTACGACTAGAGCATTCTTCAATTCAGTATATTCTTTGCAAAACTGCGTGTTCATATAGATTTTTACAGAAATAAATGTGTTACCGTTTTTCAGAGTTTAAACTGAGGTCTATCAAAATTGTTCTTTCCAAAAGGAATTCCATTTTCATTTCAGTCTAAAACCGAAACCTGAGGTTTTTTTTAAATGCAGTTTATAAAGGAATGTATAAATGATTGAACACATTCTGTAAATACATGTACATTCAAATTCTAAATTTCATTGATGAATGTAATGTTCTGTTATGGTATTTTGGGGAGTGTATAACGCCATTTGTCAGTCTCTGTATTTTTTCTCTGTTTTGTGTCTGTTGTGTAGTTGGGCCTATGGTGTGTTATACACATACACGCAAAAGGCCTAATTACCAGTCGCCCGTAGCCAGGTTTTTGTTTGCCCGTTGCAAATTAGACCTTTCGTCATGTTTAACCCAATTTTCTTTGATCAGCATCTCGATTTTGCTTGTAAAAATCTCCAATTTCTCCATCCTGTTGCAATCTGCCAATTTACCCCCTCCCCCCTCTCCGGGCTGCGCCACTGCTCGAATACACAGCAGATACAGAATAATTGACTGAAAACATGCTAAAATGCAAAGACGTGGCAGATGTTGAGAGCTGATGAGGGTTGTTGGGTCAATTGCTTGTTTATGGTTTTCAAAATACTGTTTGATACGTAAACTTGTATTTGTTACATTTTATGCCATATCTTTTAACCACGGATTGCAGAATTTTCTGTCATGTGAGTGTATTGTAGTACAAAAACAGCTGTTCATGTATAACACTATTTCCTTCTCAATTGTAGCAGACTTACACAACAACAAAAGTCTGCACCTGAATGATACGTTTCATTTTGTATACATGGAAACTGCATCATGTACATGTATTTTAAGCACAAACTTGTTTTTATGGGCATTGGATTTGCTCTGTAAATAAGATTATACTTCATGTCTCTTGTATTACTATTTCAAGTAAAATAGCAGTATTCCTCGAGCCTAATGATATTCAACATGCAGAGGATTAGTCGCAAGAGATATTGCCTGGATAGAGGCTGATTTTAAATTACATACTTATTCTTACTAGTAATAAAGAAAATGGGAAAGTTATGTGCATATAAATAAGAAAGAGGAAAAATGTATGGGAAACATTTATTTTTGACAAAATTAATTGACTTATTGGTGTGTGGCTTGAATTTTATATTCACATTTGTCATTAAGTAGTGTGCACTTAGTGAATATCAGGTAATAAAACCCAATTAATCACGGAACAAATGTGTTTGCTTTTGTCTTTTGTAATTTTCTTCTCCATATGTATTATATCCATGTTGTTTTGATGTACATTTACTGTACAATATTAGCTATTCACATATAGGTGCAATATAGCCACAGACAGGATCATGCTATCTGACAGTAATTGCAATGCATGCTCGGAGCAATACACGCCGGATAAAAAAGCTTGGATAAAATTACTAAGGGCTGAACAATGGTCAAGGACTTGCTAATATGAACTGAGGTAGAGAGTCATACTGGGTTCAATGACCGCTTGCAATGAACCACTCATGGCAATGATCACCATGGAGATGTTACAAAAACATCTATATTTTTAGTGACATTTCAATTCAATAGACATTTATTTTGCACCCTCTAAAAAAACATATAATAATATGAAGTACAATACAGTAATATCAAAGTAATAGGAAAAAGTAGGTAATCAGCACTGAGTAACTAAATTCTTCGAAGCAAATTTATTAAATTATGGTTAATTATTGATAAATAAGGAAAATGAAAAGAAAGAGTAGTACATGTATAGGAGAGTAGTACATGTATAGGAGAGTGCAAGGCTGTTCACATAAGCCAAAGCTTGTAAGTGGTACAGCACTAACCTGGACAATTAAACAACATAAACACAAGAACAAAACAGACAGACAGACAAACAAAAGACAAACAAAAGACAAACGAGTCCAACACAGAAACCTGAATACACTGATGGTTGTAAGGATTTAAAGTGGTTTATTGCCCCCCCCCCAAAAAAAAAAATTAATTAATTAATTAATTAATTAATTAATTAATTAATTAATTAATTAATTAATTAATAAAATAAACAGTCTACAACCCCCCTTAACTGATGACTGTAGCTATTTTTAGTTTAAAACGAATGAAAATCAGTTAAATATAGCATAACGTTTCCTAAAAGAGAAAAAACTCTCCTTTTAAAAATTAGATTTAAAGTGTAAAAAAAAGTGACGATTTTATATAATTTCATATAAAAAGTACGAAATCAAAAGGTTGTAAAATATTTCGATATTAAAAAAAACATGTTAAGTTGCTGTATTTTTGCATTTGAAGATACATGTATTTTTTTCACACGATCGAACAACTCCCCCCCCCCCAATAGTTTACGCCCCTCCCCTTTGTTTACGCTGTCGCTGGTCTCCGACATGAAACAGCCGTTGATCATCATCTGGACAATTACCCACAGTGCCTTGTCCGTTCTTCCGGCCTCTTTTTAATGCCAATGCACGGTATGTTGAAGGCTTGAATTTAGGGTGTTTAAAAATCCCCAAACATCGACTTTATGTAGATTTCTTTGCCGTTGTGTATGATCTCATTCTGAACTTAAAGATATTTATGTCATGATATGGTATCTTGTTAGTATTACAATACATTTTATAAAAGAAAAATTGGACTAAACTCAGTCAAGATCTTGTAAATTATACGTGGAAATCGTATGTTAAAGTAGAGCACTACGAGTTTCCCCCGACCTTCCTCGCTCTCGCAGTACTGCAAAACTTCTTTGTGTACGAGCTTCTAAATCATTGTAATGTATCTCATGTGTGAGAGATACGTATTATTTGCGATTTTTTATACCTAGGGAATTTTCTGGACTCTCCATAGACTTTGTACGCAACCGATGAAGTGGCGTCGGGTTGAATTTTGAAACATTCAGATTCTTCCTTGATTATTATGTTTTCATCCCAAAAAAATCAAGAATAATTAATAGGCGTATTCTTTTATTATTTTAAGTTGACTCCAACATTCAATTGCAGAGTAGGTCTATTATATTTTTGGAAAGATTCCCATATCTGGCATGTCTGGCCATTGGCATTGTTGTCACGTCACCCTGTCGTGCATCATGGTCATGCCTGTGCACGGAAAATCCTGTGCACAAACCGTATGAGACTGAAAATGGAAAAAATGTTGCAACCTGACGCCACTTCAGCGGTTATGTACAAAGTCTATGGAGAGTCGAGACAATTTTCTAAGTTATTTACTAACAAAATTGGAAATGTTTCTCACTCTCAGTCCCAAATTCATGTCTTATCATCATTTTTGCAATGACTGACCTTCATTGAGATGATATGAGAAAACAAGTGGTGTCAGGTTGCAACATGTTATCCCTGAAAATTTCCAAGTGTTTTCTAAGTAAGCCTATTTCAATATTGCCCCTGCTAAATTTGACATTTTAGGACATAGGCCCTATTAAAGTATTATCACTTTCTGATTGCTGATACTTGATAGGTCACTGAAGTGATGGCCGGACAGGTATGGGAATCTTTCCATGTTTTCAATTTCTGATTTGTGGCTTTGAAGGATTTTTTTAAAGGGAAATAAAGTCTGAAATTGTAAAATGGTCTGATTCCTATCTCGTGAATACCACAACGACAATGTTGGCGCTGAACTAGACTAAGATTTCTCATGGACAAAATGTCCAAGTCAAGTCCCAAGAATAACAGTCGCTGTGCAGGTTCAGTTCAGTGCCTATCTGGCAAAAATAGTGTTTACCACAAGAAAGCCGGATCTGGCTAAAGATGCACTGCCTTTTTATTTAGATTAGGCATGGAGGTAGAATTAGGCTAACTCTAGATTTTTGGAATTTTGTAAAGTGCGACTTTCTTTCTCATATTTGGGTATGTTTCAAAAGGGCTTATTCTCACTTTCGATCATGCTGATTTGTGTAATTCATGCTTGGGTCAGTTTGGGTAGGCCTGGTATTATTGTATTAAATGTGATGCGATCAAGCTAAATGAGTCGCTTGGCAACCCTAGTCAATTTTTATTTGTTTTACAGATTTTGAAAGAGCACAATCTCAGCATTACTGCTGTGAAAACCGCACGGTGGTACCATCTTTAGTTCAAAAATTATGGAAGTCGGAACACCAAGAGATGTGATGAAGTGGCCCCTATTTTGGCCTGTATCTCCAAATGAAATTCTTAGACAAGCGACTCATTTAGCTTGATTGCATCACAAATTTTATTTATTGTGTGGAGTGCTGTAGAATTTAGGGTTTGGGGCAGTAGGACGAATGTGTTAACCTGGCTCAGATGATGGGGGTAGTTGAATACTCGGATGGTCTGTTTATCAAAACAAAAGTCCAGAATGACATTAGATGTCCTTTTGTTTTATTTCTTTTGACAGATGGCCAAGAAAACTGACAAGAAGAAGGCTCGTTCAGCCTTGAACGAGGTGGTGACGAGAGAGTACACCATCCATCTGCACAAGCGCATCCATGGAATGTAAGTCTTGCCTGGTGTACATGTCAATCATCAGATAACAAGTTATGTCATGGAACCAGTGGTTTTACCTTGCACCTGCAAAGTAATACCCAGACAGGGACCTTGAGTGCAGAACAAATGCAAAACAAATTCAGGCCAACTTTACTGTTAAGCTGAAAAATTCTCCAAAATTTTCATGAGGCAAAGACAAGGTCCTCAATATGTCGGCCAAGTTGGAAGCATCAATTCAATTTTTAAAGGAGACTTTTCTTCAATATTTTGCACCTGAAAGTGATGGCAGTGATTTCAATTTGAAGCCTAAGACTTGACTGGTACATGTCCTGTTGGAAAAGACTGATCCCTTTAGTAATCAGGTGGCATGCTATGAAGAGATGTGTAGAAATAGAGACTAGTACCGGATGTTTAATTTGACACTGTGGACTGATGCAGTACTAAAGGGGTGTTGGACTGGTTATTTCATGTACCAGTCTATTTTCTTGTTTTGCATGTTTTCAATACCTGAAGTTTTTGGACTCTCATACTCGGTATTGAGAGGCCCAAATTTTGGGACTTACAAATAACATGGCCTTATTTTTGAACGTATCCTCCTTGTACCAGCACTATTTGGGGGATATTGACATAAATGCAAGGTTATTGACAACTTAAATGTTGCTAAGCTGTGAAATTTGAAATTTGCAATCTTTAGATTGGAGTAAAGTTACTAAACTAAACTTGTTCAATAAACGCTACTGTTTGTTCCAAGAAAATGGCTTGATAGAGTACCTCAGTTGCTCAAACATATGGCATACTTTTGAAATGTAAATCATTATTGAACCTTGACGTATTGATTCAGAACTAATTGCTTCAAGCTGCAACTTGAGTACTTGACAGATATCCTTGTTGGACTTCCTTTGGTTATTGATGCAGTTCTTTCAAGAGACGCGCCCCTCGGGCCATCAAGGAGATCCGTAAGTTTGCCGTGAAGATGATGGGAACTGAAGATGTGCGAGTAGACACAAGACTCAACAAGCACATCTGGTCAAGAGGAGTCAGGTAGGTTGTAGTCAGATTTATAGATACTGGACTTGCATCAATCAGTAGATGGTGATATGTGACCACTCGTCTGACCTCTATGGCCAAAGTACACACCATTCATTTTACTCTGAATGTGTGAAAACCCATGTTGCCTTCAGGCATGTCAAGCGAGAAGCACCGCAGCAATGCAATCCAATTTCTCTTTCTAATTGAGTGAGGGGGGGATCGTGCACTGAGTCGTCAGGTTTGTTTAATTCTTTCTTGCACTAAAACCTCAAAAGTGCACAAAGCTTGGAATCCCGAAGAGAGAGAAGAGAGAAAAGAAAGAAGAAATGTATAGTTTCTAAAGTGGGAGGGCTTTTAGGACACACAATGCACTAATTTTGTGTAATGAACCATGGATAACCCTTGACCTTTAACAGGAGCGTACCATTCAGAGTGAGGGTACGTCTGGCCAGGAAAAGAAACGAAGATGAAGACTCTCCACACAAACTCTACACACTTGTCACCCATGTTGATGTCCCCACATTCAAGGGTATGTACATGTACACTTCATGTAGAGCAAATATTTATTGAAAAAGGAATTTTCTTGTGCACTAATTTGTATGAAAAAAAATTGTCTTTTAAAAATAGATGTAACAAGAAAAGAAATAAACAATAAATTCAATTGAATTGTAGCAGCTGTCTTTAATTAATGTTTTTATCTTTCGTCATGTTCTGATCATCCTGTATTTTTCTTTTTCCTGTTTTCATAGGTCTACAGACTGTCAACGTTGACAGTGAAGATTAGGTCGTCAACATCAGGTCGCCAAGGAGTCGTCAGGATAAGGTCAAAGTTCAGGTCATCCATGTCGCCGTCATCAATAATTAAACCTACTATGCCACTCAAGGATTCCCAATCAAGTACACGTACATGTACATTGTACTGGGACAGCAAAGAATTCATCTTCAATGCTTGATGCGTTTTATTTAACGTAAAACTGAGGGAGTAACACATTGATAGTGTATCATTGTATCATTGAATTGGCTATCAACAATAAAGAACATCACCTGTACAACAAGGTTATTGTAATACTGTCTCTTCTGAGTTTTATTTTTTGTTTTTGTTTAAAAATAATTTTATTTATTAATACATGTATGTGCAACAAGTTGAATATTCTTGGCATATGAATCAAGGTCATGCCCTAGCCTGTTCACCTCTACCACACCCTCTCGATCGACTACTGACTAACAAAAGACCACCTGTTAAGTTTTACAATGTAGTTGTAAATTCCCTAATCTATTCAGTGACTTTGCACACCAAAATAAATTGGGAGTACATGTACATGCAAGTGCATTAGGCCAAAAAAAAAAGTCTCCGGTTTCTGGTATGGAGCTTGCCCAAAAAGTGGTGCGGCGACGCGGCTTTTTTTTTTTTTTACCTGATTTTTTTGCTTCAAATGTGTGCTGATGACTGCAAATGGTGCCCGACTTAACTTAGTGCAAATATATGGGAGTCCAGAGAGGCCACATAAAGCTTATTCTCGACCATAACCCAATCTAAAAACACGTTAAAATTGTGCAGCAGCAGGATTCCAGTCAAACCAGTGAGTTTGGCGGTTTTGAGACATCATCTTTCATTGAAAAAAAAAACTTTTTCATTTTGCCGACGCGCATGGCGACGCGCGCGCATACCAGAAACCGGAGACTTTTTTTTTTTGGCCTTAGTCTGTGGTCATAAAAACTTGCAAAGCAGAAATTGAGGCTTTATGGGGAATTCCCCCCCCCCCCTACCATCCTTGAATGAAAGTTGAGCTTTATTTTATGATGAATTGACAAATTACGGAGGTTGATCAGTGAAGTTGGTTATAACGGTTATGCACAATTGGTCGAATGTTTGTTTAGAATGAATTTCTGCGCTCGCGACGTGAAATCGACTTGCCCTGGGGGTTCATTTCATGTTGACTGACTGACATCGGAACAATTATCTCATCGCCCCCCCAATAAAATTTAACACAGGCGGGAGCCATCGGCAATGTTATAATGGAAGTAAATCGATAACTTGATCAGAACGTCAAATCATAATGATCAGTTACCACTGCCATTATGATCAATTTGTGATTAATTGATATCAGCCAAGTCGAAGTCTAGATGTCAAGTGGTTGAACAGTGTGGTTGCTGTAGCGATAATAAAGATCATACAATAATCGTTTGTAACACTATCCAAAACCATGTCTCCATGTTCACATTCTGGTAAGTTTCTTTGACAACCTTTGAAATAGGACTGAATTTGCGATTTTCACCTTTAGAAATAAACCAAAGCGGCTGAGTATAAATATTACACATGCATTTTTACCAGTTATGTGTGGCAACACATTTGTTTAGTTTTTACTGGCTGCGGATGATAACTTTTGAAGCGGTAGTGAACACGCTGGTTGTTAAACCTATAGACCTGTTGGGCTTCAGGCTTTACATTCATTGAAATTCACTGCAGTTATTTTTCAGTTGCGTGTCATGTTAGATCTTAATGTAGGTGTGTGTCCCTAAACAGTTTTCTTTCATTAAATACAAATAGCTTGGAGCTTAACGTATTGTCAGTTTTAATTGCATACATTGTGATTGAGTATAGGCCTGTACAGTAACGGATTGGCTTCGTTGTAAAGGCAAGTCTGGTTTCTTGGTGACTGTTGGACTAAAGGGGCCATTGTTACACAGGAATACCGAGCATATCCAATGTCGAGAATTTGTTGTGTATTTCTCGAGCAGCTTCACAAAGTTTTGACATCGAATACTTATTTTGTGTACGACTGGCGTCAAACGACTTGACTTTTGCTCTATTGTGAACATTTAGTCGGGAAATATACTGTTGATGAATGTAGGCTTATTGCCGTTGTAGAAATCAGTCCCTGCAGGTAGACTGATTTTTCTCTTAAAGAAACTACCATACAAAAACAGATTTCTTTAGACGATGCTAAACTTCTGGAGATATCACAGCTAGGTAGGCTCCTCGTATATAATCCATAATAGTGCATCATTTCGGTTATGAAGAAAACCATGAGTAGGCCTGTGCCTAAATCACGGTATAACTATTCAACTCAGTGCCTGCAATTGCATTTCAGATGCTGATGGTTCGAATCCCGGCGTCACAAGATTAAGCTGTCTCATATTTTGTTTTTGTAAAGCTGCATGTCAGTGATGCTGTTTTCACACCTTCAAAAATGTTCTTGCAAGTTACTCGAGCCCTATAGATCGGGAACTGATAGTCAACGATGGATTTATCCAAATCTTAGAGTGCACGAGACTTCACTTCTCTGGTGTCTGACATAATGAGCAAGAAAGATACTTCAGTCTACGGACATCATACTGACGGCGGAGGTGATTCTGGGCTGTATAAGGCACAGTTCTTAAGATGGTGGGAGGAAAAAGGCAGGGAGGAGAAACAAAAAGGTAAGATCATAGAAGTTGGATACATTGGGCATTATGTTAACCCCCACCTTGTATGATTGATGGTGGCAATATTGACCCCGTTCTTGTCAGAAACTGTTTAGCCTATGATGTATTAGCAATTTTGGCCTTGATGCAGCAGTCCCAGACGTCCATTAGATGATGCGTCGTCACAGCAACTTCACTTCTATAGTTAACTGCTTTTTCTAGTGAAATTCCATTTCACATTTGCTTGGGATGGTGAGAGGAACGCAGGTGTTGGAAAATCAGGTCTGGTACGCGTATATACGCCGGGGTGTTAGCCTATGATTTGTTTTCAAGTATGATGCTGAGCTATGAGATTCGTTGACAAACGAATAAAATACGTGCGGCTCCCAATATGGCCCTCTATACTTACGAACTCTGGGTATGAGCTCAAGGCTCTGCTGATGTCCCACGAAGCCCTTTGAGAGGGGCTTGCTTGGCAGTGCAGCCCATACAATATTGAAGTCAAAGGTGAACCATGCATGTAGCTATGTGATTTATTTCAGCATGGAAAAATGGCAATAACTTCAAGATTACTACAACATCTGATACTGAACTTCAAACCGTATTTGTATATGAGCTGCTATGGAAACTAGAACACCATGGCGAGTCCAAATTCAGTCTATGAGCTGGGATTTATACTGGTTGTAGTGAGTAGTTATTGACAAGACGTCTTAGAATTGGCACTCGATGTGCAGTAACTGCCTGCCAGTTCTATCACACAATAATGACAACTCAAATGTATACTGACAAGACGTGTTCTAGAAAAAAAATCGACTTTTGCAATATTAATGGACACTGCTATAAGGTAAGATACCGACTTCAGTTGCGTCACCCGCGTACTCTTCAATGAATTTCATGTTTTTCTCAAAATGTCAACTTGTAGAGTTGCTTATCTCTCGGAAAGTATATTAATTGTTAGAGTTTGTTTTATTTGCTTGAATGATTATAGGAATTTGTTTCATGAGCAGTCGCTGTGCAGTCGACTAGCTGATTCAGCCTTCATAAAAATTCTTGTGGACATTTGCTGCCACAACCGAATAAGAAATATTTCTGTTGAATGATCATGGGCTGAAACCAACCATAGAAGACTCAGTATAATGGAATATAATCACTTTTTAGCCTCGGGACCAAATCAACCCTAACCTGGCAGAGTTTACAGTATTTCCCGTGCGGTCTTTGTCATAACATCTGCTTTTGTCAGGACCAATAGTTGACCTGCTAAAGTGTACCTTTGTCACAGTTCATGCACATGGCAACGTGTATGAAGTCAGGTTGTTTGGCATTTCAGTTCTCATTCATTCAATTGTACATCGCTTATTCTGATCAGTTTAACATATGAAACTCAAACGGTTTAGTTGCTACTGATGCTGACATGATCGTGAGTGCATGAGATTTGATTTCGTTTGATTCACGGATGAGTATTTGAGTGGAGACACAGAACGGTTAACCATGGGTGATGTTGATGGAGATAGTGTCTCCGAATCAGAAGGTAGGAATTATGGATATATGTCGAAAATTGATAATGTATTAAACGGATTTCACTTCAGGACATAACTTAGTATTCATGTAAATAATCTGTGGACAAGTTTCACATAGATATCTGTAAGGCAAGTAAAAACAAGAATCATTTACTTTGGGGTTGAACTTAACTTATGTTGTGTGTGTGTGTTGGTAGGATATTACTTTATTCGAATTCATTCACCAAACGTGAAGTTAATCAAGATAAGTATTTGTTAACCACGAGATGTGTTGAACTTGAACCACTGGAATATCATTCAACCAAGGGCGGATCCAGAACACAATTTGGGGGGAGGGCCTAAAAAAAATTTGGTCCCCCAAAAAGTGGGTCTTAAAAATTACGGCGTGGGGTTCGGGGCCCGCTCAAGGGCCCCGAAAAACTTTTGGATTCTAGATGCTCTGTGGTGCGATCTGAGGCAATTTCTGACCACTTTAACCAATTTTTTTTGAGGAAAAGATGGTGGTGTACTCATTGCCTGCCTTTATTGCGATATCACATTAAAAACAAATTAAAAATTGGTTTCGTTTTTTTTGGGGGGGGGGGGGGGGGCATGGCCCCCTTTGGCCCCCCCCCCCCCCGGATCCGCCCTTGCATTCAACTAATACAAAATAAACCATATAGTGGATGTGAAATATTTCTGACTTAGATGTCAGCGACTCTATCCAAAACGAAATGACGCCCGTGTCACTTGGGACTAGGCCTATGTGCGAATTATTTTTCAAACCCGGAGGGCGGAGATGTATAATTCGAAGCTGACAGGTTGTCATTTGAAGTTCAATTTTGATGCTGGTTATTGTGCCTTTTATTGAAATCTAAAAATGATACACCGCATGGCAATATTTAGCACATAATCATAAAATGTAATGACCGTTGCGACACTTCATGAACATCTGTGCGTAACCCTAGTGATCGTTGTTAGCTAGCTCTTCTTAACCGTTGCTTAGATTTGACAGTCGGTGGGGTGGCTAGACGGACTTACGTTATTGACTTAAAGATCATAAAAGCGGCTAAAGAAAGGCACGGCATCCAAGCACTATTTGATTATGAACTGGCAGCATGCGTGATGTAAAAACCAAATGTGTTTGTCCAGCTGTATGGCTGGGGATGGGCTGGGCTAGCTACCTTATGATCATGGAATGTCATCCATGTCCATAATCTTTGAGATCGTATCATCTATATCTAATGTAGCTTTATATTATTAAAAATATTGTATGATTTACTTAAATCTGCGTTTAAAAAAATGTTAACTTCGTTGACAGGTGTCTGAGCGTTCGATGTATGCAAAACGACAACCAACATTCGATGCTATAAAAGTCCTACTGTGCTACCATCAACTTTTTTTCCCACACACGGGCAATAATTACGAAGTACTTAATTATTATTGTACCGGTATTCATTCTGCCAGTATCTATCTCTCTGACACCTTTCCGAGAAATAAAATAATTAAAAAGACCAGAGAGTTTGAACGGTTAAATACTCCACAAACATTTCAATCATCTGAGTTTATTTCACAAACTTGCTTCCCTCTTTTCATGTAACAGTGTGCAAAAAGCAAGGTTTTGAAGCGTTGTGCTGTCCTCTGCATGTTGAACGCATTCGCAAAAATGCTGACTCTCACTGCTTGATATATTCATGCATGGCGCCGATATTATTTTAAAGATCTCCTTGAATGTATTAAAGGTAATAGATCAACTTCTATCCTCTGAGAATAAACCTATCGAAGAAGGTGGAGTAGTTTTTGTGATTAATCTCGAAGATAAACTCTGAAACAAAGCTGACAAGTAGACCGTAACGATGGTTCAGAATCTCAATGACGAACACGAGCCCCACTTTGAGGGGATGATGAATGTAGCAATACGCGAAGCTGAATCAGTCAACGATGTGAGACTCCGCCAAAAGGTCGTTATTTACAAAAGGTTCAATGTACCTTTTTCAGAGGAAAATGCGATTGAGACCATCAAGAGACGTCTGGAGGAGGTAGGAGGACTGGTAGCCAGTCGACGTCCAAGAATAGTAGAGAATACAGTGGATAGGATGAACACACCATTACGGGAACAAGTCAAGGTAAAAGTCCATTTTCACAATCTTAGTCTTGCGGGCATTCAAAACAAATACTTGCCGAATTTTTTACTTCATTATTTATTCAATGCATCATTTCAAACTCTTTTTTTTTTGCAAATGCAAACTATCGAAAACAAGTTGAAAAGAAACGTACACGTAGCCTGCTGTGTTAATCATGTCTTAATCTAAAATCAGATGCTATATACATTAGTCATACTTTTGTCTCGGATGCTATTTAAATTAGCCGAAATCGTTTAAATTTTGCAAGCACAGAAATCTCATACAACAGACTGTTCACTACTCTTGCTTTTATTCATTGAAATGGTTGAAAAAGTAAACAGCCAGAGGCAAAGATCCTACTTTAAAAAAAAAACCTGCTTAAAAGAAACAAAATAGCCAAATGTTTTGATATTCATGAAATTGATTGGAAAATGCAAATTTTGAGACATATGCGGTCCAAAAATCCCGGAAGTCTATATATATATCGATTAATGCTAAATCAGGCAGCCAGAAACACTGTCATTATTCCGTAGATTCACCACGGAATAATTGAATTGCATTGTGAGTAGTTTTATCGAGTTCTCGGCAAATACTAATCAGAGTGTTGTTTTGCTTTGAATATTTTTCTTTAAATCAGAGGCTGAGTGCAATTACACCGCGGACTTACAGGAGACTACGACAGAAAGAAAGAGGTCCCTTGAAGGTAGGCAGAGAGTCCGGTCATTCAACCCACCAGGATCATGATTCCTCGATTTATTTATATCTCTATTTTTAGGCCGAGAAAGGGGGGAATTACATTTGTATCTATGCGCTATAGAAACCGCTTTGGATACCTTTAGTCACTTGATAAGCTGATCGACCAGACAAATTAATTACTCTATTATTTCATCAAAGTGAAACTATAGGAATCAGATGATTTAGAGAAAAAAATATCTGGAATTTTATATTGAAATATTTTAGAATTTCACTGTAAATCGTCTTGTCGCTAGTTGCAGTCGGATGGAGTGAGCATTTACTCCCCGGAAATAAGATTAACACCTCAAGAAAGAAGGAAGAGTAACAAATAATGATAATAACACAGAAGGCTTGAAATTTCATTAATTGATGAGATGATGCCTCATTTTTATTGAACAGATTCATGCAATTCACAAGTTCCGCTATGCGTGTACGATGGTGAGGATCATAGTGCGGCGATGTCGAGATGGAAGAAAGTAAGAAATACTAGGTGCCTTCCTGTACGGGACGCTCAGCTGCTGTCTCAATGTCTTACATAATTACATCTACACCTTAAAATTAAGTGCAAAGTAGTCCAAGGAAGGGTTGAAGACCGTCGAAATACTTTGATCCGCAAAAGGTATACTTCTGTTTAAAACATTTGCAATACATTGTGCATGTGAAGCAGTTACATACTTTTCATTCAACCTTTTTTTAAAGGTATTTGCAACCAGAACGCTCTACTGAGAAGCCTGAGACTAACTCTGAAACGGATGATGCACTCAAGACGAGTAAAGAATCGGAACTGAAAAGGTTGAACTCCGTGGCCTCAATGAAAACAAGTGTAAGTAATCAGAAACATAAAGTACAAGGAACTAAACTTGTCTTTAGATGTTCAATTAATTGATTTCGTTTACTCTATATTGTATATGCACTAGTTATAGTAGTGACTTATTATTTTCTGACCCTCAGATTGGCTGGGATCTGCAGATGAGTCTGACTACACAGCCACAGTATCGCACCGCTGAACAACTCAAACACGTAGGTTTAACTTTCATTAAATTTTCATTGATAAACATCAAGTAATCTTTATTCATGATGTGATTTTCGTATTCTGGGATGTATGATATAGGCCAATTTGGATGATTTTCCTTCAGATCTTGTACATGATTCACGCCCATAAAGCCTTCACGATCTTCTCCAGTGATTCAGAGACTGAGTTAGCTCGACGGCTATTCTACGAACGATACGATGATGGTAGAATCATCGCTTGCCAAGGCAGACCACCAGATCGATTCTATTATATCGTGTCTGGAAGAGGTAATATTTCGAATTCCAATAATCGAGGGTCAAGCTAATCTTCTCCAGTTTTTAAGTTTTACACACGCATATTTAATACGATTGCAAACCATCTAAAATTAATTTTTGAGGATTAAAAACAAGTGATTTATGGAGCCATGATTTATTGACCTTTTTATTTAATTTCCTTCTCAAAAGTAACAATAAAAAGCGTTTTGATGTTTTTGGGCAGAAAAATATCTACGACAAACAATAATGCTTAAAAAATTCTTACTGAATGTTTGTTCTCGGGTTTTCATCAGTGAACCTTGTACGAGAGTACGACCTGCAGACAGGCACAATGACCAAGTCTCTTGGTTTCCTGCAGAAAGGAAGCCTCAGTGATGTAAGTATAGACCCCTGCATCCACTAACAAACGATTCAGAGATGTAAGTATAGACCCCTGCATCCACTAACAAACGATTCAGTGATGTAAGTATAGACCCCTGCATCCAGTCACAAACGATTCAGAGATGTAAGTATAGACCCCTGCATCCACTCACAAACGATTCAGTGATGTAAGTATAGACCCCTGCATCCACTAACAAACGATTCAGTGATGTAAGTATAGACCCCTGCATCCAGTCACAAACGATTCAGTGATGTAAGTATAGACCCCTGCATCCACTAACAAACTATTCAGTGATGTAAGTATAGACACCTGCATCCACTAACAACCGAACTTGGAATATACTGCTCATCGCTTTTAGAAGTATTACTACAGAAGAAACCGCACTTTGTGTCATTTCTTAGCAATTTCTTTCTCAGTACAGAGATATAATTTCAGCCAACACTTTATACTTGTACCGCTGTATTTCAGAGGGAAGAACTTGAGAAACAATGGAACAGACAATCCAGTTTGATTTGTAAAGGACCTGTAGAAGTTTTGCTGTTAAATAAGGAGGTAGGAATGAGTTACACATTCAACTTATTGAATGTATACGGAATTACTTTAACAATAATTAAATTACTGCTTAATAAATTACATTAATTAAATCGGATGTTATATAATTCACTTGATCGAATTAGCCAAGTTTATCTTACCAATGATGTCTTTTTTGTTCATTTTAGGATTTCTTTAATCTTCAGAACACTCATGCCGGTCCACCAGTAGACTTTCTAAGGTAAGGAAGAAAGCGAAAAAAATGACAAAAAGATGGATTACTTATTAATTAGTGGAAATTCATTCGAATTTTTTTCCTCTGTAATCCATACCAACAGATGTAGGCGTATCACTTCTTCTTTTAAATCTGTTTATTCAAAATAACATACTTTTCATTGTGTTTTTTGTTACTCATCTACTTGACATATTTGTTGTCATTTTCTATCCACAGATCTCAATATCTGTTCTCGGATTTCCCCTGCCATCTTTTCAATGAGCATCCTGAAGCCATTGAGTACAAGTTCTATGGGTAAGATGTCAACCCTAAATTGAGACGCAAATTCAGTGACAACAAAAATAACAGATTGCAAAACTTCCCTGTGAGTATGAGAATAATTATGTCAACAAAACTAATTGAAGTTTCATCTGAATTCAATTTGCAGTCCAGATCGGATTGTAGCAAGAGATTCCAACAACACAAGGTGGATATATGTCATTAAATCGGTAAGAACCATGAACCTTTCAAATTATTTTGGACTTGATATATCTTATTTGCTTGGAGAATTGATAATCCCTATTTCTTTGATTTACGATATGAATAATATCAAAGAGTGATATAATTTTATCTGTTTGAAGGGAAAGTGCAAATGTATACGACGACAGTTTGTCGCAGATGTGAAAAGTGACAAGAAGTTCAGCGAGAAAAAAGGCATCGACAAACTTGGATACGTGAAACAGCCGTCACATGCAGATGGTATGCATAATGAGTAATAAATTATTTGTTTCTTATTCCAATTTGTAAATGCATGTAAATAAATCGTAGAAAATAGAACTATGAACTTTAACATAACTTGACATAATGTCTCTAACGTAACCTTGTTCACAGAACATCGTGGGGTTTCCCCCTTTTTATGCACTTAACTAATTTATAAACATTTTGAAATTGAAACATGTGAATCGAGGGAAACGTCTTTTTTCCCTGTTTTGTTTCAAGCTATGATTGGTGCTGGATTGAAAACACTTGTTGATGGAGGACAACATAACTTTGACCATGACTCGGAGGTGAGTGACCCATACATTCTTGAAATGCTGACTGTTGTTAACCTTCCATCTTTTGTTTTCGGTAAAAATATTATTCATACGTTGATGCTTTTGTTTTTGTTTTCTTGTTTCAGATGAGTAAGATAGAGTTAGTGCAAGCGGCTAACTTGGTTGGTAGCCCATACGTTGGTACACTGGGTATAAGCACCAAGGAGACGCCCGCTGTAAGATTACTAGTTATTTCGTGCGTAATTTTAATACTTTCTTCACGTCTTTCCTCATTTATTTTTATTAGTGGTTCAAAGCACGAAGCTGCCTTTCTTCAGTTATGCTAAAGGTCAGGACCCATCTGCACAAAATCGGCAAAGTTCAAAATAATAACGAGAACAATTAATTTTGTTTACCCCAGACGCCAGGGTTACCAAGCCGATTGACGTCACGATTACGTCTACGATCCTCTAAAGCTTCTCCTCCTGAGATCGATTCATCAGTCACAGAAAGTAAGTTTCAGGAAAGACTACATTGATATAATTGTGTTCCAAGAAATACTGCTCATTATTTCAAGGTGCTCTGTTATAAAAGATTTCAGCTTCAATCCAGTATTAGTCTTCAAGTCGATCTTATAATCCTTCGTCTGTCTTTTAGAATATCCTCGCACTCCAGGAGATCAGGGATTCAGCATACAAGACTCCTTGTTAGTCAAGGTAAGACCTTCTCTTCGTCAAAAATGTGTAAAGAATCGTCTGCAAATCTGAGGACACAACCTTTTAAAGTCAATTCTCCATAATAAAAAAGTATCCTAAAAGTAGGGGCAATAATTTCAGCCAGAATACATCCTTAACGAAATTAAGAAACTCAATACAAAAAGAAACTAGAAACCTATTTCCTAAATCTAAAAAAAAAAGTTATACATGGGATGAGGACACGCCCATCCCCTCCCCTCTCTGAATTAATCCATGCAATTTGAAATTGACACTGACAAATGGACTGTTTCTCTGCTATTTTCCTCTTCCATTTTTTTGACAACAAGGACTATGCAGCTAGACGTCGCTTCCAAAGCCCCCGCCGATCAGTCCACTCATTACAGGGTATCCCACCAATCCTCCCTCCACTATCCACAACTGTGGATCCACACATAGAGGAGCCACAGGATACCAACGGCTGCTTTACGAATCACAGAACAAAAAGAAAATTGACCCAACCACTTGAGATTGCTGCATGTGCACCCTCTGCACAAAGAAGAGCCTACATTCAACTGGATGGCATGGTGACCGGGGATATATTTGTAAGTTAAAGATGCGGTCGGGTTTCACCTCGAAAAATAGATTGTTTTTTTCAATTTCTATTTTCCAAGCAATATAAAAGTTCTTCACTTTTGAATGAGACATCGAACGCAAAAAATCCACCCACGTTTAGTTATTGAATTATTGTATGAAAGACCTTTTAAGGTAGATTTTTCGATAAAACAGAACACACAAATTGAAATTTCGTTATTAAAAAGAAAATAAACTTTTTGAAGAGCACGGGGTATGATCTTTAAACAATTTAAAATAAAAGATTCTTTTTTTGTATTAAGTTTTACTGAATAAAAGGTCCATCACCTTTGCTTTCTAACTGATGCAAAATTGTAACTGTGTTTTATCAAGAGCGCCATCTATTGACGGTATAAGAAATATAGAATTCTGAACTTATTGTATATACAAATGTAACTTGTTCTTCCAGTTTATATGATGCCTTTGTCTGTGTTGTTATTGTGACAGGGATTGAATGATGTTGCATGTACTGCCAGCAGCGAACCCTCTGGTGTAAGCGTGGTAAGAAGCAAGAGCAATATTATTCAATGTCAAAAATGAAATTTAGATAAGGTTATTTTTGTCTAACTTTAGCTGCAGTTTTCTTTTATCAATTTCTGTGATAATTTTTCCCCTTTCAGGTCAGTGAAGGAGCAGAAATTATCAAGATTAATAAAAGATTTTTCCGAACTCACGCCGGTCTTGTGACCATGCTCAAACTGGACACACTAGTAAGTAAAATATTGGAAACAATATTGTAATATATATTGAACTGATGTACAAACAGGTGCAGAGCAGGATGCAGATAGTGATCATTTTGAGATTAAGATAATGGGAGGGGAACTACAGGGTTTAATACGCTAGGGGTATTTTGAGGATTACGATAAAGTAGATAAAGGCTGGTTGGGATTAAGATACTAAGCATTGTCTCGGTAGGATTTAAGGTTGTAAGGAGTCCAGGGGATTCCCCGTGTAAAATTAGATATTACCCCTACGCTCTACATGCATGAGGTTTGGAAATAGTCATTTTGGGAAAATAAGAAACCTTTTTTTTTCCAGGTTCGTGAATTTATGTCTGAGGAAGATGCGAGTGAGAATTTAGAGCGACAGGAAACCTGGTTGAGGTACAAGTCTACTCTGATGGAACGACTTGCGCAGAAGAAGTATCAGACAAAAGCAAGATGGAAACGGTCTCTGAAACCACTCAGTTTCTCAATATGAAGAGATCAGTCAAAGATTATACCTCTTATAATATTCAGCGATTTAACAATTGTAGGAAAAATTATGTACTTTTGAGAATTTTTTTTAACAAGTAAATTATTTGTGTAAGTCGGTATGAATTCAATAATTGTTACTGATTGCTTAGTTCGAGAGCTTGAAATTCACTGTAACAGTGGATTCTGAGAATGCAGAAGCCAATTGTCACACGGTTTTCTATTGCTTTCTAGAGTCCAATGACTTTTTCCATGCTGCAGATTTTAATATTCTATTTCAAGATCACTCAACTCAAGGTATAGAATTTAAACTCAGGATAAATTCGTCACTTGCGTTTCACATTTTGATACGAATTTGCCTTCATTAATTATTTAATTATGTAGATTTATATATGGGATAACTATATCTATATACAACAGTTCATTTTGAAATGTAAAATAAGTCAGAGTACATATTATGACAAATTGTTATTATTTGTTACCTTTGATTATTTTCTTGGTTTGTATTTTTTGTACTTTATATACCACCTTTGCCTCGTCTTGTCACGGGTGGGCCTCCAATGACGTCATAATTCTTCACACAGGGAATTCTGTCAACTTTCCCCCTTTCACAGCTCCCCAGCAAAGCGTTCCGGTACAATTCCTGCGGTATTTTTTCTTTATTACAAACCTAAAGTTATTCAAAGCACCTCTGCCACACGACAGTCTTTACAATGACCGTTTTCGGCCACCAACAGTTTTCTTTTCAATATTTTCAGAATCGAAGTATTCTATAAATGGATTATAATTTGTGCCGTGGTTTACAGCCTTGTGTTCGCTTACTGTATGGAGTTGTACGTGCATTCAGATTCGTATATATTCGGTATCCATGTGACCTACGTGCCACTTCTCTATGCTTTAATACATTTGTGGAATTGTAACCGAGATAACAGATCAATTTTGAAACTTGGTAGTTGTTAGCAATGATTCAACATGATTTCATATAAAATTGCTATCATTTTTAAGTGTCATTATTACGGTGTACAAGTATAATAAAATCACGTCCCCATATCGACTATTAACTCAGCAGGAGTCGATTGAATATACATGTAATTGTGTGCAAACAAAGACTTGTTGATTGGTAACGCCAAGTTCGTGGGGACTAGTAAGGCATAGTCCAGCCCACCAACGAGGCTACAACACAACTCTCAAGTACCTTTTGAAGTTCAACCTGTTTGAGTTATACCAGTATAGCACCATGGCAACCAATGATAAATGATGTTAGTATCTGTAGTTAATATGAATATCCGGGAGATTTACCTGGTAAACAAGTGATCTTATCGCTTGGCGTGGTACTAATGACCCCTTTGATTTGTAAGTGGTTACTGCATACAAATCGGCATGGAGACGCCACTTCAACAAGTTCAACAAGTATTCAACAGAATTATTCGGGTGATTTCAAACAGATCTAGTGTGCGTGAACTTCCAACGGTTCAGCATGGCCATTGTTTGATGTTGGCAGTTGTTATGGAGAAAAATGACATGATATCAGTTCCATTGCCATCTTGTGTTTTCTTTTACAATGATTGGACGTATCGAAACTGAACCTGCGTCTAGGCACGTTTATCCGAAACGGCGGTGAGAACATTTGTTGCTCGGTTTGAATGACGACGAGGAAAATCAACAGTCGAAATTATTTGTCTGAGAACTTTTTGCCTGTTTTTGTGATATAAGGAGGAGGAAAATGGGAGCTGCAATCGTGTTCACCATTAAACAACGAGGACTGATGGAGTTATTAATAAAACAGGTGAATTACTTTATTGTACGATTTCAACACAACTGATACAGGTTGTACATCAGCTTCGATATAATGCACATGATTTGAGATTATTGGACAAAGTTTAGTATATACTTGGCATAAAATTTCATAATTGCCCAGCGTTTCGAAACTTTGACGCACCATGTCGACAACCAAACGACGAGCAGCTTCGACACATGGCAAGCCACCGCCCTATGCCCGTCCCACCCGGGCGTCAATCACACGAACGACTGCAGATCACGGTAATATACCGGAGGGTAAACTAAGATGTACTCGTAAAGCATGCAGCTGTTCTGAAGATCACAGTCTTACAGCCAGGCCAACACCTCCTAAGACCAGAGCAGGGACAGGCTCAAACATTCTTGGGAAGTATGCACATGATCGAGCAGGGCGGATGGGGAGAGGACGGGGCTACAGACCGGGACAGATTGGCATTCAAGCTGGTAAAGGTCCATCACAACTCCTGCAAGATAGGATAAGACAACTTGCCCGTGACATCAAAGATAAACACGTTGGCAAAGCAACTGAAGATATTGAGGCATCCTCTGATTCCTCTCAAGCAGTAACAACCGAAGAGCAAATACCGACGAACATTTCTGGCCAGACGGACGCGTCCCAAATCCACAAATTTGGGCCGCCAGATTCTTCAAATGCCAACGCGGCTGAAATCTTCAGATCAAGACAGATTAACAGACACAGAACTACCTCTGAGAATTCTCAGACTGTCTGGGAAAGTGAAGAATCGGAGGACATAACTGGAGATAAATTGTCTGAGAATAAAACCGAGTCAAGACCAAGTCATGAAGAAGACAGTGTACAACCATCAGACAGTCAGACTAAAGAACCAACTCCCCCCGCCTCGCCCCCTCCACAACGCAGGACTCGTAGATCAGCTGTCTTCGAACCACCAAAGATTGAACTAAATAAAACCGAATCTCACACATTGTTTGACGAAAGTAGAACCAGGAGATCTGAACATGCCGTACCTTTAATAGTGCAACCGACACAAGAACCAGAATTGAACGAAAGATCTCATTCACCCGTGCAAAACACGGAGAGAACTGAGTCAGATTTGTCATCAAATTCAAACACAATCACGGAAGAAACTGTGCCGTTAATTGTCGAATATCCGCCTGATCTCCCCGCTCGGTATCGCTCTCAAGGCCCCTCAATCAGTGAATCCCTCGCTCCTTCAGACATGGAGGACACAGATTTTCCAGGGCTTCAAAGAATTCGCAAGATATCTCAGAGTCACTCAGATAATCTGGATGTACCAAGAACTCGTTTCAAATCCAGGACGCCTTCGTTAGTACCTACAGGTGCGCCTTTACTGGGATGGGCGCCTGCTGTAGGCGCAGGGCGTGGTCGAAGTAATAGTGTCATTAATATCTCGAGCTCCTACATGGCTCGCAGGAGCTCAGTATTTGGCCTGAGCATGAATGCTGGATATAGGAAGGATTCTGTGGGGACTAGGAGCCTGTCTAATTCACCAACCCAGTCTCGACGAGGCAGTGTTGCAGACATCTTCAGGCGAAGTAGGCAGTCGAGAAATCGAAGACTGTCGGCATATTTACAGGTGAGTACGCAACACTTTAGTTTTTTCTTATAAAAAGAATACCGTAAAATTATTTCCTTACAAATTGGCTGTAATTTGTGTCTGATAGGTTTTTTCCTAAAATTTGTTTGACTTTGTGAGAAGCGATATTTCATTATTGTAACACATTCAAAACATAAATAAATTTGCTATGGATATAATCTCTCAAATATTGAAATGCCTTACTCTATTTTGCCTTTATAATCCACAGAGCTATACTGGCAAAGAGCGGGTGAGTGATCATTTTGTATTTTTTAATCATTATTGAAGAAGGGTATTAGTATTTCGTTTAAACTCCCCCCCCCCCACAAAAAAAATGAATAAATAAATAAACAAAGATTTAGCGTGCCTATTAGAAATTCCATCAAAGCAGGAATTTGTATCATAACAAATAAAGGTACAACCATTTTGACCGTCTACTTGGCCAAAGCCGATGTAAATAGCTCGTTAATTGCGCCCTGCAGCAAGCATTCATCCTCTGCAATCACCCATATTATACAACCATTGTTAAAGGTGTTCATCGACGTCATACCATGTCGCTGCCTGAAAAAAGCCTCAACAATTCCTCGAAATGCCAGTTTTCTTTTGTAACTACCGTATGGACGTGAACATTTCTAAGGTATCACACTGAGTCTACGAGAGACGTTCATCATCTGCATCACTTATTTTGCCTTGAAAGTCACAAATTAAATACAATCTACCGTAAAACAAACTTTGCCGTTGGCATCAATATGTTACCTGAAGAGATAACATCGACCAAACAAAGGAAGTCATCTCAGGTGTAACAAACGCCAGTTGGACTGTCATAGAGATGATGCGATCTCTCCAACGAGCAGAAAGACTGACGTCATGATAGGGTGAAGACGTATGGTGATTTCTGTGAGATTTGTTGATTGGGATATGCGTGTAGGACTGTTCTCTGATTTGACGAGGAAATGTGCTTTCACTTAGCGATCCTAATTTGTGACATCTTGTGAAGATACTACGTGGATTTTTTTGTGCATTTTGGAAATGGACTCAATTACATGACCAAGTCATATTCTGCAATGTTATCAACATGCCTTTAATATCTTCATCGACGTCATCATTGCGACACAATCAATCCAACCAATCAGTGAGGCAAATTCTAACTCGTCGGACCACCAGACTCTCCACATTTCAGGCAGAATATCTGCACTGGAAGAAATCTGTTCGTTTGGATAAGGTAAAACAATGTCACCAAGTACTGTTTCTTTTTACTTCTTTTCGGCTTACGTCTGGTGAGTAAAAACAAAAATGTGTGACATTTTAACTGGTAAGAGAATGCATGATATTTGACACACATTTTACCTGCTACAAAATATTGTCTAGTCTGCGTTTTTCTACTTTATGATACCCATATCTCGACCGCATAAGTCATCCTACATTTTCTTGAAATGGTGGTAAAACCCCAACAATATCTCTCACACATAACGATTATGCTCACGCGCTAAAGAGAACTTGGTGTTTTTACATTTTCATCTTGAAATCAAAGAGAGTTTTGAAGGTAACGTTCTTGGTGTTAAAGCTAGCATTTCCAAGACTGACCGTACGTTTAGATTATCTTTATTAATCTTGGATTAATATTGTCCAACGAAAGCGAAATAGAAGTTATATGTGAATTACAAATAATTTCAAACTTCTGTTACATTGCTTATTGCTACAGAAACGTACGTATTAATACCCTGAGGTCAAAATAAATCCCTTTCATACCTTGAGAAGAGCAAACTCTTGGCCACAACTTCGAGACCTTTCCTGGTTCCTCAAGCATCCTAGCTTTTGTTTACTTTCGACTGGCAACCATATATTGCAAAGTTTTGAAGTGGGTGGTAATGGTGTCTTGTTGATTCAATCGACCGTAGAATTCCTGCTCAGACATGGTCCCCGCAAGCCGGTGTCATCAGAGAGCTCTTCAAGCTCTTTAAGAAAACGATACTTCAAACTTGACGAATGTTTGCTTTGGCCTGGACGGATTTAAAATAGTTTGGTCAAATAAGTGTTTCGTTTTCTTGAGTTCTAGTAGGGCCCACATTGTAAATGTTACTTTAATTGACTTTTGCTTTTCAAAATTACTTTCTCAGGCTATTGAAAGATTGAAGAGGATTTCTAAAACAGTCAGGATTGTCGCTGGAATATGTCTTGCTCTGAAAAGGTATTATTTCATTTCTATTCTAAATTGGAAACAAAATGAGATAATTGAGATGAATACTTGAATAATTATTTGTCATTTTCATATTTAATTGTGCTCTTTCACGTTTTTAATTCATCTATCAGATAGACAGATGACACATTAGGAACAAGAATCTGTACTTTTGTAATTTCTTTGATCTCCCTGCTTAGTTACGTTAAGACAGCGGAGACAAAGCAATGGTCTCTTATTGAGATGCATCTCAACCTGCGTGCTGACATGGAGAAGACACTAGCATTCGATCCCATTATGTTCTCCAAACTACGAGTGGTGAGTCAAATAACAATAAAATTGTCTGTTTGTCTGTCACTCTGTTTAAAATACTTCTTCATTTCATGTTTGTCAAACGGCTGACATTGTGACCATGTGTGTCATTTATACATTTGCAAACTTTTGGAACTTATAACATTGTCGATACGTTTTTGTTTTGGTGGCTAGACGCGTGGGTCAGAGAAGCTTCGTGGCATTCTGTCAGCCAAGTCAAGCGAGAGAACCAAGGAGGATATTGATGTTGTAAGTACCCTGATTGTCAGTTTATCCTGGGAGATGCGAGCATTTAGCCACAGAGAGACAAACTTGAGCTCACAGAGATACCTGTTGCGCCATGATTGAGTTTCTTATATTGTTAAAAAATCCCAGTATCAATTTTGACAGTTATTTTGATTACATTTTCATTCAGAAACTTATAGAAGTTTATGCACGTTATTCTATTATACATTATTTCGCAGGTTCTAGCACTTTTACGCAAGAATAAGACCTTTGCTGATTACGACAGGGACACACAGATTGCGTTGGCTAAAGTCATGGAGTACCTCAGGTAGTAAAACTTTTAACATTCCTTCAGGAAACAAGCAATAGTTTTGAACACATTAACAGAAAAATACTGAAGCAATGTTGCTTGTTAGGACTAATTTAATATAGGGAATACATTTGTTAACACAATCTTGAATGAAACGTAATCGGGCATCGCGGCCAATTCTGTTCTTGTTTGTGTCTGTCAAAAACTTTTCTTACTTCATAGTACATATTGAAGAAAAGTCATCATGCAATTTGTTTTATGAGAGTTCTTTGATGATGATTTTATTGTCTTGTCAGGTATGAGCCACGGCGAATCATCTTGAAGGAAGGCCATCAGGCGTCAGGGTTCTACATCATCTTATCAGGCACCTGTCTAGTCAACCAGAAAGAGATTGATCCAAGGAATAATGAAACATTCGTCAGGACGATTGATGAGATACATGCTGGAGACTCATTCGGGGTATGTACACAATCTGTCAACTTGGCTCTCCCTTCCATGATTCCGCATATCAGGTCAAATTAAAGATAAAGAAAGTTTTTTATCACCTTTTCTTGGCAGGATAATGAATTACTGAATGATTGTGTGCGAGTGGTCAGCGTAGTTTGCAAAGACGAATGTGAGGTGCTACTGGTTGATAAAGAGGTGGGTTTTTTCGGACTTTTTCCTTCGAAATAATAGATATTTTAAAATCATCTTAAAAGTGCATATAACAAGTTTAATTTCTTTTAATTTCAGGATTTCAATCTGATAATCCGTGAGCCACTAGAGAGAGAGAGGGTGAAACTTCTCCATTTCTGCAGCAAGCAGAATGTCTTCGAGAAGCTCCCAACCAACCTGGACTTTCGTGGTAATAACTATGCCATCTCAGCCAAAAAATACAAGTGAGTTATGAATGCTTAGATTACACAAAGACTTGGAGCGATTTGGCAAGTAAAACGAAATTATATTGACGACATTCTCCAGGTGAATAGAGAGAACTTCGCACACACAAAAACGATTTATTAGGATATGTTGCACCTCCTTGTCTGATTTATGTTTATGTGCAGTATATAGATTTATTAATGTTAGTGTATCAACAGTTTATTCTGTTAAAGGCATTTTTTAATTCTTGCGTTTTAACATTTTCTCCTTTTAGACCTGGAGTCGTGATAACCAGCGATATCAGCGAAAGTGACTACATCTATGTTGTTCAATCTGTAAGTAGTACTTTTCTCCTTTTTTGTGTCATTGTATTTTCAAAATTCTTGAAATTTTAACTAAAATTTCGGTTTTGTTAGTGGTTGTCCAATAATTTCTCAGCCATTAATTTACAGTGTTAAAGTTTCAACTGTTTTTTTTCTATAGGGAAAGTGTAGAGTAATATCAGAGGTGAAGGAGATAAAGAGAAGGGCGCCCTCTGCCAAAAATGTCACGCGTAAACCAATCAACGATGAGGGGTGGAAAAAGGACGCAACACTCAAACGAACGCGTGAGTTGATGTCGCTGTTTTGGCAAGAAAAACTAATTGTTTGGATAGATTCTGGAAGAGATAATTTTGATCCTAAACAGCAGTATTCCCATGTATTTTATATGTTCCCTTTCTGTTACCGTTTTTCTATTTTCCAGTCCTTTTTTAAATTTGATAAATGGTATGTTTTGCAACAGGACAGTCTAGGCCTACAGCCTGGAATTGTGGTGTTCAAATTATTACGTTAATTATCACCTTTTCTATATTTAGTGACTGTATTTGAGACAATGGGCAACAGAAGGAAGTGTGTGTCTGAACCTAAACCGGCACATATCGAGCGACAAAAGACATTCTTCTCTCTGAGTGGAATCAAGGTAAGTCACGTGACTTCGATATTATCCAATCATTTTCCTGTCATAGCGCTCAATCAATTTAATTATTTACATGCTATTGTAGAGAACTAACAGGCATTAAAGTTACATGTATTATTTTCATTTACAGTGCTTTAGTAATGCAGATTATACATGTTCATAATTTTGATAACAAATTGATAGGAATCTTCAGTGAAGATGCACGGCAGTCCTCCATATTTCCATCGCACGGCTGTCAAACGCCTCACATTACCAGCAATTAAAGACAGACGTCATCGGAATAAAGTTATAGTATGCAAAGGTTTCATCATTCACTCTGCATATCATGGTGGTTCTTGTAACAAAACAAAAATAACCCACCTGTTGCTAATTTTTGGTTTAAAAAAAATTGTTTCACTGACATCTTCCTGTTTCTGAAATTCAAACATTCTTTCAATCATTTCCCCCCACAAAAAAAGCATGCTCTAATTACATTATAATCATTATAAATCTGACCTCTTGCTCTTTAGTTTGATGGGATTGTTCTTTGTCTTTTTGTCATCTTTATCTAAACTATCATTTGTTTGCAGTGGTAATTTTGAAGCTTATATCACCAATGAATGAACATAATCGTTATTGTTTAAAATGTAATTTTTTTATCAAACTTAATTATGTAGAAGACCGTGGATTTTGTAGACAGTGATGAAACAGAAGACCCCCCTGCACTGCCGAAGACTTTGTTTGATGAGAAAGACCAACTGCAAACTAAGCCAAACTTAGAAGGTAATTATTGCCAGGCACAATTCAACAAAATCTTTTGTTTTTATTTTCTGCCGATTAAAATTAATTGCAATTAATTAATTGTTTCCTAAACTTCTGCCTGGATACTTCGGAGGGAAGTTGCGATAGATGTGGCATGGTGTAATTCTGTTTTTCCTAATTCTCCTTTCAGAGCCACCTGACAAATCTGGAATGACCACAACATGGCGTCGAGTCAGCATGGCTGCCAGTGCTATCAGTCAAAAGGAGGCAGGTCAAAAATCTTGGACGAAACAACTAATGTTTCGATTCTAAGCTATGAATATAAGGCGGGGTAGATACAAATTATGTATTAAAAATAGCAGGCATTGTGCTTGCTAATGTATACATACAAACAAACAAACAAACAAGTTTAAAAAAAAAAAAACTAGCCAACAAACAACAGACCAAAAACAAATGAGACAAACCATTCAGTCCTATACTTTAAATTTTCAAATGTATTTAAAATTGATTTTTGGTCTCATTTGAAATTCAGAAACGAAGCAATCCTCTTCTGTATTTGAAGCCCAGCCGTCTAAAATCAACTTATGCTGAAGTAGCAGTGCTCACTGAAGGAGATGTATTTGTGAGTAGTTTTACAAACGTAATTCTCATTTCAGTTTTAGCTGTCAAAAGTCCACATTTGAGAAATGTTTTTCAGTAAATATGTGTACTGTATGCTGATTTGTATCAATACTTGATTAAAACTCAGCTTTGTCATTGGTTGTTGGTTGCCAGGGTGTTGAGACGTTAGTAACCAGTAGCCAATCAGACACCCGTCTGAGTTTGGTGAGTGAGGGCGTTGACTGCATTGTTATCTCTAAGAAGTTCTTTGCAACCCAAGCCACAGTCAGCACCATTCAACAATCCACGAAAAAGGTGAGAAAAAGTAGACCTCGCTCTAGAGACAAACATTGTATACATTACAGTGGATATTGTTTTCTGTTTGATTTAGGCGGCTAACTGGGTTTGTTTTAATTGACACTTTTTAACATTTAAACCAAAAATTATAGCAAATAAAGCGAACATAATTTCAAGGCAACTTAACTTTACGAGATTGAGAATGAATCTCAACTTTAAACACTTTTCAATTGAAACGTTATGTATTCAACTCATTTAATCATGATACACATTTTGCCATTATTTTTTGTTACTAGGCAATCGATTACCCGTCTGCTGAATACACCCTGAACAAAATCCGTCAAGCGAGGGCGTGGTCGTCTTACAAAGAGTCTCTGGTTAGAGAAGTTTGCAACCATAAACTGTCTAAAGCAGGAGAGTTGAGTAGGTGATGGTATGGATGTTGTCTCTCAAATCTGTTTGAGTTTAAATAAGCACTAAAGATACTTTGAGTCATAGAACGCCCTCTGTTGATTTCAGGTAATATACGACAGGCAGAATACCTTCTCTGTTCGTATCGTGTTGGCACAACAGAGAAGTCATTTAGTTTCAACCTTTTATATTTCTGATTCTTGATTGGTTGGTTGATTTTGTCAAAGTAGACTCTTAATTTGATTACTGCTTGTCTCGTCATTTCGAAAAGTGTTTGATAAAAGTTGGTCATACATTCTTTCATATTATTCTCAGTTTGCAATTGTATTAAAAAGTATGACAAGTCCAAGCATTTTTTATCAGATCGTTCATCTAATGTGCAATTTTACTTTTGAGGTGTTTGTTTTTAATAATTACATGTATTATAATTGTGTTCATATTGGGATTTTTTTTATCAAACTGTGCAATTTAATTCCTGTAAACTTGTTAACAAATTAACTTACTGCAAGCAAAGTTTATTCTTAACCCCAAAAAATACATGTATATGCGAAGATTTTAATTAATTGTTGTCTACAAATTTGCGTTAAATGGGGGAGGATTACAAACGTTGTAACATTTTGGTCCGAATTGTATATCTGAATTTTATCTGTTTAATTATAGGATTGATTTAGTGTCAAAATAAAACCATTGGCGGAGCAGTTGTTTCCTTGAATTTGATTCCTGTAATAGTTGTATGTGCAGTTTTCTTTTCTTGTTTTCGCAATGTCCGAGTCCGAGCCGCCATGCTTAGACAGAAGATATGTGAAGGGTGGCGGCAATAAAGCATTTATGTTGAAGTAGTTCGGCCGGTGGTTTTCTCGATGCGTCCATACAAAAGCCGTAATAAATCAGATTAGTCATTCGTATTGAGATGCCAAGCGGAGGGAGGGGGCAACATGTGCGGGCAAACAGGTCTATGGTTGATTTAAGCTTTGAAATTGGCTTGCTCTGCATGTTAAAAACCAATCAATATTTATTTGAGTCCAACACAGAAGGTATTTTTCTAGTTATCGCATGGACTGATTATTCTTTGTTTATAATTCAAATTAAGTTGACTTCAATACAGCTACATATGGCCATGGGAACGACGTCATCGCCTTGTGTCGACGAAAGAGCGCCACCATTTGTTAAAAACGGGAAAGGTGCAGTGAAATGGCGGCGTGTGCAAGGTAATTTAAATTATTTCGAGTGAAGATGTAGTTGAATTTCAGACGTTATAACCCATATTTTAGTCGAGATTTTAGGTTACAGTGGTTGTTTATGTACGTAATACTAAAATGGCACCGAATATAGACACGTTGAATAAACATTTGCACAAGAATTTAATGTAAACTTGCATTTCAATTTCGACTGAACATGTCCAAGTCCAAGTGAACGCGTACGTGTTGGCCTACGTGTTTTCACTGCGCCACTTCGTACAAATAGACTAGCTATAGCTAGGCCTACATTAAGGGTAGAATGCAGATACTAGTTTGTCACCGTATGTAACTTCAGTAGTCAGTCATTACAAATGTGTTAAAAAACGTGGTAAATTTAAAACCGTGTAACAAGTTTATACTTCATGTACTTGGCCACTCCTCCACGGAAACTTTTCACGACTCCCAATGACGGCTGTTTCGTGTCCCGAAAAGAGCGCCCTCAAATGACCGAATTTTCGCATTAACAGAGTTTTCAACCCTCCGCGTCGTCTGCAGCTTCTGCTTGCTTCGTGAAATATTAAGCCACTCATTCTAGGAACTGCGGCTAGTATCGGCTTCAGGAATTTAGCAATTTATTCTAAATCCTCAATAATGTGAGGATGTTAGAATAAAGCCTTTTGGGTTAGACAATTTTTAGGCTTTGATATAATTTATTGAGTGGGGCCTGAAGCCGAATCACAAAGCTGAAGGTCGGAACACATAATGTGCCTTTTCACAGAAATGTCTGACCAGTTTTCCCAAATTTGTTGAAATCATTACCAAACATGAGAAATATTGTAAACTTTCCTATCTAGAGATTGTGACTGAAAATATTACCATATCTATAAGGGACAAGAACAATTCGTAAATTATGTTTCAGGGAGAGAGTGGGGGAAATGTTTTAGAATCTACACATCTCGCACTGACAACATTATTGTTTTGTATAAATATATAACTTGGTATGAATATAAAGAACAATGGACATATTGTTGAGTTGAATGTTGAAATTTTTCAATTTACTGTGCAGACAATACATTTTCTTGTTATGCTCAATTTAATGACCTCAACTCGCTTTTAGTACAGTAGGCCTATAGATAACAAAGCAGACAAAAATGGAATTGTCTCGGAAGGTTTGTACAAATGTCAATTACTTCATTCGTCAAAATACTCAAAAATATACAGATATGATTTCATCATCAAATTGCATCTCTTTTTGGCATTGGTGTATTTAAATGTTGTTTATAATACAGATCTTTTCTTCAAATACTAACTACTGAAAAAAAATAGTGTGTATTATTTCATGGCTCACTAAAATAACTAGGTTAAAAATGAGTTACAACATACAAGTCAGTGACTACATTGGAGCATCCCAATAATAAATTTGCTGAGACTGATTATAAGGTAACATACAGCAAACACTGTACATAGCAAATAATTACATGGCAAGTTGGACTAATCCTCTGTAAATTTTCGGCTGTGAATTACTATTATCGCAAACAAAGTGCTCATACGCAATTTTAAACAATTAAATAGAAAGCAAATGTATGTTTTTCACACTAAAAACACACTTTAGAGAAACAAAACACAACAAATTAATGTTTGTAATCAGTCATTTGATTCAAGTTAAGATGTACAGTAGTAGCGTATAAGCTGCAAAATTTATTTAGGTATAATTTGTTTATACAAAATAATCCCATTACATTGTATACTGCGCCGCTAACAAGAAAAAGCAAAAACAAAATCCGGGCACTAAACTGAACATTCACGAAAGACTCTGCAACTGAATGCGCAGGCATTGTGTCAAATAGTGTACCCACCAAACAAATGTCGCTCCCTGATCAAGTGACACAATGTTTCCACCATAAATAGGGGCCTGCATGATTGTCCAGTTATTCTGTGACCAGATTGGGCAACAAGTTAACTACATAACCCAAACTAAACTGTACAGTTTAACTTAAAGCTACAACGAATGGAACATAGTGGGGGGTTTTACAAATTGGTCAGATTTGACTACTTTTTCTGAGTTGATTACTGTTTACAAAGTAAACTGCGTACAAGCACACTTTGAAATAACTTTATGCACTTCAGAACATGTCTAAGAAATCTATTTTGTTTTCTTCGCAGTAATAATTCCATTTAACCGAGATGATGTGAACAAAACTCATACACATCAATTGGAAAGGGTGATATCATTTCATCCGCATGTACCTACAGGTCATATTCATTGTACCTGTCGTACCGATCATACCGACTACCAACATCAATCGGTTCAGCTGATCTGCTCATATTCTTAATTCGACTGCTATCAAGCGGTGCCGGTCGCGTGGTGTGGTAATCATTGTAATCTAAGGGATCATAAGACCTTGTCCTATGTTGTAAGTTAGATAATGGTTCCCTCTGTTGTAAGTTAGCCAGAGGTTCCCTGATCGATGGGATATAGGGAGGTGGATTGGGAGGGATTTCTTCTTGTCTTGGGAATGATGTCATCTCCAAGGAGCTGTATCTCTGGTCCGGCTCGGAATCTTCATACTTCCCGTTGTCCGTGTAAGCCCCGTTGCCTGTACCGGCGGTACCGACGCGTGTCAAGGCGATATTGGTACGGGTCTGTCCGCGCGTGTTGCCGGTCGCACTTCGCTTGCTGCCTCGCATGATATCGCGGACTCCTGACCGCATGTTGTAAGAGCCAGCGGTACCTGTCACGTAGGCGCGCTTGTAGCGATCCAGAAGCTGGGCAAAGTTGGCTGACATGCTTATGGTAAACTGAATCTGTCGTGTCAGAGTAGAAGAAAATGTCCCACGTGAATACATGTCCAATTTAAATTACAATTTAGGACGGCTAATAATAAATTGGAAGGTCTGAAGTACAATTTTAAACAGATTTATCATAAAGATATCTGATAATTACATACATATTAGAATATCAGATTCCCTATTGAATGCAGTGCGGTATGGCTGAACAAAGTGTAACAAATTTCGCTCTCTCCAATTATTTGGGAAAAAAAAAATATTTTATATAATTATTGTATTTATTTCTTTTTGTTTCAGGGAAGGGAAGAAGACTTCATGGATTATCAACACATTATCTCCATTCTAGTCTAGGATCACAACTTACAGCTGCAAGAAGTATCAGAAGACATCCCAGGAAAGCAAGACAGAACAACAACATCAGATTCTGGAAACAGAATTAAAACAATGACAAGAACGTCAAGTTATTCATAAGGTAAGCGTTCATGAAATGGTACAACCCGAATGCATTTGAGAAGGTCGATATTTTTCGTTTTTGTGAAGATCGATACTTACGCTGGTGCATATATCGTTCATTTTTTCATCGCAAATCAACTCCTTCCCCGGTCCCACTGCAGTATCGGGAGACAGAAGTCCTGAAGAAAAGCCATATAAACATTTTGAGTCCATACTAGCACAATAAACAAATATTTTAATAATTTATATGTTGACACCGATCACAAGGGCCCATTTCAAATCTGCATTGACGTTTATAAAACAAAAAAACGGACACAAGTTCTTTTTGTAAAAACAGAAGAGTGTAATTATGAGAAATTCTCAATCACATTCAAACAGTTTAACATTCTTCAATTTTTTGGGTCAAGGAATTGTTGATCAATTATTTTACTGACCCCACTGTACAAGATTCAAACAGGTCTGTTGGTCCAACTGAACTCCATAACAAACTCCATGATTCATGGCAAACATGAAGAAAACAGGCACAACCGCAAAACAGGTGGCAGTCACCCAGCACAGGATCAGGAAGTAAGAAATCACCAGGAACTGAAATGGTGAAGGACAATTAGAATTATTATTATTCATAAACAAATAAAAATGTCAGTTTTTGTGTAGATATCTGTCCTGCCTCATCTTGCGTCACACCTTCTGTCAAGAGCAAAAAAATCTTTCCAGGTTGTCAGTAGTGTAATGACAAGTTAGGACTATTTCAATTATGAAATACTTGTTAGAAAATGTGATGTGTTCCATCCCAACAGCATGTGTCCGGTAGATCTGACACAGCTCAGTATTAAAAATAACAGATACATAATACAGCAGTACCTCGTAAAAGAAATTAACGTCGCCCTCTTAAAAATAACTAATCTTTTCAAACAAGTTATAATATCTCATGAACGTGAATAGTTCATAGAGTAAAATGAAAATCAAGAGTGTTAGTAATAAGTACTTACCACAGCGGTCTGGCATCTGCCGCTTCGTCTGGTCTTGAATCGACAGAGATACACGGATCGCGTGGCTCCGGTTCCCAGGCAACTAATTGCCAGTAAGATGATTGCAATAATGAACATGAAGACAGACAGGCAATAGATGACGATCTGAACGTTGGTAAACCTGAAGAGAAGATGAGACAAGTTCAGACAAGGAAGGAGAAGATGGAGAAGTGTGTGCATTTGTGTAAATGAAACATTGTTATGTGGGTCATCAATACATTCGGCCACTCGCATCTTTTACTCGTCTTTTATGACGTTATTATAACGTGACTTGATCTGCATCAAAAGTGGGTCCAGTTTTCTAACTCGGCAAGATTGAGCAGAAATACTGACAGAAGAATAATCCTTGCAGCTTATTAGATGGGATTTTTGCAACTGTTTATCCAGATCGAAGTCATTATTTATTTCTTCTTTCAGGACTTTTTCTTTTTCCGTTCGAATAAAAAATTCAAAATTCATGGTTGATATCAAGAAATCGGTGAATATTCGAATCAAAGCCTATATCTAATGGTATTTAAAAATTAATAAGACCTTTTTTCAGAATCGAACAAATTTGTCAATTAATTAATACACTTACCAGACATTGAATGCATCACTGACAGGTGTACCGACAAACAGATACTTAGCCTGTTCTCCGGCCAGATGGAATCCAGCCAATAAGAGAATATCACCAGCAATCATCATAGCACAGGCAAGGATAGATGGACAGGGAAACTTGAGACAACAATCCCCACATTGCCCGGGCACTGTAAACAAACACGAAGTTTGAGAATCGTAAAACGAGAACTTCCAATTAAGGCAAATTCCCCAAATTCTTCCCCAAATAAATAAATAAATAAATAAAACATGAAGTAGTTATTTAAAAATTACAACAAAATAAAACATAGAAATAGAAATAGTTTAACACATAATACAGTGTAAAGGATTTACCAGAAAGGCTAATAAATGGAGAAATTGAGAAAATGATAGTGGTAAGTCTACAGCTCTCAGAACATGTCTAAAGCGAAAAGCAGCTGTATTTTGTCTGTGGTTATGGTGCAATCCACAAAAAGTTGAAAATGTGTAAATGCATGTACGGCAAGCCGAGCCTGTCAACACCTTACACCTGCTAAATACCAATCCCGCAGGGATCGGATTTTGTTGCCTTTGGTAACCGATATGAAAATGAAATTGATACTGGTGAGAGATGAAACGAAGCTGAATTCTTAAAGTGATTTCTGAGGTCGCGCCAGAGGAAAACAGCGGTAACGTTGTTTGTATTGTTTTCCCAACGGAACAGTTAACAATACAACATTGCTAGAAAGTTACATTTTGCACTGTGTCCTGTAAACGACCCCGTTACAATTTTCCTCTGTAACTAAAAACGAGGCACTATTAGAAGAGGAAAATTATATTCAAGGAATAACACAATCTGAAATCGAATCTTATTCTACAAAAGAATACAATATAGCGACGCAGCCTGCACGTCATGGATCCCGTTAATGTACTAAATAATATAATAGAGCTACACGAAAGATAAACAAATGTTTTAAAGCATTAAAAAAAAAACTCAAAATTTCTGATAATTTTTGTACCACAATTAACGTAGGGTTCCAAATGTGCATGAGTTGCCATACTCACATCGAGTGTAGTAATCCACAATGACCTCGTCCCTCGTTACATTGGATTCTTGATCCATCTCGGGAAATGAGGAGAAACAAAATGGCTACTGAAGAGGAGGTTAAAGTCCAAAGAAATATGTCCACCTTACCGACTAAATCCCGCCAAATAACCGTCAATAAAGCGACAAAGAATTTAATATTCAGCGAGGTCAAGAATTGGGTGAATGTTGCAACAGAACATGTTACACTTATGACGTAATAATGGCATCAATGACTGTACGTTCATCTGCTTTAGAGCATCGTCAAATCGTCCATCTAAGTCGATTTTCAAACTTCCAACACAGGAATGCATCCACAACGGCCATTTTTCTGTCGCAATGATGGTTAATATTAACCCAATGTCTACACATCATGGTGAGTTGGTTTTGTATTAACACTGGGAGCAAAGTACAATCTCCACCGCGACATCACTGCCAGATGCAGTAACAACATCTGAGCAGATTGCACGGTGCATAGAGAATGTTTGTGTACATGTACATGTACATTGTACCTGCATTATTTGAACAGCTATCTAGCCCGCCACACAGTGCAGACAATAACTGAGGTCACAATGTGACCTCAACCAATAAAAAGAACGGATTTTACGTTTGACTGATTTCAGAATAAAAATGGCGGTCTATATGCAATCTTTACATGTTACATGTAAATTATTCCAATTTCGATCGGATTAACTGCAATGAGTAAATTTTTATATTAGCGCGATGAAAAAGATATAAAAAGTATATTTTCTCTTCTATTTTAGAGACAATTTGAGACCCTGTGAACTAACTAATTAATTATTGACTAGTGAATTATGACCACCGTCCCACTGGGAAACAGTTATGAGACCCATGTTTCAGAGGGAGGATTTAGCATTCTTGGAACAGCATGTGTTTGTGACTCATAGGTTATTTTTTATTGTCAAATGGAATGTTGAAGCCACCCAGTGTGCATCATACAAATACTTTCAAAATGAAATATAAGTATTTCCTTATTTTTCTAATTGATCGATGCCCAATTTGTTCATAAATCAAGAAGTGGTATGTCAATAAACGATGGCAGAGATACAATAATATACACTGTGGATATTTTAGGGGAATAAAGTGAAGCGAAGGACATTTGTTTTTTCCAAATTAAATGATTATAAAGAATACCTAAAATGAAGACGCATCAAAATGATAATTATAAACATGAAATCTCGGCTTCACGTGAGGCATTTATTAAAATAAAAATACAAACAAAACAAGTAACTCGTTAAAACAATGACTGACTAATGTTTTCAAAATGGATGTCTGTGTAACGAAATACATGTAATGTTTCAAAACGGTGATGAACAGATTTACCGATAGATATGATAAAACAACAATCGGTTGTTTGTATTAAAAACAGCAAAAAACTTGAAACAAATATTGTATTTCAATCATTAGAAATCACAAGTTAAAATCTACACGATATTTGTACAGTTTGATTGATGTTTCATCCTTCCTGGTAAAACTGCTCTGAAAAGCAAAGATTATTTACAATTAGCCCAGCATTTCTTTTTGACAACTTTTTACAATCTGTCTTCTGTCTTACATCTGCTAGGTATTGTAATTTCAAACTGTGATACCTGCTCATTGTGTGAACAAATTAAACAAACAAAAAAAATTAAGTATTAATCTAAAAGCAAGTCTTACATGTACATAGAAACCGAACATCATCTCAAGCACTCGAATCTTTTAAACTTTTCAACCATTGCAAAATACAAAAATGATTTCCTCAAAACTGGGATACAAAAATATATACACATTACATATACACATCTATTAGTCCAAACTATTGTCAGTATTTACATAATTGTGATCAATGTACACTGAAAACTTTCAAAGATTTGTAAACAATACGAACTGAATACATTTTCACTTGTTCGGCAACGCTTGAGTGGTACATAAAAAAAAATCTTTATAAACGTTCACTCGCTTAGTCACAACGTATTGTTAAAAAAAACCTTAACTGCTGATTATTCAAAGAAGTGGATTAAATCATAACCATCAATACGTAACGATTTCATTTTAGCCTAAATACCACGAAATATTGTCCAAAAAATACGCATTTGCAAAGCAAAATACATGTACGACTCGACTTTCTAATTGTTCTTAGGTCTCATAAACGTAGTACATTGTAATACTGATAAAGCTGTGCTTTTTACGATTTAGCGAAAGTAAGAATGGATACTAAATGTAATTATAGTAGTCTCAGCGGGTTTCTTTTAGGATTCAAAGAATTGATGTAGTTGTTTGCTTAAACTGGTACTTACTAAATTTAACTTATGTTTGTACAAAAGTAAGCCAAGGGGAATTCAATGAGACAATGATTGCACCAATCATATGAAATACTCATTGAAGCCTCTAGGCGGCGCTCTATCTGACGAAGGTGAGCCGAGAGAGGGCGCTGGTTCTGGGTCCGTGAAGCTACTAAGTGGGCGTCGGCTTCTCTCATCACCTTGGTAATGATTATTATAACCCCATCGATTGCCTCCAAAAACACCATCACTGTTATCGCCTGCGCTACTATGCTGAATACTCCCATGGACACTACCACTCCCATCTACGTTGTCATGGTAATTATTGGGCTTCAAGTTGAAATTACTGCTTCTTGGGTAGTAATCATCCCTTTTATAGTCGATGTCTCGGTTGTAATCCAGAGTGTTCATTTTGGGATTTGCTGGGTAGTTACCACTAGCATTACCACTGAGAGTGCTGCTTGTGTGACTTGGTGCCCGACCGTTAGCGTGTGGGTTTCCATACACATTCGATGGACCAGTCTCAGTACCTGGCAAACTCAATGCTGGTTGGTCAATGCCATGGCGACTGCCATTAACACTGCCATAGGCTGGTGGTGGCGCTTGCCGAGGTGGATCTGCATAGTGATTCTGCAAATGCGAGACAGGTTCCCTATCATAATTCAGAACATCTTGGTTCATATGCCTCATCGCATACAGCTCATCACCACTCTGTAGTGCCTGATTCTGATAGGATTCAGTCATGCGCAGTGTAGCTGCATTACTGGTGTCATTCAGCGTGTGATTGTTGCTGCCATGGTTACTGGTTGTCCTAAGGGACGCCCTGGATCCTCGGAGGACATTATTTCGGCTTCCACGCAGGGAGCTCCTGGCGTGCCGGCTGCTTCTGACCGAGTTAGCACGTACCAAGTAGGCGCCAGACTTACGATTAGCAAAGCCGTCTTTGAAACGGTCTCGGAGTTTGGCAAAGTTGGCGCCATAATTAATCAGGTAGTGCAGCTGTTGAATATTCATAAAAACAACTTAATAACTTACATTCAATAGTACATGAATAACAAGAATGACATCAAGTTCATGGTAAAAATGATTGTGTTGTTATTCGAAATACAGGAAAGGCAAATGTATTGTTTTATTTAAAGATTTGCATGTATGTTTTGTCATTCAGGTTTCTTACCATGGACAGTGTGACAAGAATGGCTGCAAAGAACGCCAGTGCGTACCACAGGAGAACATTCTGCAAAATTGGGGGGGAAATCACATGATGCATTACTGCGAGACAACACTGAGACAGAACAAATGAAGATTAAACAATGGCGTCATCATCGAATCCAACGAAACATACACAACATGAACTACTTACGCTGTCGCACAAAGCACGGAGTTTATCATCGCATATCTTATCCAAATCCCTGGCATCAGCCTGGTAGTCTGCCGGAGCAAGACCTACACAACAAAATACAGCAACATTTTATTCCTGCTCTACATGTATAAACAGTGGATTTACAAGCACATTAATGTGAGAAATTTCTACAATAGTTACAAGGAATCGCCGCAATACCTTTAACTTGAATAACTTACTCCTTTCTAAAAGTTACACCATTGAATGGATCATCAAGAATCAAATACATCAAACATAAAATAGCTTTATAATAAACATGTACATGTATTATGTTTATCTATGGAAACTTACTCCACTGCTTGAGGTCAATGCAGGGTTTTTCAGGGGGGTTGTCTTGGTTGGGGTCATAGTATTCTAGGCCAACACACATCCCACGTCTTTGGATGTAAAAGAAGACGATGGGAACCAGCGAAACAAAACTCAGGCCCAGCCAGAGCAGGAGGAGCAAGTATACCACGATCATGAACTGTGGAATAAAAGAAGAAACAAACCTAGTCGGATTGTCTAGAGATTTCTCTGAAAATCCATCTGGTAATTTGATGTCACCGAAGTTATGTAGTTTAGGTGTGTCACTCATGTTTGTAGTCATTAAGATACGCAGACAATGTCACAAAGTTACAATTCCTTTTAATTTACTTGATAACTCTTCAAGAACAAATCATGAGTAATTGAACTTTCTTTCTAAGATGTTCAACTCTTCAAGAATGGACATGTCTTTCTTACCAATCCGGTCTGACATCTTCCTTTGGCTCTTGTTCTGAAACGCCACATAAACTCCTTCCTCACTGCTCCCGTACCAAGACAAGATATGCCCAGCAATGCTACTGCAATGAGAGCCATGACTGCGATCTCAACGTACAAGCCTATCGTGATGTTCCCAATCCTGTGCAAAAGGAAAATTATTAAAAAAAAAAAAAAATTAAAATAACAAAATGCATGTAATGAAAGCGACTTCTGAGTAAAAGCTACCGAAAGTTGACTGACTGAAACATTAACATGATGAGCACATCACTTACACAAAATGAAGTAACGTGTCGGCCCAGGAATCGAACATGTCATACTATCAATGTTACACATTAATGGACTTTTCCTTTAATTCATCCATAATAATAAAAAATACATTTTGAACGTTACCATGTATCCATATCATCTTGGACGTAAGTTCCCTGGAACAGTTCCGATGTTTGCTGTCCAGCTAAGACTCCCGCCAAACAGAACAAAGCCGCACCTCCAAGGAAAGCTAAGGTAGCGAGGATGCTTGGGCAGGGACACTTAATGCAACATGTCCGACATGGTCCTGGAACTGTAAGAAGAATGCATAGCAATAACAACACCAAAATACAAACAAACAATAAGCAAACAGATATTCAGACAAACAAACATGTTTACAATAAAATAAAGGGAGAATCTTTTTTAGATCTTTTAGAAAAAAAGTTTGGTTCTTAAAGTTATGAATGACCGTTTCACTGTCAGTTCCATTTCATATTTACATTGTAATTAGTTGTCTTCGTAAAGCGTTCTACATTTTGCAGGGTCCAATGTCATGGAGTTGCTAAGCAAAGACAATATTTGCTCAGCACAAACAGGTTACCAAGCCAAAGTGTCATCCAATGTACACAGCTTGATACTGGTTCCCCAATCATTTACAATTAGCAGTATTTTCTGCTTAGTAGCTTCATGAAATCGGGTCAAAGGTCAGGCTAAACCAGCTGGATTCTTCAAGTCAGCTGGCGAGGTCTCGATGGGACCTCCTGGATCAGTAAATCAAATATCAGGACCCTCTGGGCTACGATAACCACAGTCACTCGACCTCCTTCAGGTCACATACAAATTACGAGTTAGGCTTCCGTTTATGGGTAGCCCGCCTGAAAAAAAATAACTGAGTGACATACATTTAGCACAACCTGCAATGTTGCAAAATATATTCATAATTATACGCAACATTAAATGACAATTAATCAACAAAGATATTTCACGTATCACAATTCTTCAAAAAGCTATCGGCACATTCCATTATTTTTGTCGCAAACATACAATTTTCGTTAATTCTTAAAAATATTTATTTTCATTTTTTACCAAAGGCTGGTGAATTGGTGTTTAGAGCCTGCATCAGTATACAAGGCAAATTACAAATCGATATATTTGCCATGAATTGGGATTTTTTTCCAGTCCGTCGACGAGTGTGCATTAAATTTCCGAGTCCTTTAGCCAATTTCCCCGAGGAATGTTGCAAACATGGCACGTGCACAAACCACAACATGCCAAGTGTTGCTAAACATATATCAAACATGATGTAAACACTGTGTGGACAGCTCACAGAGTGCCAAAATGTTCTCTAAGGAATTCCAACCTTACCAATTATAATGGTCATAAAGTTCTTGTGGTTCGTATTCATGAAATACAGCTTGATACATGTAGTACTTTTTCCTATTGCTAATAATAGTCAAGCGTAAACAATTTTGGTACCCATATAGAGTTTAATGGGACCTATTTGTGTGACAAACGTTATAGCCTTAGTAATGTATATCCCATACAATCATGGAGAAATAAGGTTCCGTAGTACATGTACATGTACACGTACCGTACAAAATGGTAAATTATACGCAAATAGAAATGGAGCAAATTGGTCTAGGAGGCAGCTGAGGTCGACTCGAGGTCAAGGTTCAAGAAACCAAACACGCATTTCGATATCCCACTGCGTTGATCGTTAGTTGGTTCCGATCCAAACGATAAAACTATCAGTATCACTGTAACTGGTACCCATTTTGTGCACTGGATGTGGTCATATCGCCCATATCGGGAAGTATGTTTACAAAATAGAGCAATGTATGTAAACATTGCATGTGAACCAAGATGTTTGGAGTATCAAACCAACCACCAATATGGAATGTGATGACGGATGAAAACCTTGAGGAAAGGAGGTTGAGTAATTCACTCCAGTTCGGGAAGTAGAGGATAAACTTGACCTTGAAAGTGACAGTTTCACAGACACTATACTACAGGATGTACAGAGATATATCTCAATAAATAAGTCCAAGAAATTGAGGTTAAAACAAGGACAAGGAGCACGATAGACGCTTGGTCAATATATGACCAAGTACAATCATGATTGTGTACCATAATTATGTACGGTATATTCCAACATTTCAAATGAAATATCACAATTATAGTCAGCCTAAATCGTAATCATCATCGTCATATTCACATCTTCAATTAAATAACGATTATGGTCAATTTTCAATATAAAAATCGTTCCCCTCATCATCATAAAGCATTGATTATCATTCCTGTTAAAATATAATTAATCCATGGTTTAACGTACGATTGTCAGTATGATTGTTGTAGTACTAGCGACTAGTAGTCAAGTACGTCATGTGTGTACGTGTACGTGCACACTTTAAATTTAGTTTATAAAAAAAAAATGTAAGAAATTTCAAATCCAACCACTAGTCTAAAGTTGATATACGTACCCGAGTATGGTTCTTCATAGTACACCGACTCTCCTGCAATACTTCCGGCTATGGACATATTGTCGATTAATTCTCGAACAAAATCACAACAATTCTAAAAACGCAATCAGACAAATAATGTCGTCTCAGTTCCTCCGCGTGGTTGGTTGTGTTTCTTACTGTTTCCAGTGGTTTGGGTCAAGATCCGGATCAAATTTTCTCCAGCATCTTTCATCAGATTGTAATATCAGTTCCACAACCGAATTCCAAGCTGTAAGTGGCTTAATTGGTACAATCTATAAATGAATCAGACGTTGAGAAATGACGAGTCATATACAAACGATTCTCGTGCATGTGGCGCACTGTGTCGGTAGATGCAGTGTGATGTTTCCACCATCCACGCACTAGTAAAAGGTGATGTTCTCCTTGTTCTCAATCGTCACGACGCTGATGGCGATCTTGCAGATCGTCGCAGAAAAAAATGTTGATTTAAAACTCGTAAAAATTGGCCGTCAGAAATGAAATACGGGTAGAGTGAGAAGCGTGTGAACGTACGAGTTATATTCAGCCCACCGTTGATCCCTGAAGGGAATTTGTATAGCAGTTGAGTTCACAATAGCGAACGGTTGGAACGTGCACTGATGGCGTGGGATCGTCCATTATATGAATATGTAAAGCAACGGTTGGTTTGATGCATATAATAGCATTATGACGTCACGTGTTTTCTTTGCACAGGCTACTGTGTTGGTGTATAGGCTGTATAGGCTGCCATGCACCCACTCAAACTGACTGCATAACTGTTGCGTGAATCAGAGGAATTCTTATAAATTTCCGCCGAACATTGTACATGTAGCTAATTGACTCGTTTAACGATTGCACTATTCATTGAATAGATTCGGTCAACGTCTGAATGTTTGTCTGTCCGTTGATCGCGATGTCTTTCTGTCTGTGTAAAAAAAAAAATATTCCTCTACTCTCAGTGCCTTAAGTTAAAGGGAATATACAACATTTGCAAACATCGAAAAATATAACTACCAAGTTTTTACGAAATACCTTACTAGGATGATGGTAAATGACAGTCTCAAGCATCTTGTAAAATTATGGCACCTGGTGTGAAGTCATTTTCCAGAAAATGGTATTTTTGTATACATTTCCAACGGTGGTCGGCCGACCAGCGTTGGAAAAACCTAACCATTTTGCAACTACTGCTCCAAATTTACCATTTTTTCAGTCCAAATTTTGTTTGCTATTGGTTACATGTTCATGAACGGGTGCAGGCCAGCTAAGACTGGTTCCCTTGCCTTACAATTTTCTGGCATCTATAAATTGATCCTTTTTATCTTTTGTGGAGTCAGGGAACCAGACTACTTGAACATTTTTGTTTTTCTTGGTTTTTCCAACTTTTCGAACACAAAACTTCAAAAATGTCAGTGTAACAATGTTTGATCTATTATACTAACCCCTCAAATAGTTCATTTCCGAAAATTACAGCAAAAGCCAATTATGAAATCTGTCCGTCCGTTTTGGCCGTTCGTCTGTCTGTCCCAGGTCAAGCCTTTGCGTTATTGTTTCAATGTTCATGTTCAATTTTGTCTCTTTCTATACATGTTTAAGCCTCATGTGTAAAATTGTGCGTTGAGATTATGTTTTTATGTTCTAGGTATATCAAATACGGTCGCGAAGTTACTTTCTAAAATGCGACAGGAAAACGTGTACAAAATGTTAAGTTATAGGTCTCGTTCAAATGACGTCATTTCCTACATTTTGAGCGTCAACTTATGTAACGCGCATCGGATGCGTCGTATTTCGAACACATTTTGAGCAACCAGCACGCGTGTTTGGAACATTTTCAACACTGCGCAATGCGTGCTTGATTGCGTAAAATATGCAGTTGCATTTCTCCTACATACAGAGATCATCATGGCCGTCATTGAACGAGCCCTATAAAAAAATATGACATTTTTATGGATCCAAGTTACGTGTCCTTTCAGCAATCACTGACTTGACTTTCAACCTTCGCCAATGACTGACTGGTACACTAGCTTATAAAGTACATGTTGTACTTTTCAACAGACCTCCAAAGAAGTGGATCTCACAAATTCGTGAGGACACCGGCCTTCCTATAGCAACAGCCGAACGCCGAGCATCTCAGCGTGAGGGCATTCGAGGTTGTCTACAACAGGGGAGCGCAAGGGTCCCATGGGACTGAGCATTTAAGTCAAGTAAGTCAAGTCAAGTACTTTTCAACTTGCTCGTCCCCCTTCAATAAAAGTGAGGGGGAAAATTAACTTGGAATCAAGAGGGGAAAAAGCTAACATTTTGCATACCAAAAAACAGACTTTAATAAGGCCACCCCATGTTCGTTGGCATTCAGAAGAACACGTCCAAACTTCACAAAAAAAGTACTGGATATTGCTTTATCTAATTGAGATAATAGAGGGCTCTATTAAAGAAGTGGGTAAAATTGCGTTGCGCCCTTTTATAATATATCTGCATCGAAATTGAAAGCGTTAATTGATATGGAGTGACGTTGTTTATTTCGTCCTTGTCTTCGTACGCATAAATTTCAAACTTCAAAAGGATATCGATGTACCACTTATTTCCCATGACCTTGCAGCTATCTTGAGACTTTTCTTTGCCGTCATCTCGAAGCCGAAGTACAGCACAACTGCAGATCCTGTCCAATTAATATTTCTTAATCTTGAAATAAAAGCTTCGAGCAAAAAACAAAACGATTTTATGGCTTGTCTTAGAAGGAGACGCAAACAGATAGGTGCGAATAGCTCGACTGCAAGAACATTGTAAATATATCCGCAGATGACTGAAATGTTATTGTTAAGAGACTTTTACTGATACTCTAATATTAACCGTTTTCTTTTAAATATTATTTGATAATATGTTTTATCCAATTCCTTGAATGTGGACGGGTGATAACACTGTGTAAGGCAAAACATGTGCACCCCCCCCCCCATTCGAGGCTTACCCCGGTGTCCCCGATAGCGAATATAAACGGTCTCATGTAACCTATCCAAATTGAAGAGGATACATTTTTAAAGAGCTGTTTAGTTGCTGGAAACGCGTTGAGTGCCCCCTCCAGAAACAAATCCTCACAACTGACCCCTGCAAATTGGATTCTCGTTCGTTACTGAAGAGTTTTCATGCCCTTTTCACGACCCCTCTCAAGTGTAATGAACATTACAACACGCAAAATTGAATTGCCGCACAAGTAAAAGTCAGCGGTCTTACGCACCAATTGACATCACCTGTCTCTGGTTGTTTGTTTCAATCTCATTTCACTTTTCCTCCGTAGCCGCTGTCCTTGAGTGGTTTGTTAAACCGTTCAGAATTTCCGTGATCGCGTCACTTTGATTCTTAGAAAAACACTCTCCAATTGGTCCACTAGCCAAAACGGATTATCTTGTCACGTTTTGATAGCACGAAGGATGATGTTATCATCTGTAACCCTGTATAACATGCCTGGTTTTCGTGAAAAACATGACACTTAAATGTATCCTTGGACAGGCGTAGACATCGACAATCGGATTACTCGACTGATTTTGCGTATCGTTGATCAGTGTGTGACACTCTATATTATGCACCCCAGTTAATGAAAAATAAATACACTAGTCGGTGTATTATTTAAGCAAAATTTTACGTTAAAACATGAAAGCACTCTCATCTTGTCAAAAAATGAGACCCTTATAATATAGTCTTTTTAACTGTAGACACAAAATCCTTTCTTCAGCTGTGAAATTGCTCATTTTATTTTGTTCTATCCACGCAATCAAACATGATGGTTAATTCATACTGGCCACTTGCCAATAGAGGGCGCTATTCACAGTGAGCTTTGGTGCTTTGTATTCAACTGTGTACGGAGATTTGTTTGATCAAAATGTTATCTGCAAAATTTTACTCAGTATTTTTAACTTTAATTAGTTCAAGACGCAATTTCAATTTTCAATGTGATGTTTTGAGTAGCTAAAGAATAATGACATTTCTAACTAAACAGATGATAGTAAGTTACATAATCGATACCCTGTGTATATCACTATGCTAAAAAGAAAACGATTACTGCTAATAATCTTCCAGAAATTTGCTTCTTATAAGTTTCCGTAGGGCATGGAATATTTCGGCCTTGCTCTTCTCAAAATAATCATTTAGTTTTCTTTAAAGATTTGTGCACCTCTTTTTTGGTAATATTTTTAAACCTTTCTTTGGTTCATATAATTTGAAGCTATGTTCCTTTTGAGGCGTTAGCGGCTTCCGATTCTGCAACGGAATCCAACCGTTTAGAGTGATTGACAATCACTGTAATCACTTTATATAGCCGTGTAGTGCTGGCACATTTCAACTTCATGTTGTCTACCACTGCATTTGCCTGTCATTAAAATGAACTTTGCATTCATATATGTAAATGTATACGATATATACATAAAGTGCGTATTGAGTTATAGATTTACTCTGACAGATAAACTATTGCAGAATCACATTATAATCACAACATTTCTTTCCTCAACAAAATGGTCGTTTAAACAATGACCAATATTTACAGTCCGTTAATTCATACCTCAGTATATTAAAAGTGGATCATTTTAAGTACTAAAATGGTCGTGGTTTTTTTTTTTTTTTTTTTTTTTTGGCTGTCGTCTTCTATATTTACTGCCAATCGAAAGGGATCATACACCTAGAACCACATTTCAACTAAGTATTGCAGTTTAGCTCCTAAAGTGTGACATACAAGGTTGAAACATAACAATATATAATTAACAGGTATTAAATTACGTGAGTGTTCAGGTTTCGTTGAGTTCAAAAGTCGAATATCTTTTCTGACTTCAAGTATGAGGATTAAACAAATCTGAGGCAATTTCGACTTTATCCTGTGGCCGTGATGTCGTCCGTGACATTTAAGCGGTCTAATTGACCCGTCGCACGGTACAACAGCCGCCGCGAAGCCTGCTGAAACTTCTTATACTTGAACGAGTAGATGAAGGGGTTGACGAACACATTCAGTGAAAGCAGAGCCACGGAGATAACGTAAATGGTGCTGGTGAAATCTAATGTGCGCCAATGCATGTTGTGAAGGAAAAACAGAAATTGGTTCATAGACCAGCAAATGATGAACGTGACAAACACAATGAGCAGTGCTTTGAAGATGTTACGACGTGCTCGTAAGAGCGACTCGCTCTGGTCGTTGTGCTGTGGATCTAAAGCAGAGACTGCCGGTAAGACACGGCGCGCACTTCTCGATAACTCGAAGGCGATTCGTGAGTACATATATGTCATTAGAATTAATGGAATGGCATACTGTAGGAGGAATATCACAACACCAAGTCCACTGCCACTGGGGCTAGTCAAGCATTTTCCTGTTTCATCCACATGCCATTGGAAGAAAACGTAAACTCGGAAAGTTAAAACAATCAACCACAGAAGACCTATGATCAGTCCAATCGCCTTTTTGCGTCCAAAGATGCGTTCGTATCGATACGGATACACGATGGCAAAGAAGCGTTCAAATGTAACGGCAAGGAGGCTGTAGGTTGATAAGACGAAGAAGTTGAGCAGGAAATACTTAGAGTTCCAAAAGGTGCAGAGAATTTCTCCCCAGACTCCTTCCGGTACTGGATTGAATGGAGGGATGTACTCGTGAAGTAAGATGAAGATAGATGCAGCGAAATCGATAGTTGCTTGGTGCAGAATCAGCGCGTTAGTGTTGGTATGCATGGATCGCTCACAAATGATGACAAAATTGACTAGAGAATTGCCCACGATGCCTAAGACACTAGATGAGGTGTTGACAATACGAAGAAACAGACTAGACGCCATTAAGAATCTTGTGTTTTGGTCAGTCAGATTCACACCAAGCTTAAGGATTCAGGCCTTCTAGTCTTGATACAGTAAGCGAAATGAGACAGTACGCGAGTTAGTCGATCTTGTCTTATTCCTATCCTGCATTAATTTGACAGTTAAACCTACGATCGATGGCTCGTTCCGTGCCTTTCACTCTTAATTTCCTGTCTACTCCACTCAACACAAGTCAGGTCAGCTTATAAGCTTTTACCTGCAGTGAGTTCTGAGTGTACTACTTACACCCAATCTACACCAATAATGGTATGGCCGTCAGACACAGTGCACAGTATGTGCGGAGTATCCGCCCAGTAATCGCGAACGCGAATGCACCAATCAGAAACAACATGACATAACGTTCGGCACTCTATTTTGTACTCTTTACATGATTGGATAGGCAGAAAGCCCATCAAGAAGGAGCAATGTTCAGCCTGCAATTAAGACATGAATTCATTTGATATAGAACAATGAACTCCCTGGTAATATCGATTGATGTATAAGATGTGCATTCTTCTCAACATCACTTCTCAAGGATGACTTTCTGTCTTGCCATTTTATCCATCTCCCGACCATTAATTGCTAAGGGTTTTCAGTTTCTTCCATTTAATAAATAGCTGGAACAAAAATTGAGACATTTAAGTCTCAAAGGGTGAAAGCTTTAAAGACGATTGGAGAGCAGAAATCAAAAGAATGGCCTTTTATCTGGGGTATAAGCGGGTAGTCCATAGAGTATGATGAAATGTCACGTTTGACTGGCGTAACTCAAAAGTCCTACTAAAAGCATTAAAATAAAAACTCTGTTACGTTTTTTCTGCTTTCAATTTAAAATCTGTTTATATTTTTCGCTTTTAATTTCAAACTATAGTGATTTGAAAAATTGATTCCCTATAGCTTTATATAAGTTCTGGAAAATAATGCGATATATAATTGCTATTTCGGACGGCATTTTTGCATTTTAGTGGTGCGCCCATTAGTCTGCAGGTAATATATCAACCTCGTTTCTCCAGTTACAAGTTACTTAACAGTAACGCGAGCAACGATTGGAAACAATCTAGCGATGCGAAACCGACTCCGCCATATTATTAGACAGTCTTTATCAGTGTTGAAGGTCTCGGTCTCGGTCTCGAGACCACTTTTTGCAGGTCTCGGTCTCGGTCCCCTTTGGTCTCGATATTTTGGCTGGTCTCGAGTCGAGACCAGCCAAAAAGTGAGGGGGGGGCGGATTCCGCCCCCTGCCCTTTTAGGGTTAAGTAAAGAATCAGTTTAGGGCAAATGTAACTGCAGTGTGATGCTAATGGACATGTCTCTTTTCACTTTCTAGTGAGTGAGGCATAGTCCAATAACCATTGCTCCTTTTCTTATTTCTCGCTTTCATTGTGGGATGATCTGTTGAAACAAGCACTTTATAGCGATCCTCATTGATTCCAAATACAACTGAGATTTAAATCTTATGAATCAAGACTGAAACATTATTACCGTCAGATTTTGTATTTTGAATATGGGGAACAATTCAACTCTTTTTCCCTAGAAATATTGGTGATTTTTTTTCTATTTTCCTTTTCAATTTTTCCTATATTCGTGGAGGCGGGAAAACGTGGTTTTTTTTTTCATTATATTTATTAATGGATATTCATCCATTCGTAGACCGTTAAATTGGTATTAGTGGTGGACAACTGAATTTTGTGATCTCTTTATTAAAATAGACACGACTTGGGAATAAAGTATGCAAATTACGTGAAATGTTCACAGTTACTACTCAATAACATGTTCTTTATCCCAATTATATTTTTTACAAAATGGAGCGTGCCATTTTTTTTATCACACGGTCACTTTCTTTTTGACTCGCCATGTATTCATCTTTTCATCTGTGATAAACACAAATTGGGCTACTGCCATGGTCACACAAAAATAGAGTCTAATTGCCTGCCTCGTCTCCTTCCTAAATGTCAATTGCATTTGCATGAGTAGAGAAGAATTGTGTTCCATTAATCGCTATATGTTGTTTACGGCCATCACAATAAACGATTAATATATTGGCAATATGTCGTACTAAAATATTCAAGTAAATCGCCCAGCAAGGTAGCCGATGCTGGCGATACGATGGCACGGTACAAAACACAGAGAGGCGAGCGCACTGAGCCATAAATCCTAAAAGTACATCTCACCCACCACATTCAGTTTGTGACAGCGCCCTTCTATTGTGTCGGCCATATTCTCAAATAGGCTAATGACGATGATGACGGCGGGCAGATTAACGGAAGATAGATTAGGCAAATATGGTTCATCAATCTTCTATAGTATATGTAACGTTATTGACATTAAACAAAAATAAAGTGGCATTACATTTCAGCCTTAGCCAGGCCTTCTTCAGAGGTAAATGACAGAGGAACAAGAAACAAACATGTAGGGGACACACAAACATGCAGGGTTGAAAGGAGAATCACAAAGAGAGATGGGGGGGGGGCAGACCAATCCATATCTGGCTACCATCTCTCAATTGTTTGGTATACATGTACAAATCTATATTCCATGACTGAAATTTTGAAAAATAAATCAATATTTTCTTGCCCCCCAATTTTTTTTCGAATCAGGTTTACATGGAGGTCTAATGTAAAATTAAAGTTGCATTTAAATATCCGTTAGTGGTCATTGCTGAAACAAAGTGGTGGCTGTGGAGTTTAGGGTCTGAGTTCCTATCAGATGAAACATTCACCTTTAACTTTTTACTTTTGTCAAGTTTCAACATGTTCAAGTTTTGCAAAAACTAGTACAAATTGTCGTACTCCTAAGTTAGAGTTTCTTCATCAGATTTACACTTTATAGTAGTTAAACAATATATTTTTAAAAATATATATATTTTTTAAAAAGTGGCAAAAATATATGGAGTACATCAAATAAGGTTTTCCCCTTCTTTAAATTAGGTTGTTTCCATTTTTTTTTATTGATTGTGACAATAACAAATTATGTTGCCATGTTGTAATTTATGGCATGAAGCAAACACGAAGAGCACTCGCATGACACAATTAAGCAGGTACAAGTGATTCCTAACTTTCAATCACTTCCTTCACATCCCCATGAACATCAACATCTCAAGGACAGACTGTTCAGCTGTAATTAGTGTCTTGTTGTTTATTTAGATTATTGTTATTTATTATCCGTGGTCTCGGTCTCGGTCTCGGTCTCGGACCATTTCGGTCTCAGTCTCGGTCCGCCTTGAAGGGGCTGGTCTCGGCCTCGGTCTCGGTCTCGCAACTTCAGGTCTCGGTCTCGGTCTCGGACTATCCGGTCTCGACTACAACACTGGTCTTTATGATGATATCCGCCCTTTCCTCGATAAGGACGTGTAGGTTTTTCATCTTTCCAAAAACTTTTGATAGACAGTTGCAATCAATTTACAATGATTGCGACTTGTTCCGTTTGTTTATATTTAATCGCAATATTCCGTCCTTTGTGTTACCGTCTGATGCATTTCATGTTGTTCTAATCATGACAGAACGAACTATTCTAGCGAATTGACGACGTAAAGCGTATTATGTCCCTCACAGTAAAACACTGAGATACCCACTGCACTATGAACAATGTAATCTGCGCTTAGAAATGGAATCAGTGCTTTTACAGGTTATTACCACACTATGTGATGTGACTGCCATGTAATTATCTAATGTTGCAAGTTGACGATGTATAAGTCAAGAAGCAGACAAAAACTTAATTCAGAAAAGGCTCGATTCTCGGAGTCATGATCCGTTATTTATCCTCAAAAGAATCTGCGACACGCTGACCCCTTTAAGCGAAATTGAGGCCGTCCAACTCGTGCCGTATCCTAGCAACGGGGGTTAATAACTTGATTGTCATGAAAGTAATAATTGTTGTCTGGTAGAGAAAAGGAAGCAAACGTATTGATTAACGCTATTATGACTGCCATATGTTGTGTAGATTTTATATCAAAAAGAGAGTGTATGTTGTGAATACAAGGTATTAATTAATGGGGCATCGGCTTTAAGGTCTGAAGTGACTAGAAGGGGGGGGGGGATATTGTGTCCGCAAGTCAACTCTTACCAATTTTGCAAAAGCTTTGAGGACAAGACGTCTCTCTTGTTAAGATGTTTCTCCGCTTACATTGCAGGCTATCGGATTCTTGACATTAAATCCGCCGTGACGTGAAAATTAAAAGCTAAAAGCCAATCAGTGTTTTCTCCTGGGAGAACTATCAGTGTAGCTCTATGTCTCGATGGCTTAGTGTCGTTTTATCAAAGTTCCATGCACTCCATTCGGCTGCAGAAATCCGATTATCACATGGCGTTATGGCAATATTCAAATCTCAGTCCTACGACGACGGTTTTTTTTTCATTTGGCATCAACATTTGAAACATTAACAACGCGTTTACGCGGAGTTGTTTGACTGTTTAAACCACAGGTTATTAAATAATGCTGTAAATGTAAAATAATGACTTTTTGAGGTAACATGAATATGCGAGGTGCGTCATGCATCATGTTCCACGGGGTTATTTTTTAATTACAAACCATCCATTACCGTGCAGAATGCTGATAACATTAAATTAACGACATTGTCGAACTTTCCCGCATTGCAATCAATCGATCAAATCCAGTTGCGTGACTTATTATCTCAGCCATCAAAATTGGAAGCCATCGCTATGGAGATAGATCGTTTGGTATCACAGCAACGCTGTCAGCCCAACCAATGCGCGAGAGCGGTGTTTGGTCTGCACGCGCGCATACATCGATGAAAACACGGCTCAGAGGAAACCCAAATAAAGGGGCGGACGTGTGTAACAAGCGCCTGTCACGAACATCAAATGTTGCCGACCAGAAATGAAAGTTTTACCTTGCTTAATTCCACAGACATTTTGCAGCTTATGCTGGGTATTCCATCAATGTGTTAAGAGGGAATAGTTATACTTTCATCCTAAGTCTCATGCTGTCAGGAACAAAATCTGCCCGTCCCACTTGACGTTATCGTTTTCCTTAGCAACACGACCTCGCCGTGAAGTCTAGCTTATAGTGTTGTCCGTTACTTCCATTTATTCGTGTTGACTTACTGCCAAGATGATGAAAGTATATTAAAAGCCTTGCCTTACATCACAAAGTTCCTTGAAAATAAAATGTTGAAATATTTCCAGCCATTCCCCCGCTTTTCATTCCTTTCCCACCTGCAGCTGGCTCTGTCAATTCAATCGAAAACGAACTCATTTTCACGCTATAAGTAGAAATAAATTCAATTACATTATATCACAACAAATTTGAACCGTCACTCTGCCGATATGATTTCATCTATGGGCCTACCATTGGTTGATCCTACATATCAGTGCAACTTTCAACATATTGTGCATGCATTGTATTGGTCCATTAAAAACCTTCGTGCCCAATTTCCTCATTTTTGTTGACTGAAAGCTGAAGGATGCCAATGGAATACAAAAGAAATCTTTTATATCTACATGGCTTCAAAAAAAAAAAATGTAAATTATCTGCGATGGAACATGTAATTATTGAATTGTCTTCCTATGTTATATAGGAATGCTTATTTCAGTACCTCAATTCTGACTTCATGTGTAAGGCAAAAACATGCCAATTGAATAATACTAAAAGCAATAGAGCAAAAAGGAGCGTTGATGCAAAAAAAAGGAGTTTTACATATAAAGACTCTTTTTTTTTAATTTGAAAGCTCAAAAAATTAAATTGAATGTCAATCATAGAATGCATGCAAAGAAAGAATGGGGAAAAGTATTAAATTCTGAGCACATTATAGAGTATTCATCAACTCAATTTATGAATTTAATTAATTAATTTATTGAAAGGCTACGAATTCACTGGTACATTGAAATGAAATTGGTTGTATGAAGTTCTTTAATTAATACACAACTACAATGACAAGCAAGCGTACATTAATTGCAATACTTCAAAATTGGAAAAAATATTAATCAATGGTTCCAAAATGCTCCAGTAATTTGGCAGTTCCTAATAGAGAATCGATGACCTTGTCATGTCAATCAGTATCATCGGGTCCTTGCTAAACGAAGGCATCACGTGGGGGCGTGCTCCCCAGCGAACTAACAATATGGACGAGTCCGACAGATTAAACATCTATCAAAGAAAACCATAAACGAGCATTATTAATGGTGTACGTTATCGCGTGTTCCTGTCTCCAACCTCGTTCCCAAATGACAAAAGTCAGGACGCCCATATAAACATCAGTTGCAGAAAAAAACAGAGAAAGGGGGCGTTTTGGTGTTAAGAATCTACGAGCCTTGCCCACCACCTGTCCTTGGAGAGATTAAGATTCGTTTCTATGTTACATGTATATGCCTACTCTAATACAACACAATATAATAGCAAACGCATACCAAATTATTCCATTTTGTCCCAATTTCCCTTTGACAAGTGTTTATCTGCAGGGTTCGTGATTTCGATGTGATTTCAGTTGTCCATTAGTTAGCCGAAGTTCCTTTTTTTCCTCGTTTACATTCTTTCGCCAAACCTTTCGGAAGTGAAAGTAAAGGACGGTTTGTGCTATCATGTACTTTTTGTGAGCTCAAATACGAAGCGATAATCAAAACGTCAGAATATTTTATTGCCATGTTTGCCGTTTTCCTCAGGATATTGTTTGTGTTTCGAACTATGAACCTCGTTGGAATCAAACAAAACGCATTAAATTGTTTATGTCCTCCAGTAATATTCCCGGCTATATCCATTTAGGCAGATTTAAAAATGGCATGCACAAAACTTACTAAAAGGTACCATCATTAATACAAAATTAATTAAAAAGTTAACAGTCAAATTTCCCCTCATTCTCCCGAAAGATCTCTGGCTAGCTTTTCCCCTATATGGTACTTCTAGATTTCCCACATTTCCTCCATTATTGTCTTTAAACGTGACCTTTTGTACAACCATTAGAAATTTAATTTACACATTATTACGAAATCCACGTGTAAATCCACGCGTATAACCATTCGTCCGAGCTGAGAGAATAGCTCGAATGACTCGATAAACAGCCGTGTTGTTAACATTGCCCGTGAAATGGCCCAAGCCTAAAGTGTCAATGGTCTTGATTTTCCCATCTTTTCAAACATATTGCAGAGAATGTTTGATTTAGTGCAAACATTTTACGATAATGAATGTTAGTTTAAGCGCTGGACAATTGTGAATTATAGTGTTAACAAACAACGGTGATGTTGGCATTTTGCTCGAAGATTCGTCGCGTCACTTTCAGACGAGGTTGAACAAGCCAGGCGTTGGTTTTCCTTGTAGAACACCTCTCTATTAACTGTTCTTGATTGAACACAGCTTGGAGCTCTTGACGGTAATTGGTATACGGGTGCAATTCTGTTGTCAGGATTCAAGCAAATATACTGATCAATCGATCTGGCCTGTGATTGGGATGTCGTCCGTGACATTATTAAGGCGGTCCTGACGGCCCGTCACACGGTACAGTAACCGGCGCAATGCCTGCTGAAATGTCTTATACTTGAAGGCGTAAATAAACGGATTAACCGACGCATTGGAGGCAAGGAGAGCTGTCGATGTTATGTAAATAGTACTGGTGAAATCTAAAGGTTGCCATCCCATATTATGCATGAAAAATAAGACTTGGTTGAGAGACCAGCAAAGCACGAATGTGATGAAGACAATGACAAGTGTCTTAAGGGTGTTACGACGTGCGCGTAAGAGTCTTCTGGCGTTGTTGTTGTTATGCTGCGGATCTGATTCAGACACTGTAGGGATAATGCGATTGGCGCTTCGTGATATTTCAATTCCTATCCTGATGTACATGTAAGTCATCAATGACAGAGGAATTACATACTGAAGCAGAAATAAGACCACTGCTAGGACGCCCCCTACCGACCTAGAGCCGCACTTTCCACCATCATCCACCGACCACTGAAAAAACGCGTAGATTCGAAAAGTTAGCACGATAGCCCAAATGCAAGCTATGCAGACGGCAATAGCTTTCCGGCCGTCGAAATATCTCTGGTATCGATACGGATAAACGATCGCAAAGAAACGCTCAAAAGTTACCGTCACTAAACTGTAGGTAGAAGCTACGAAGAAGGTAAACATGAAATACCGAGAGTTCCACAAGTAGCAAAGGAGGTATCCAGCAGGAGTCTCACCGACTTGACTGGTTCTTGGGATGTACTCATAACCGATGATAAAGATAGATGCCAAGAAATCGATGGTAGCTTGGTGTAGAATCAGTGCATTGGTGTAAGTATGCATAGATCGCTCCAAGACAATCACAAGACAAACCAGGCCATTGCCAAGGATGCCTAGGATTCCAGTTGTCGTGTTTATTACACGAAGTAGTAGAGCTGAATCCATGATGGCAAACTCCACAAGACAAACTCACTGATACCCAGGAATGAAACTTGGATACGGAGGCAGATTTCTCTGCTGTTCATTCCTTAGCTTCATCATCCATACTGACGACAGCTCATCAGAAACAACGTATAAACCACCCCCACTCCATGCACCTCAATTAGTATGATATTTCAACACCGGTCATGCATCATTTCCTTCAGTTAATTATTCACACGTGACGATATAATCCGCTTCTCCAATTGGCTCTCGACTTCTCTACTTACACATCTGCGTTTGATGGATATGCGCAAGAAACACACGACTACAAATATATGAGATTTCAGCTTATACTCGGTTTTCCATTCAACGTGCGATGTTCAAGCTTCAAAACGTGACCGTTTCATCCAGATTGTTTCTCTTCAAGTCGTCATTCCTCTGTGTTTACATTCATCAGTGCCTCTCAGAAAACTGGGGCTGTACGCTGTCCTTCATTCACGATGTTGTCATTGCCAGGTCCAGTAACAACTCTATTACTGCTCGCCGGCAACACAAGATGCAATTAAGTTTCAAGCAATTTGTAGTTACCATGGATCATGGTAATGGAGCGGTCTGACCAATCACAACCACCATTTCACAGCCGTCTTATTTCTATGTATCATGATTTACGATTGGACTTTGTGTTGAGCTTACAAACCACTCGCTGTAAAAATAGTGCTTAGAGTTTAAACACTTTTAGTGACCACTATATATTTTCTCATGCTTAATTCTAAGACATGTTTAGATTTTTTGCACAGTGCGAAAGCCTGTTAGTGCCGTCAATAATAACTCACACAAAAAATCAAATTATATTTTAAAGTTCGTTTTTCTGAGACACGAGATAAAAAAAGAGTGAAGTGTGTATATATTTAGCCTGTCATTTAACTTCAACCCGATCAGTCATTTTGATTTACTTTTACTAGTTGTACTCGATGGTAGCAGGCTTTCGCCGTGTACCTAAACATGCAACAGACATCCAGACGTGTCTGAACGTGTCGTAGATTCAATATGTGAAAAGTTGGTACAGTTATAAGTGTTTAGAAATGTGTTTAAGCTCGAAACACAAGTGTTTACATATACTTGCATGCGATGTGAGAGAAGTCACTGATATCCCTTTGTCGTCTTTACACCATATGAATTAACCGTCAAGCGTAAGCAATATTGCACTTCCTCCTTTATAGTCTATAGTTTCAAGTTCACCAATGGAAATTAGCAGACTCTAGCTCCCTCTTTCAGCACTTTAGCAAAGGCACTCTGATCTGGAGCTCCGACTTTAAAATTTCGGTCTTGAAACAGGACTACGTTTCTCCATCACTTTGGTATTTTTGGCTGACCTTAATGTCTCCACATGCGTCATCCCTCTCGCGCCAGAGAGATGTGTTTTGCTTGAGGTTACGGACACCGTGCACCGTAGCCCAGTATATTGTGATTGTCATTGTAACTGTATTATTTGTCAATCCAGCTGGCCTTTGGAGACAAAAAACAAGGTCCAATTTTAAGGGCAAGGTTAACCACAGCTCTCTGCACCTGGCACAACAGTCAAGATTTAAATATTGAATCGGAGAGGAACATGTATTTTTACGCTTGACATCTTAAATGCAGCTTCACATAATGATAATATGAATGTGTGCGCTCTGTAAAGTATGATGAACTCTTCGTTAATTATACGCATGATTATTTTTCAAGGCAAACTAAATGCAAACGGGAAATGAGCGCAATCGGCTCTTTGTAAATTTCATTTAACTCCGTTTTGTTGGATGGCGGTGTACTCTTTCAAGGAAATGAGTGGATAGTGCAAAGCTCGAATGTGAAAATCAGTTTTATAAAAATTCATCTCGAACGGGTACCCATTCGCTTGAATCTTCAGAGTTGTATTAATCCGCACTGAATAACATCATTAAGTCGTGCCCATTTTAAGTACTATGACAATGAATTAAAACCCGTCCTAAAAATTTGTTAAATAATACTTGTAATAAAATGAGAAAACCACATGCCAGGAGAATTAAGATTGAAATACCGATCTGGCTAGTTTGTTTTTGGTTTCAAATGGCTCTCTGATTTACAGGAGCAAGATGTTTCTTTCTCTCCCAATAGTTGTCTACTTCCAATGGCTTATAGGTTTATGTTCCGTGTCCGAGAAATAGAAAGAAATAACAACCTGAGATGTTAGCAAAGTCAAGCAAAGTGGAAGCTCAAATATAAGACGCTTGTTCAAAAAAAAAAGGAAACCTCACCATCAAGTGAGGAGATTGTCTTAAGTGTACTTTATATTCCGTAACCTGTTCCATAACTTGTTCCATAACCTGTTCATAACCAGAATTTGATTGATTGCACTACGGTGAGTGATCACCTGATAAAACACAACCATTTTAAAGTATACACATCAAAGTCTAAGTGGAAACTCGTGTGCTGTAGATAACACTCAGTCATTTGATTCTGCATGTTTAAAAGAGGTGCACGGGCTTAATATTGTAGCTCAGCTGTGCACTGGTTCAAGTGTCATCTGTGTCCAAAACTCAGACGGCCAAGATACTTCAGGTAACCATTTCTACAATCAAAAGAGTTGTTACATGACGAAATATGGCCACCTCGTGTTTTTACCGACATTTTTATGACGTCATTACCTTATGGTTGCATCTGACTCATCGAATTAAGGGCAATAAGAAATGAGGGACCCTGTTAAATGTCAACCAAAACTTACTGAAATATCTATTATTTTGTAATACAAATTGATGTCTCGCGAGTCCTGGATACGTATTCAACCAATGTAATAAGCCTAAGATTAATTTTGTATAATTTCATTCAACAGACGTCAAAGTGGCACAGTCAGAGACAAATGGATAAATACATTACCGTGGAACAACGTAAGTTTTGCCTCTGTTTTTACTTTGGTTGATTTATTCCTCTACGCGATCTTGCAACCGCAAGTAATAATATTATTTTCAAAATGAAAAACATTGATAATCATTTTATGAATTTTAATAAAATGTTGTGGCGATGAATGTTGAAGGTACAATAACGTAAAAAACATGCTTACGTAAAATGGACATGATCGATACCAGTGCGGTATACTGGTTTTTTTCTTTTGTCAATAGTTTTCGAAGCAAAGAAAAAGTACGTGCCAACTGCTGCTGATCATGCTGTATGGGAATATAGAGGTATTCATTTGCCTAGTAATGTCTACGAGAGTGCCATGCAAGAGTTACACGGGTGGGCGGCAAGAACTGCAGACATCTTCATCGTCACATATCCAAAAGCTGGTAAGATATACATGTACTAACATCTTATGACGTCTAAGAACCTTGGGCCTTCTCATCTCGTCCATCCTTCTTCAAATATGTCATACATTTCTTCCCTTCAGAGTCTGCAATATATATGTACGCTGGAATGGACTTGAGAATGTTGGAAGATTTAGCTTAGTAATGTCTGTGTGTTGTGCTTGTATCATCAAGTTTTGGTTTCAGGAACAGGTGCAACTTTCCCAAATTACAATTTCTCAACTATATTCGATTGGTAACTTGCGTCATGTCAAAGAAACCGCAAACTAAGCCACTACAACTGCAACACAACCTCGCACACTTGCTAAAAATAAATTACATTTTTCATTTTCTTGATGTTAACATTGACAGGAACAACTTGGGCGTCTGAGATAGTGTCATGTTTGATTAACGATGGCAACATGGACGTCGTAAACAGCAGACACATCACATCACGTGTGCCATTCCTAGAATTGATCGTCCATGGAACGCCAGAATTTGTAAGATTTACATGTTGATGAATATTAATTGTATGGATCGCATGGGCGAATTCATGTGTTCCATGATGCAATTGCATGAGTCTTCCATGAGAGTGTATACGCAATTCAATGCGTTACATCATTGGAAATACATTTTCTAATTCAATATGTTCAAGGTTTTCCTTTTAGCGAAATGCAAAGCAATCATTCGTTACAAAAATTCGATTCCTACTCTGTGGAGTCAGCGAAAAGAAAAAAAGCAGGTGGGTAAGGGCAGACCAATCCATAAATCAGAACAGTCGAATGGCAGAAGGAAATGGAACATTGATAGAAATGATCAAAGAAGATGATCAAAGCATCCGGCGAAATTCAAGACCTAAAACTTGAATGCTTCTGATATGAATAGACTAAATTCCTAAACTAAAACTCAATAAGAATTACCTAGAAGGGACATTTCTTAAAAGCAAATGTGAAAAGGAAATTTAATATCTCATGCCGTCATCATTCGATATCAAGCTGTTGTGAATCATTCACATTTCAGGAAATTGTAGTTTGGTGTTAGTAAGATGAACTTTTAATGATAATCGTTTCAATCCTATAGTCAATACAATAATATTTTGTTATGCGTCAAGAGAGCAAGCCTGATTCAGTGTGTTCTGCTCCATATATTGTGCTTTAGAAGTGTCATTGTTTTTTTACCACTGACTCATGTCAGGCCTTCACATCTTTCCTTTTTCTTAATCCTTTTTAAGGTACCACCCAATTACAAGATCTTAGAGGACGTTGCTTCTCCCCGCATCGTCAAGTCACATCTCCCAGGTCAACTCCTCCCACCAGACGTGTGGAAGAAGAAAGCCAAGGTTGTCTACGTGCTTCGTAACCCCAAAGATCTCGCAGTTTCTTTGTTTTACTTCGGTAAAGCTTGGCAAGAAATGGGATTCAGCAATTTCCTCGAGAGATTTAAATCTGGAGAAGGTAAGTTCACATTCCATCCCTTGTTGCCATTTATCGTCTTCTAAACGAGGGAAGAACCAGTTCTATCGGCGCCATTATTGGCAGCATATCGCCCTCAACGGTCAAGTACCGGGGGAATCTTTTCCCCGAAAACTTTTGTCCTCAAGATTTTTGCCCAATTTTAAAGGAAAATGTAATAGTTATATACATTTTGTTTCAATAGCTGACGATAGCCTAAACCATTGTATCTCTATTCTAATTCATTTCTTGATGTTGTGGAGTGATGCTGCCAAATAAATTGAATATCTCTGGCCTGCAACGACTTATATCCAAATAATTTCAATCTAAATTTATTTTCAAATCAAATTAGGTTTTGCCCTTCACCGATGTTTTTTTCCAACTTTCACTCGGTAGTTAACACACTGAGTATACAGTGTTTAAAAACGTCGGTGAAGGGCAAAACCTAATTTGATTTATATCACCCCGACGCAAAATTCCATTTTATAATAAATTTATTTTATTTGATGACAGTTGACTATGGTCCTTGGTGGGAACACTATTTGTATTTCTGGACCAGAAGACATGAAGACAACGTATGCATTATGAAATATGAGGACATGCAAAGAGTAAGCCATATTAAACTATCTACATGTAATTAAATGACGGTTAAACAACATAGGGCGGGGCTCAGTTTTTCTGTGGTATGAAAACAGCTGGCGTGGCTTTATTTCTGGAAGGTCTATGGCGTTTGCCACTTAAAAGATGTGGAATTTTTAAAAGTTGATATGAACGCTTAGGATAAAGCACATTGTTAAAAGAAAAACATATTACAATGTACACGTAATGGCAATTATAGAATAACAATTTCTTGTAACACAGCTGTATTGGTCTGTTATATATCCTGAAGGATCTTAAAGGCGTCGTGACTACGATTGGGAAGTTCCTAGGTAAGGAGTTGAGTAACCAGACCATAGATGCCATTGTGGAACACTGCTCATTCAACAGCATGAAAAGTAACCCCATGGCAAATATGGATACAGTCAGACCCAATCAACCACACCAGTTCATGAGAAAAGGTAGGCTGAAATGTTTATCTAGTCAACTTATCCGTTCGTCCGTCCGTCCGTCCGTCACACTATCTACATTGTACATGTACATGTATTTGTCTTGGTGTTTTCATCGAATGTCTCCGATTCTCTTCCTCATTATGCAGGAATCGTTGGTGACTGGAAGACCCACTTCACAGTGAGTCAGAATGAGTCGATGAATGCATTCATCCAAGAAAAAATGGCGGGAACTGGCTTAATATTTGATTATGATTAAAACTTCTGGAATGAAAACATTAGACATGACGACCGCGCTTCTAAATGAGATCACATCGTCAAGATGCTTGGAGAGGGGAGATGGTTCCACATTGGTCGTGGTACATTACTTTTAAATTTGTCGGCTCCTTTTCAGTAGGCAGCTGGATGTATGGAGAGACAACAAATTGTTCAGCTCACCACTGAAATGCATGTATTGCATTTTCGCCAATCTGTTCTTGTTTTACAAGCGGTAAAGTGATTTCTTATTTGCATGTAAAAAAAAAACCGTGCACGGCCTCCACAATACATGTACATGTACAAAGTGTTATTGTTGCACAACTTTACGGACGTTATTTGCAGATTGATATCAACAGAGGGCGCTATTCATAATTCAACCAATGCACGTACATGTACAAGAAGCGATACCAAATCTGAACGATACCAGAGATTATTTGTTTTTAAATAATGAACTTGGACAATCAATTTAACTCTCCAACAAAAAAGTTAATCAGCGACAGAGATTTTACTTTTCGACAAAAGTCTTTTATTTACTTTCTCTAATTTGTACAATTGTTTTGTTTATTTACATTTTTACATGGAAAGCTCTAGGCCTAGTTGATGACAATAAATTTGAAGTTTCAAAAGTGACCCAATTGTTAATCTCATAAATAGGGTAGCAGTTTTGCTTTGCCCAGACAGAAACAAAATGTTACATCCTGAATTATTCGCTTAGCTTTTAAAGTCCTCAAATAACCATGGAAGACAAAACTGAGATTATGGAAACTCAAATTAACAAAAAATGAAGGGGTACAATGAAGGGGCCAATATAAAGTCTGAACTATAAAAACAATTCCTTAATCCCTTCAAGTTCACTTGACGTTTGAACCAATATTCTTGGTACATGTGCTCATGTCCTTAACATTATCAAAAAAAACATTCTCGACCATTCAACATTATATAAAAACTACATTGCACTTGTTTGTATAACTGCATCTTGTTTAATAGGATATCACTTGGCCTCAATCTCCCGTGAACTATCACGACCTTTCTCTGACCTCGCTGCAGCCAACTCTTCTGCCTCTGCTTGAGCTTGAAACTGGGCAACTCGATCCAAAAACTACACAGAAAAACAACAAATGTAAACAAATTGTAAACATCGATGTATTATTCCTGCTGAAAAACCGCCCGACTCCTCCACACGTCTTCACTGTCCAGAAAACTAATTTCACTTTTGTTGTACAATGTAGTACATGTACATGTAGTTCAATTTAAGCCTCAGGTGAAGCAATAAGCCTTTTTGGAGTTCCAACTGCGCATTCGTAACCTGTGACAACGCGCATTGTTTGTCTCAAATGGCCTTTGACAACATCGCGCCACTGACTTTACAAAAAGGCTGTCTGTGCATTGTGGGTACTGTCAAAGGGCATACGAGACAAACAATGTGCGTTGTCACAGGTTACGAATGCGCGCAGTTGGAACTCCGAAAAGGCTTATTGTTGCTTGGTTCTATCTGTCTCAAACCTGTAAAACCATCAGTGGATTTTGAAGCAGGTGGGAGTGAGGAGTTCACAGTCGAGTATTGAAATACTCCCAAGTGATAAAAAAAATGGTTCTCAGCACTGGTTCCCAGCAGACTATTAACCCTCAATGCTAAACTCACCTCTGGCATCCTGGTTGCCTTCTTCTCCACAAATTCCTTGAATGACTTGGATCCATGCAGTGGTGCTAGCTGCTCATCCATTGCAAGACTCTTCTTCTTAGAATCAGACATCTCCTTATCCTTCAGCGCTTTGGGATCCTCCAGAGGCTAGAAACGTGAGCAGAGGGTGTCAATTTAGTCCAATGGAAATGTATGATGCACTGAATAAAATGGTTTCTTTAGACAATTCCTTTCAACACATATTGCAGCTGACATGCATCATGCACTTACACATGGCAGGCACTTGCACATGACAGGTGGTATTGGGGAGACACAGGTGTCGTTGCCCTCATATGCGAAGGCAGCGAAGTGGGCAGTCGTTATATCCAATCAGAAATGGTCTTATCAATCTTAAAGTCATTTACATGTACACTGTACATGTACATGTATTTTTTCTCTGCATATGTGATTACAGGAACTGGTTTGGGAAGAAATTATGGATAAAATTCATACTTACTATTTATTTACATATTAAATATTTATTACATATTAAATATGTAATGTTTGTGATTGGTTCACAGCAAGTGTTTGCCAAGCACACATTAATTTGCTTAATACAGGCATGAAAAAGCAGGAAACTTGTGCAAAACAGGAACAAAGATGTGAAATAAGGCAAAAAAAACAGGCTCAAAACAAATACGAATTTTGGGCAACAAAAAAACAGGATTTCCTGTTTAAACAGGAAGATTCTCATGCCTGTTAAGAACCTAAATGTGAGTCCCTCGTACCTCGTCATTTCTCCGTCTGCTCCACGTCTTAGGAGCCAAGTACCAGGCACCATACTTCATTTTCAACCAACTTGGCTGGTAACCACCATACTGTAAATGAAAAACAAATGTATAAATGAAAACAAAATCTTTCAGTCTTAACTGTTTTAAACAAAACAGATTTCAGCATAAGTCATGTACATATATAATTATTTTCAAACTGTTGATTTTCAGTGATACCAAGATTAAAGGAAGTTGAGGTGAAAAGATGCAAAACGTGTGCAATGAGCTGGGAGGATCACTCCTAACAAAGGAAAACCTTCGAAATTAGGTAAAAGAAACCAAACCCTATTGACAGACTAGCCGGAATGGGATTTCAACCCATGTCACAGAGGTTTCAACCTAGGAATGCATCACTGGGAGAAGTTTTTATCTTCAGATCACTCACCAATTGTTTCTGTGTTTTCTCCACCTGTTCCAAAGTCTGAGTTGGCAACTCTTCTTGTGAGACCGTCGCTGACATTCTTAACTCTGGTGGTACATTGGTCAATTCCACAACATGAATAGGAACGGACAACGCTGGCTTTGTCTCATATCCACTGGCAAATAAACTATGTATGGTTGACTCCTCTACATTGTTACTGTCTCCTCCCAGACCAGACACCCAATCACAGAACTCCTTGGTGACATCCTTGATATGTTCATCCTGAGATGGTGATTCACTTCGTCTTCGGTTGGCTTTGCGATCTTCCTTTTGTTGTTCCTCTTTGCGAGGGAGCCAGCGGTACGGATTGCGGACCTTGGTTTCACTTGATGACCTGGAAGAAGGTAAAGAAGACACATCAATTAGTCCTGCTTACAAGATCATATTAAACAAATGGCCTACAACAATGGCATGCTAGGATAACACCTAGTCAAAATAAGATGTTTAGGTCACGGCTATGGACTATGGCAGAAACAATTCTGAAACCTAGAGCAAGTTCCAGAACTGTGATTGACTATAGTGGACTCTCTTCACTCGAACCCAGTTGGACAAGTCGAGTGGACTATTTGGGACCAGCCTACTCGGAACAAAGATTGTTTGCATCACTGGTTTCAATAACCACGTGCACCATCAGCCAAAAGAAAGGTTTGTCACATGTGACGTTTTGACCATCATTCAACTCGAGACGTTCACACGTTGCTATTAGTGTGCATGCAACTTCACAAATTAGCCACTAGTCGAGCGATGGTCTTCGATCGAAATTGCTCTTAGCTCAATCTAGGTAAACAGACATATTACATATATTTTGGGCTGAATGACCAAAGAGGCTAAAGGTCACTGAACATTCCAATGATGGAATCCCAGGACTAGGTTCTGACTACCTACCCATCTGATAACCCTGAAGCTGGCCTATTCTTATCCTCTGAGGGATCAGTCTCTCCGTATGAGTTGGTCAAACCTTCTTCAAAATCGTCTTCATCTTCTGCTTCGCTGTCAAGATTCATCTCCGGGTCCAAAATCTCAACAACATCCTCAAAGATCTATAAAATTTAAAGTGAAAAATTATAATTCAAGACAAATTCAAGACAGATATGTGAGTGGAAGGAATTTTGTAACTCTTGTAAATTTCTGATTCGTAGGATATAACGCTACAATCAACTTGGTATTATCATTCTTGCTTTTTACACAGGGGATAGAAAGAAACGGTAGCCACTTTTCTTAGACTCACATCAGGCGGCATACTCTCTTCCAGATGTGGATACAGAGCTAGAGGATGTTGTAACAGTCCATACTCCATCTCATTGATGTGATCTCTCCTCTGTTGTTGTAGTGGGAGGGTCCGTAGATAAGCCACCTCTTCCTCGGTGAATCGGTGACGGTTCACTGACTCTGTCTTGGGGTACTTCATTGTTGTATCTCCGTGGATGTTTGGTTCAATTTCTCCCTTGGTACCCTGTACATTTATTAGGAAAGTGTCTATTACTTGGGGTTTCATCAAATTTACAAAAAAAATATGCTTTTGTCTACATGACACAATTCTTTCAAGTATCAGTTACAAATGAAATCATCCAAAAGGAACGGCATGTATTTGTTTATTTCAGGTTTTATACACAATAGAAACAATTTTATACACAGTTTCTTTCACTGCAGTATTCGTTATAGCCTGGCAGATCTTCATGAATGCTTGTATCTGCTACAAGCCTGTCATTGGGTGATATTAGATTTGAACTAGATTAAAAATACAAGATGTACTTTAAAGTTCCAGTACAGGGTACATTGAATCTGATGCTTCACCTTTAAAGCTGAATTTCACTACATGCAAAGACAAGTTTTCTTCATTAAACCTGTGCTCGCTTTATTAAATACATCAAGATTATACAGCAATAATATCATGATATCTCACATCTCATGTAATTTTCTTCAGTGAACATTGTGTTTCATTACCTTGACAACAATAGAATCTTCTACTTTGGGAGGCAGTCCATCTCTGAAGTCATCCAGCCCTTGAAGAAGAAACTGCCAACGACCTCCACTCAGCGTCTTAGAAACATCACCTGGCTTCTTGGACTTAATGAACTTGGTCTTCAGTCTCTCCTTGTACCTAGAAATTCAAAATCCAATCATACAGTTATTTCAAATAGAGCTTAGTTGAACACTTGGTGGATTTGCTTTTTGTGGAAATTCAGGAAATTGATGATTTCGATAATGAGAAACAATTAATGTCAATTAATTTTTGTAAGAAAATAAAATAATCAATAGGCTATAGATCAATAGGCACTGAAAACTAAAAGTGAATTTCCATCGGTTTTAGGGTTAATTTTATTCGTAAAAACGGACGCTTTTTCATGCGGAAAAAAAATCTCAAAGCAGGGCTTCGCACGGTGCCTGGGCTATGCCATTTTAGAGTATGGGTGTGTGTGTATAATCGTGCTATCACCCAAGTTAAGCATAATGGTATCATCCTCGCTGTCCGCTGAGGCAACACTGTTGCCGATTTCAGAGCTGGACAGACAGGCACATTTTCTTGATAACCTTTTAATTTTGCAAATGGCGTCCACGCGGTGTTCGCGACGGAGCCCTCGCCGATAAACAGTAAATTTCCTTTTTTTTTCCAGATTGTAAGTAGGAAACCTTACTACCTCAATCTTAATTATACCCTATTGCTATTTTATTATACCCCTATAAAAGTATTAATCGCACCGAGGTTAACTCGTACTCGAGTCAACTCGTACCCAAGTCAACTCGTACCCATGATGTTACAGGCTAGTGTAACCGCCTGTTGCAATATCATGAAAATTCTCGATTTACAAACTAACTTACCATGTCTGTTCTCTAATCTTTTTATCCGTCAGAGTTTTCACAAGAGCCAGGTCGTACTTCCATTCTGCCATATTTCGGAAGTAACTTTTTCAAATCAATGTTTATTTCAAACAAAGTGATGAATCTGTTGCGATTTAGAAAACCTTCTTTGCCTTACGTACAAATTAATGGTTGTGTACGGGCCGAACAACACCCCTATTGGCTTTGGAATTACGCCGCTACGTATAAAAATAATCCTTACCGGGTTGAACAACGGACACGAAAATTCGAAAAATATTAGACTAAATGTTTAAAAAGTAACTAACTAAAGTTCAATAAAGATAGTTTTAGTTTTTTAAAACATTACTTTTCAATTACAAAACCGTTCAGGCAAACCAGCGTATTAATATTTACGAGTGTAACTTGTACACTCCGTTGCCAAGGTGACAATATATAAACCAAACTGTAACTCTTGAGGGCGCTAAACATTTACCTGTTAAAACATTTTATGCAAATTGTGCGTACACGGTGTGGCCGGCTGATAGCTTAGCTATCATCCGCGAGCTGCCGCAGCTGCATTATTTTTGGCAGAGTAATAATTATACAACATGCAATCAGAAAAATAAACTCAGCTTATACTAATAGCAATAACTGCTCGATGATTTTTCAAGACATCTCGTGTTAAACGCGAGTTGAAATTGACGCTGCGAGAAAGAACTATACGCGCTAATAATAAATTTATGCACGCGAATCCGCATGCAGAGACGCGGAACTATAGAATAGAGTCGATGCCAGTAACTACTCGGTGTGTTGGGATTAGATTCATTCTCCTTTTTTGATGGTGGATAACAAGATAATAGCAGGTATTGAAATATATTTTAATTACAATAAGAGTTTATTAACTTAACTTATCTCTACTGTTTTGTCTTTGATTGATTCAGACGTCTTTCTGTTTTTGTTTTTGTTTCGCCAATAATTCAGCTAGCTCACTGAACTTAGGGTATCTTCAGTTTGATTGTTAAATTGTATGTCTCACTGTTACTTAGGAAACTCACTTCTTTCATCAAGCAGTTACTGAGGCCACTGGACCTAACTGCTTGTACGGGCCGCCTCCTCATATCCCCGGCTCTGATGTGGAGGCGTGTGGTGACACAGATAACCGAAGAATGGCTCAGGAATTTGACTCACGTTTCCCGCTCTATCTGATTGTCTCAGAAGACGATATATACCGCGATATGACGCTCACGAAAAGGTAGACTTACATTTATCGGACAGTATAAAGTAGGCAAGATTGTGGCTGAATTATTCGGGTAAAAAAAATTGTCAGAACGGAGAGTATGTATTTATTCCTTAACGCAATCTTGCATCGCGGCTTGAAGCCTAAAGCAACCTTCGATAATGAAAAACGAAGTTAACTCGGTTGTTGTTTCTTTTATAGAAGCCAGTCGCTTCTCTTCACGCAATGGGCTACCCACTTACAACCAGAGCAAGAGCATCAGTCGAAAGTCGGGCAACACACTCCTAGTCCTAGTCACAGGCAAAAGGCCCCAGTGCAACGACCCGGTCGCACGCGCGCTGCATCACCATCCCACGGACTGCATGGAGATGAAACCTCCCGGATTGGGGTAAATGTAGGGCTCCCACTGCCAACTAGCCCGCCCCCACCGAACAATCAAGTAAACACGCCCACCATTCCGTTCCCTGGGCATGTTAACTTCATTGTCACGGTCGGTAGCACGCCCTCTACATCACAAAGAAATCGGAGAGCAAAAAGGAGGAAAGAGAAAACATACCTTCAATGAGCTGCGATTTAAAATGTGACTTACAATTTGACTATGTATTTCAATATAAAACATAATTAAAAGAAAATGAAAATATGTACAATTGTATAATTACTATGTAGGCCTATGTATTTGTACTCATTTTGTTTAACATTTTTATGAGGGTCTTTTCAAGTAAACATTTAATTTTAATAAAAAAAGAAAGATTATTTCTTCAGCTGGGTAAATATTTAAGCATTGTTAAGTATCGTCCAGCTCTTTAATATAATATTCCTCCATGCGTTTTGTCATGGTTGATTTCAAATGTAACTAAATTGTCAACGTTTACGCGCAGGGAATTAAATGTACGCAATGAGTATACTGACGAACCTTTAACCATTGGGGAAAAAAAGATTAAAATAAATGTTATTAATTTTGTAAGTGGAAATTAAAAGCATAACGTTGACGCCAACAACAGTTCCATTAGGCCTATTTAGTTTTATTAAGTTTGATCACAAATCGCAAAAAGTGCCATAAGGCGCTCTTTTGCCTCTCCCGTCGTCGCTACAAGTTCAATGGGTAGACTTGCGCCCGGTGCCGCCGAATCCTACCCGGTATCTTGTCACATCGACAAGACAAAATGCAAAGCATAACCCTCTTGAAGTCAGGATGTTTGGTGGCATAGATGAATGGGTTGATGCAACTATTGATGCTTAGGACTACAGCTGTGTAGGGGAGGGCACGGCCGTTATTTGGGATGAGTAGAGCAACTCCATAAGGAGTCACTAGAGAGCAGAAGACGCACACGACGTAAAACATGTTCCATGTGACGACAAGTTGACGATGCGATACTTGACCTTTCAGCTGTCCTCTTTGACCCCTTACCCAGGCTCTGTTTCTCTGAGATGCATCATGCTCCACTGCGATGATCCTAGTATGTCTCCTCAAGAAGTTATAGATCCTAGCATAGCTGATGATGATAATAAGACACGGAACTGGGTAGAAGACTAAAGCAATGAACATGTTGAGAGCTCCAGCTAGTGGATGGGAGGAGTCGCGAGTGCAGCTTGCATGACGAGCGCTGTATCCAAGCCGTCCTAAGTCTGAGAACAGAGGCACTGAGGCAACGAATATAGACACCAACCAAGTCAGGAGAATCATGAATGCTGTCTGGATATGTGTGTAGATTCGCCGATAAATATGTCTGGGCATTGTGAGTAAATGAAGACGATTGAGTGCGATGCTTGATAAGGTAAAGATGCTACAACCGACTGACATGATCAAACCAAAGCCTCCCAGCGTGCAGAGTGAGTCGGGTAGCGGCCAGTCGTTTCCTGGGTATAGGAATGACACAATGGTCCAAGGCATACTCAGACATGCAGCCAAGTCTGAGACGCTCAAGCTGAGCACGAAGGAATTTGTGATGCAACGCCGTAACTTCTTGGATAAGATTACAGCCAGAATGACCACACTGTTCCCAACCAAGCCTGTCACTACAATGATACCAAGAACCACCGCTAAGACTTGCCTCTCGATGAGAGCAATTGCTGGTGTTACACCAGAAGGATCAACGGTGTGGTTCACATCCATACCTGCTGCTGGTCCCCGAATCACAAAGAGAAAGTATACGACCTTTTCAAGTATCGTCTGGCTCTTATCATCATCATATAAGTACGTATGCTGCATAATCATTCATCACTGATACACGTTAACCAATACAAAGACAGTATCAATATCGAGTCTCTTGATTAAACGTCCTCCGAGCAAATGAAAAATCGACGTTTGCACTAGCCTGAGACTACCCCCGAATTGCTTGGGTAACTTCCAGCGATGCAAGGACAGCATTTACCAAGCTAGGTTAATAGGAACCGCTGATACTCTCAAGGAAATTCACACAGACAGCCCTGTTTGCACCGTTTACCGCCGCCACTTGATTAAATCATTTCTTTTGAGTCGTCGACGAGCACTCTTTCAGTCTATTTTCCTGGGGGTTTATCTCACTCCACTCCATCACGATTAATTTCGAGATTTAGGCAAACACGTTTAAACATTAACAGTTCCACACATCCAATCGTTGAGGATAATATTATTTGATTATAAATTGAGCTGTCTCCGTTGCAGATAGTCAAGTGGGTAATATATTACACCATGTCGTGCCATTAGCAGCAAAAATTAATATTTAAATTGCCGGAGTTTATATATATCCATAGGTTTAATGTGTAAAGATGGCAAAATCGACCAAGGTTTTGAGGGAACCATTAACAAGATATTGATTGTATTTATGATTGGACTTTTGTTGCCATGGTTATTTTGTGGCTTTTCTACTCGTTATCTGCTGATCGGTCTTTACCAACTCTATTTCATACACGATACTCGGGGAAAAAAAACTGACAGAAGCGTTGTCATAACATTAATATTTTTTTTTACGTTCTGGCCAGCTTGCGATAAGTGATGTATTCTAACTGATATGCGTGCGTACAGCGTGTATAGGATTGTCATTGTGAGCAATCATGCATAATGGTGTGTTTTTCCAACATGATATATATCCGTGGGGCTCAACGTCGCAATGATATGTTTATAGTTGTCACAAGGTTTGTACTCCTCACAAATACAAATGATAGCTTTTCTATTGAGACTTGCCAGGTTACCATGGCAACCTAATTTGATAGTAATTTGACGACATGTGAGCTTGACTACATAATACACACCAACTAATAACAGGGATCATAGAATGCTGACTGAAAAGGTGACGCCAGGAACCGTACAGAATTCAGCTTTTAAAAATGTTTTATTTTAAACCAAAATAAATGCTTCCTCCATAACCAATTAACATAAGAGATGATTACTTATGCAGAGGGACGAGAAGGTGGCCATTATTTGGGGGCCGGGATGGGTTGTCTGCTGGCTCAGGACAGACGATTATATTTGGCCTTCAACTTCACTAGTTACTTTCATGAGGAATAAACTCACGAAATTAACAGAAGCTATACCGACGATCGGAAACTAACTTGGCAAGGTAATTCTTATCCAGCAAGCTTTAATTGCTTCGTGACAAATGGCGTTGCAATCATAACTTTTGCATTCACGATTACGATAATTAACTGATCGTTTGAAACACGACTGTGGAAATGACCAAGTACTTTTGACAGGCTGACGAAATTGATGGTATCACGTGACTGGAAGGACTAGTTCGGATACATAATCAGTTTTCCTTTTAAATCATTTATTTTGACCTGATTAAAAATTGCCAAATCTTGGTAGTCATTGTTACATGTTCAATATTTTCATCTATCAAGTATTCGAAGACCCAGAGATAGTACTGTTATGTATGTCAGATGAAACCAAACACAATTAATAATGTACACAAAGCAAATTCAAAAATTATGTCATAAGTCGGGAAACATGGTTGAGAACCTAATATAGTCCGAACTTGAAATTTAAGACCATTATGTGCTGTAAAAACATGAAACACAAGATAATAGACTGGCACATGAAACAACCAGTCCAACACCCCTTTATAGGCTGAGTGCAACAATTACTGTGTCAAAAGAAACATCTGGTACCCAGTCTCTATTTCTACACATATCCATAGTCATGCCACCAGACTACTGAAGGGTCAATCTTCTCAAAAAAAATTGGACATAAATCACTTGGCTTCACTCTCAGGTGCAAAATGTTAGGAAAAGTCTCCTTTAAAAATTGTATTGATACCTCAAACTTGGCTGGTGAAGTATTGAGAACCTTGTCTTTTCCTCATGAACATTTTGGAGAATCGTGTTGGCTTGAGAGTGAGTAAAAGTGGCCTAAATTTGTTTTGCGTGTTTGTTTGTTTGTTTCTTTGCACTCAAGGTTCCAGCCTGCTTGAAAGAAGTTAGAGAACTAAACAAAATAATATCTGTAAAGTAATGGGAAACAATCAACTAATTTTCTCTGTCTGGGGGTCTGTCTCTCGTACAATTTTTATCGAATATTGACAAATATTCGAATTTTGGCCCTTTCGTTTTCATGCCATGGTCTAACGAGACCTCGGGACACTCAATTTTAGCACTGGAAAATTAGCCACAGCCTGTTCAGAGTGATCACGCCCTCTATAGTTCATAACTGCAATAAGAGCGAGTAATTATTATCTAATAATTAAGTGACACTATTGCTTGCTCTAAACTTTAGCTTTTTTACCTCTGCCAAGGAGGTTATGACTTTTTTCCATCGGATTTGGTTTGTTTGTTGGTTGGTTGGTTGGTTAACAAGATAACTCAAAAAGTTATGGACGGATTTGCATGAAATCTTTTTTAGGGGTGGCCCTTGGTATTAGTTGCAAATCGATTAGATTTTGGAAGTGATCCGGATCTGGGTCTAGTCTGGATCCAGGATTTGTGTAAATTGTGCACCATTTATGCGAGTATTTCGTTTCGGTATTTGGCGGGAAATTGTTTAGCCTTGGTGGAGGTTTGTGCTCTCTGAGTGCTATTTAGTTTTTAAAATCTATTTTCTTTCCAATCAAAGAATAGCCATTTATTATTTTTAATAATGGGTAATACAATTTGACAAGATTTAGAATTTGCATAAAAAAATGGGGGAAAATGTAAAATAGTACAACGAGTATTCGATACATGGCCCAGCACGCTTCTACTGCGCCACTCGGCTCTGTTTATTACAAGTAAATAGAACTTTCACTAATCAAATTTCTGACATTTTTTTTGTATAACGAAAAATAAATTGCTTTGTTTAAAAAAAACAAATTAGCAGAGCGAGGTTTCGATCCTCGGACCTCTGGGTTATGGGCCCAGCACGCTTCCACTGCGCCACTCTGCTAGTCCAAAATCTCTTTGGAACAACGGGTCTTGTTTTTGAACTAGGGGAACTGGAACATTGGAGAATACAAGTGTATTCAGCTTGTATGTACTTCTTACAGATCACTCCAGGAAATTCACACATTATTGCAAACCATTCGCACTGAAAATTGCTAAGCGGGGGAGCGCGGTTGATATTGTTTTGTTTTTATCGCTGCTCAGTCATAAAAATGTTGTGTTTTGCTCTGAAAGACCCATACAGGGAAGTCTTATTTGAAGTTTGTATGATATGTTTTTATTGGAAAAAAAACACTGAAAAGATTAGAAATGTTACATGGTGTAAACACATCAGTCATAGTCTCTTATGACTCACAATGGGGAATATTTTTTAAAAAAATCAAAAATATTAGCAGAGCGAGGTTTCGATCCTCGGACCTCTGGGTTATGGGCCCAGCACGCTTCCACTGCGCCACTCTGCTTCTCATGACGATGAGTGTTAAAGCACAACTTTAATAATTACACGTCATCCGACGCAAGAAAAAAAGATGATGCAATACATGCTTGCACGTGTACGTACGTACGTACGTGTACGTGTAGTGTAGTGCTGCATGCATAAAACCATGCAGTGCACGTTGGCGTCATTGATGAATAGTCAGTCACACAGGCTAGCCATATTCATAATATTCATGGTTCTGAATGCAACAACTGTCACTGACTGTAGCTGTTTATCATGGTTTGTACGTGTATTATTGTTTCGTAATTCACAACCTTATGGACATGACTTTGTGGGAAACGGAACAAAAGATTGTATGCAATATTCGTCCCCACAGGGCAATTGCTATACGTGTCCACAAGGTAGCTTTTACTCAAACACGAAGACTTTCCCATAGAATCTAAGTTAGTAATTGTGTTGTATTTTCGCAAATTTTACGTGAGGGATAGTAATTCTGAATTTCAGCCCAGGACAAGGGCGGATCCAGGGGGGGGGGGGGGGGGGCCAATGGGGGCCATGCCCCCCCCCCCAAAAAAAACGAAATCAATTTTTTTTTTTTTTTATGTGACATCGCAATAAAGGCAGGCAATGAGTACACCACCATCTTTTCCTCAAAAAACATTGGTTAAAGTGGTCAGAAATTGCCTCAGATCGCACCACAGAGCATCTAGAATCCAAAATTTTTTCGGGGCCCTTAAGCGGGCCCCGAACCCCACGCCGTAATTTTGTTGACCCACTTTTTTGGGGGACCAAATTTTTTTTGGCCCCCTCCAAAAGTGTGTTCTGGATCCGCCCTTGGCCCAGGACAGGAAATTAATTCTGGTTCAAAATAGGAGCCGGATGAAACTGGATTTTTCACACTAAAATTCTAGTACACAAGAGCAAAGAAATAATTCCACATGGATACAAATTCCAGCATGCAGACTGAGACAGTTTCAGCTTAAGTACAGTACAAGGAGGATTTAGAGTCAATTATGGGCTATTATATTGCAAACGGCCCTATGTCATCAGATTACTTCGGCTGCTGCATGACCACTACATTAAGCAGCACTTGCAGTCAGTGTGAGCATGTAAAAATGTCTTCAAATCATCAAAATATAAGGAATATGGTTGCTCTGCACCATTAGGGAAATCTCCATCATGTAAACACTAACTTGTGGGTGAGTAAAGTGCAGTAGGCCTATTGTATTCAGGATAAAAATTGTTATCTGATAAAATTGAATAGCGCCATCTATCGAGCAGATATAGAGCAGATAAAGTCAGTTGGTGAACAACGCGGCAGGTGAATTTCATGCAGCAAAATAAAGACATTAAACTTTCACTGTGTGGCGCCCTTCATTCAATCACATGGTTGATACCTGGGAAAGATATGAAATGTGTCGTGTAAAGAAACAGGGTGTGGTACTTTGGGGAAAAGTAAGTGAATTGAATTGAATTGGACGAAAAAGAGATATGGTTTCCACTGCGTCACTCTGTGTGTTAGAGATGACGTTATCTTCACGCGTATCAGCCACGAAATTTCTATAGTTATTTTATTCCGTCATTTTGTTTGAATAAAAACCAAAAAAATGTTAAGCAGAGCGAGGTTTCGCTCCTCGGACCTCCGGGTTATCCACTGCGTCACTCGGCTGTTCTGCCGAGCATTCATCATCAGTTTCAATAGCTTCATCAAAGTCTGCAATAACAGTCATGATGCAATCAATTGCAATACGTTTTTTGATGCATTACAATTTGACCCCGAAATACATCATAACCCATGTAAACTATTAATTCAAGAATAATCGACATTTGTAACCAAAAACCAAGACTACCAACATTGATGTTAAGAATGTAAATTGTGCAGGAAGATTAACAAATCATAATTTTATTTTTTTAATAATAGCAATTTGAGCAGTGGTTCAAACCTCGGATCAACAGTGTAACGATAAAGATCATTGTTATCATCACTGCAGGTGCATTGAGACGAGTAATTTCAATGCACTTTGCAAGTAGTTCCCTCCTACGTTAGACGCCTAAACTTTATTTCTTTCAGAATGCAAAATGAAATAATGATCTAAAATTCAAATCCATAATTACCCACCCCAATCTCCAACTGAATAAAAAAATTAAGTTGTACATCTGAAATTTGCTCACAAAATTGAAACCTTGTATTCCCATCGCATGCATTTCAAGAATGCTCTTATTTCATCACAACTCCGTAACAGAAGTTCAAGATCATTAATCAAGAGTAAGCACTGTCAACTCATTTCGGACTCTTCAGGTCGCTTCGCTCCAAAAATATAAAACAAAATGTCTGCATTCCACACGTAACCGATGCAAAAACAATTTGCGACAATTTTTTCCTATTTTTTTTTCTCATGACTCTTCTGAAGAGATTCCCGCTCCATGGCCGGCAAATCAAAGCTAAATATTTACATTCCAAGCCGTTATTTCTACAATCTGTCAATAGGTTGCTATTTTGGTAAGGGAAGCCCGGATGGAGCGAATGTGTGGTTTCTGAGTCGATGATTTAATACCCATACGCGTGCTCAAACCGATTCCTTCCTCGGGGAAAAAACACAAGCGTTATCTTTTCCCGTGAATGAGAAGATGCGAACATTGGCGTAAGATGTCAAACCAAGAAAATAATAATTTTGACAAATATTTCACTGTAAATATATTGTTGATACTGTA